TTGATTCTGAGGTATATAAAGATGAATAAAAATCATTAAAGGCTCTAGCAATTTTATGTGTTCGATATTGTAGCTTACCATTCTTGTCCCTAATTGCAGAAATTGAATTATTCAGGTTTGTATTACTTATTAACTTTGACAAGTAGTGCCCAGCTCTATTGGCGTGTTCATAAATTTTATGCTTTTGCTTAAACAAAGCCTTTTCTGCACTTTGGGACAGGAGTGTATTAAGTGCTGTTCTAGTTCTTATAATTTTCTCCCAGTTGCTTCTCCCACCGGTACGCTTGTGCTCCATTTCAGCTTCCTGTAATTGTAATTCAAGTCTTCTCTGTTCTTGCAACTTTCTTTTCTTTTTAGCTGAACAATAAGAGATGATTATACCCCTTAAAAAGGCTTTCGTCGTTTCCCATAAGTTTGATGGGTCAGTATCGTCATTATCATTCTCTTGTATAAACCTTTCCAGTTCTCTTTGTGCCAATGAACAAAAAATAGGATCAGAAACTATTGATCTGTTGCATTTCCAATTATACCGCTGCGGGCTGCCAGAGATTGAGCTGACTAAGAAGACGGGAGCATGGTCTGAGATGTGGATATTCCACATCTCAGACCACTGATTCCACTGAATCAACGGAAATCCGTGGAATGACAAAATAATCCAATCTGCTCCAGGATTGGTGGGGAATGGAATGAAAAGTATAGTCTCTTTTATTAGTGTTTAGCATACGCCAAATGTCTGTCAGACCCACTTCGTTTAGCATTAGGTGAATAGCCTTTTGCCTGGGGCTTAGTATGGTTGAGGTAGCTGTCGGTTGTTTATCCCACATCCCATCTTGAACGGAATTCCAGTCTCCACCACAGATTGTAATAGGGCAACTATATTTCACCAGTAAGGAAGTTAATTTGGTAAACATATTCAATTCTATGTTTGGAGCTGCATACACATTCAAAATGCTTACATTTTCGCCATACAAAACCCCATGGAGAAATATATAACAACCGTCTGGATCAGACTCATAATGTTCTACTTTTAGAGGCAAGTTTTTGTGAATTAAAATAGCAACTCCCCTACTTCTACTATTATAAGATGAAGAAAATACTTGTCCAACCCAGTCTCTTTTTAGTTTAGAATGTTCCATGCTAGTTAAATGAGTTTCCTGTAACATCCCAATAGATACTTTCTCCTTTTTCAAAAAAGATAAGATTTTCTTCCTCTTTATGGGGTGATTACATCCATTAATGTTCCAAGAGCAAGTTTTAATGGAGTTTTTAAGTGACATAAGTTCCTAAATCAGTACTATAGTATTGCTTGTATTTTAACCACCACATGCATAATACATTATGAGTTGCTGGTTTGCTGGCAACGCACACGGATACAAACACACTCACAGAACAAAATACAGAAAACAAAAAGCAAAAGACATTTACTACCAAATGCCAAGATGGCAGTAGTGTACCCATGTGCGACATAAAGTAGTCCCCCCCCACCCCCCAACCCTCCTCCCACCCGGTCAAACAGTAATAGGCCAAGCACGAGGCTAATTGACCTGCGATCTGCCTAACCATTTCCTTACCCTATATAGGAAGGAGCTATTATCTGTCGTCTAAGAAGAACGAAACGAGATTTAACCAGAACTGCTGTCATTTGTTGGTTTCTATTATATGCAGTTTAGTTTTGAATCACTTAAAAAAGAAAAGAAATCAAGAGAATTATAGTGCTTTGCTTGACCTAGATCTTGGGTTCCATAGCAATTAATTAAACTGAAATGCAAACGCGCTACCATTGTACTAATCATGCCGACATAGTTGATGTAGTTCTTATCCCACTTTTATCAAAAAAAAAAGGGGGGGGGGCTCATATTAATAAACTTAAATTAATTTAGCAGGATGCAAGATGAAAACAGTACTAATTGTAATAAACCAAGAACAAAACTAAAATGAATTAACCCAATCAACACTCAGTAATTTCTCGACTTAATCTTTAAACCATCCGTGGGTCATTAGAATACCGTTCAATATAGTATTTTTTTTTCCTTTTTTCTCCCTCTTTCTTTCCCCCTTACCCCCTTCTTTCCCCTTTCTCTCCCTTCCTCTTTCTTCAAACAACTGAAGGTACCAAAATGTGAACGAAAATCAGTCCGAAAATAAAAAAGATGAAGGGGAAATATATATATATATTTTTTTACAAATAAGATATAAATGATAATGGTAGTAAATGATGGAGATCATAATAATAAGATCAGTAAGCGGAGAAAATAAAATAAAATAAAATAGATTAATAAATTAATTTAAAAAAAAAAAAAGGTAAGAAACGAAAAGCACGCACGCGCGCGCGCACACACACATACTAAATCAACATGATTGACACTGCAGCCACTAATATGCGTCCAAATGCCAACGAAAAATGATACGTCACTTTAAAATAACGAAACTAAAGTCCACTCCACTAGGTCAGCAGTTCTTTTTTTTTTTTGAGGAGCGAATCAAATCAACATTATTCCATCGGAGCCGGTGATGATGCCCGGCTAGTGGCCTGAATGTCATCAATATAGTTCTCTGCGAAAGCACACTTTTAAGGTTTAAATTTAAACCAGATGCCTTCGGAAAAAAAAACCAAAACAATTGTCTCAATAATCTTAGGGATTTGGTCACCATTTTTCAAGAAAATGGCTGTATTGTCAGCCAGTTGGCTAATTGCTAGCTGTCTGCCTAGCACTGTCAGTTTTTCAAAATCTGTATTTCTAATGAGAATTGATAGCATTTCCGCTGCTGCAATTGAGGAGCAAAGGAGAGATGGGACAGCCTTGTTTAATGCCTTTACTGACTAAGAATCTTGGGCATGTACCCTGTGGTAACATGACTGTACTATTAGTATCTTTGTAAATTAATTTAATCACAATAATAAAGTTTTCTCCAAAGCCAAATAACTCTAAGGTACGGAATATAAAATTATGTTCAATCGTGTCGAATGCTTTGAGAAAATGTAAGAATACAATAAAACCGTCTTCTTCAATTAGATGGTTGTATTCAAGTAAATCAAGTACAAGTCTTATGTTATTATGAATTGATAATCTTTTTATAAACCCTGATTGTGTGTCTGAGATAATTTAAGTGATGCCAGATTTTAATCCATTTGCATATATATGAGTTAAAATTTTATAATCATTATTGATTAATGTTATAGGTCTAAGGTCGCTTTCACACCAGAGCTGTTTGGTCCGCTTCAAACGGATCAGAGTTCATTTCTTCGGATAGTCCACTTCATTTGGGCAGGTGTGAAAGCTAATCCGAACTCTGGTGCGGACCAAACCACTTGCAAGTGAACCCTGGTTCGGTTCGTACGCAGTGTGAAAGCTCACTGGACTAAACACAGGACCAAATGTACGTAATGATGCTATACGCAGTGCATAAGCAGTGCATCTTGGGTAGAGGAAGCACGGCGTCCCTTGTTGCAACAAGTGACCGCTGACATTAGCAGTTGCTAGCTAGCTTAGCTCAATTGTCTGAACAACAAAAACCCATAAATTCACAATTTGGCGTATTTAAACAAAATCAAATCACAACTACCAACACTCACAGTCCTTAAACTTTGAGCTCATATGTTGTCACATGTTAGATCGTCAAAGTTAGAAAAATAACAGGATCAATCTCTGACAAGTGAAGATAGCATGATAGGAACAGTTGTGTTCACTAATGTTGTAGCATTCCATAAAATAGTGTGACAAAGCACAATACAAGACGGCTAGTCCACCCCTGTTTGTAATCCGTGAGGTAACATACCCCTCCTACTTTGTCCAATCGACGAGCGCCCTTTTCAACCACGTGATGCTGCTCGGAAAGTTCGGTGCGCTTTAGAAATCACAGTGTGAGAGCAGAACCGAAACAAGTGACAAATGCAACAATGTTGCTAGGGTCGTCCCGATATCACTTTTTTACTGACCAAGTACAAGTACGAGTACTGACATATAAGTACTTGTCGATACCAAGTACTGATACAAGTACTTAATAATACTATAGCGATGACTTTAAATTATGATTTTTATTTTTTCATCAATGCTCCCTGAACAAACATGGCACCACTGCCATAATTCACTTTCACAACTTCCACATATTTCCAATTGCCAATACTTTTACTTCTACTCCACAATCTTAGATGCAAATATAGCCTAGTGCACATACAATATAACATAGTGTAAATGTAAACATACAGATAAGTGATAACTGCATCAGATGTCTCTATCACTGTATCATATACATGCAGCAAGTTACAACTACAAGAACTGAATACTGAAAAATAACACCAGTGCTGTCTGTGAGGACTAAGCCTTTCTCATACAAGCCAGAGGTAGGTTCTTTTCTTTTGGTTAAAAAAATAAAATAAAATAAAATAATACAATCAGAAGACAAGTCATTTTAAACAACTTATTCAGCAGCACTACACATGTGGGATTAATCCCAGCTCTTTTCACTCAGTCTGAACTCAAGAGAGAATATAAAATAAATCTATAAAATCAAATAAAAAAATTGTTCACATGCTACAAGTAGTGCTACACACATTTCTGTGAAGGGAGCTAGGGCTTAAAGAGTGGAGTGAGAGGCAGGTTTTTTTTGATGAAGAGAATCATCTCTGTGTTCTCAGCAGTGATCCTGTTTCTAGCTTCATCCACAATGTTTGACAAAGCACTAAAAAGCCTCTCACTCTCCACACTGCTACAAGGGGCCGACAGGTATTTTCTGGACATCTGGGCTAGAGTGGGAAATCTCTTTCTGTTGACTCCCCAGTACTGCAATGGGTCGTCATGCTTGTCAGCTAGGCCCTCTCCAATGTATTTCTCAAATTCAATGGGCCCACCCTCTGGTGCAGCGCTCTGTGACGCTCGCTCATTAGCTATTTTATCATACAGACTGTCCAGGCTGCAAGTGGCTGAGGCCTTGCGGTGCTTTCTGGCAGGAGCGTCCACCACATCTGCGTCTTCTGCAGACAGCTTCTGCAGCTCTAGCCTCACCATCTCTTTGGCTTCTACAGCAGTGTTGGCGTTTGAGAAGAAACAGTCTTTGTATCTAACAGAGAAAAATAAATATCTTAGCTGGTTTGAAGGTAAAGACTCATTCTCTCTCTCTTCTACCAACACACACACACACACACACACACACACACACACACACACACACACACACACACACACACACACACACTATCTTTCTCCCCCAATTCAAAGGATCTTTATTGATTGAGTTATCTATCTCACACACCTCTCTCTCTCCCACCTCTCTCTCTCCCTCTCTGACACGCACACACGCACACATACCTCGGATCTAGTACAGTGGCGATGCTGTACAGTGGGTTTCTTTCTGTGTCGGAGAGGCGTCTTGCCACGGTGGCAGTCAAGGTTGCCTTCATGGTTTTGATGCCTTGGTCCTGTTCCCTTTCAGCTTGTGGCAAAAACTCGAGAAGCACAGTCACGGCAGGTATCACATCAGACGCCATGGCGTCAGCTTTGCTGACTTTTTTGGTCATCTCCTCAAACGGGGCAAGGACAGTCTTAGTGTGTTCAAGGAGGGTCCACTGGTGAGCACTGAGGGTGGCGCCGGTGGGGAGTTCATGTTGGGATGCATAGAGTATTAGAGCCCGCTTCTGTTCAATAAGAGACTGGATCATGTAATAGGTGCTGTTCCAGCGCGTCTGTACGTCTTGCTGTAGCCTTGCTGTAGCCTTGCTGTCGGCTGTAGGAGTTTGAGCTGGATGTCCTCCAGGCGGGAGTAGGCTAATGCAGAATGTTTAAAATGCCCTAGTTTGCGTCCAACGGCCACCGCGTCTGACACACTCCTCTGGGACAACAACCCCTCGCCAACAGCCAGTTGAAGCGTGTGGGCTACACACGATAGGCTAGGAAGTTCAGCTTCACGCATGGCCTTTATCATGTTTGCTGCATTGTCCCGAATGACAACATGAACAGAACTTTTCAGAATTCCCCACTTCTCAAGCATCCCCTCAAATTCATCAGCGATGGCTCTGCCCGTATGTGAACCCCGAAACTGCTTTGCGTGGAGAATGGCACTTTTGCGCGTGTAATCCTCCCCAATCCACTGCGCAGTTAAACTAATGAGGGACATGGGGGTGACACTGCAGCTTCAAATATCAGTTGTGAAACTGAAAGCCAGTACGCCATGCAGCATGTTTTGTATGTACTCTTTCACAACGTTCTCTAGAATAGAATAGAATAGAATATTCCTTTATTGATGCCCCATGGGGGAAAATTTTTTGTCACAGCAGCATCACAGACAAGACAAAAAGTGCAAAAATGCAGTTATAACAATAAGAGTCCTAATATTAAGAACTTAAATAAATGTAATAATTAAGAAAAAAATTAGAAAAGGGAGGAGAAAAAATAAAGCTTTCTACAATATACACATTCTATCCTTGGCAATTCAGTAGTTGTTATGAAATGACGGCTTGGGATATCATACCATGGCTCAAGTGTATGCACGAAATTCCGAAAGCCCCAATTTTCAACAAGTGAGAATGGCTGGTCATCGTACGCAATGAGTAGTGCAAGAGCTTCTGTTATTTGGACCCACCGTGGGTTTGATTTTGATAGCTTCTCTCACTTTTCCAAGGTTTCCTCCAAAGTTGGTTGCTTTGTGCTGCTGCTACTAGCGGTGGAAAACTCCTTGTACTCAGCATCGTGCTTGCTCTTAAGATGTTTGATTAAGTTACTCATGCCAAACGAGCTAGGCTTCGCACCTCCTCGTGACACTTTCACGCCACACAGTTTGCAGTCGGCTTTGCAATGGTCAACATCGCTAATCTTAAAATACGTCCACACGGCCGACATTGTTTGTTTTCCTCCTCCTCAGAACGCACACCGTGCCCACCTGTTTAGCTCCTCTTTCCCTCCCACAAGCTTCCGCACGGCAGTGTGTTGATGACGTAACAGTATCGGGTGCTGTCGCAAGTACAAGTACAAGTACTTAAAATAGTCTAGTATCGGGGCAAGTGCCGGTGCTGGTATCGGTACCAGGACATCACTAAATATTGCGACTTACAGCTCCCCAATCGAACCAAGTCCGCTTGGTCCGGTGTGAAAGCGACCTTAGATTATCAATTAGTCTATGGTCTTTCCCAGGATTAGGGATGAGTGTAATTATTCCTTGCTTCTGTAACAAGACGACTGCTTTCTGCTTTGTCCAGCTTTAATTCACCCACTCAAAGGAATGCAGGCTTCCCTGATTAGGGGAGGAAAAGGGGGGTAACGTTTCACACTTAACTTACGGCCGTTTACGATCCAGGACAGAACCAAACGGGGGGCCTATTCCCAAAAGGTTGATAGTGAATCTTCACGCTTCAAAGAGACAAGTTGCTTATCAACCACAGGACCCCCAGACCGAATAAACATTGAGCCTCTCACCTTGGCTGGAAAAGCTTATAGTTGACACCTCAGTTTAAAGAGTGACCCAAAAAGAGCATGAGAACATTCTCCAAGGCTGCATTTTGGCGCCAATCCCTGGAACAGGCCCCTACCATAAATCCTTTGAACGACTGTGTTTTCCATGACTCTCTCTAAGGTGCAGGAGGAAGAGAATGACTGAAAATGGTTTAACTTCAGGTTTAATGAACACTTCACCAGGATTTTCTATCTGTACTCCACATCATCAATGAAACAGTCTTTTTCCCAGTTTTCTAGCGTGCCTACAAGCCAAACTGTTAACTTCACAAATTTATTCCAGGTTTTCCATGGACCAAGAGCTCCTCCTAGTGGTGTTGTCTGAATATGGTTTGGTCAGAACCAAATGTGTATTCAGTGAATTTAATTGTGTGCATTTCTTCCTTTTTTTATTTCTACCTCACCCAAATACAGTACAGGCCAAAAGTTTGGACACACCTTCTCATTCAATGCATTTTCTTTATTCTCATTACTATTTAAATTCTAGATTCTCAGTGAAGGCATCAAAACTATGAATGAACACATGTGGAATCATGTGCTTAAGAAAAAAGTGTGAAATAACTAATGTTTTATATTTCAGATTCATCAAAGTAGCCACCCTTTACTTTTTTGATAGCGCTGCAAACCTTTGCTGTTCTCTCAATAAGCTTCATGAGGTAGTCACCTGAAATGGTTTTTACTTCACAGGTGTGCCTTGTCAGGGTTACTTCATGACTAACAGAGTCAGTCACTAAGTACTTCTGTCATCAAGAGAAAAGGGTGGCTGTTTTAAAGAAACTAGAATATAAAACATGTTTTCAGTTATTTCACACTTTTTTATAAGTACAAAATTCCACGTGTTCATTCATAGTTTTGATGCCTTCAGTGATAATCTACAATGTAAATAGTCTTACAAAGAAATAAAGAAAATACATTGAATGAGAAAGTGTGTCCAAACTTTTGGCCTGTACTGTATATATGTTAATCATTAATGAAGTATTGATTGACAAGGTTATATTGTTGTCAAGTATCATCACGTATGTGTTCTTATGCTGGATGGTGTTTCTGTTCGAATAGATAATTTGGTTTTCTGTCCTAACTTTCAAAAAAAGTCGTTAATCCTCTGTTATGATCAAAGTTTACTTTTCGTTAAATGTCATGTTTTAATGCATCTGCTCATAAGAAACAATGAAGTGAAATGTGATTGTATGTGATGTTATAAACAGTTTAATCATAGTGAGTGAGTAAATTAGATCTAGCTCGCTTTTAATATCAAGTTAAGTTAATTCGCTGCCAGTCGACTGGCCGCATGGGGAACAACGATTGCATAAGTCCCCCCCCCCCCTTTTGGTTCACGCCCCACGTGACCTGCTTAAAAGAGTTGAGCTTTTGCCGCCCTTGGCTTCTTCTGCTTTTTGCGTCTTGACTTTTTTGTGCTTCTTCGTTCTTAAATGGTTCTTTTGTCTCCGTCCATCGTCTTGCAATTTTTCTCAGTTTTATTATCTGCCTTAAGCTCAGACTTTTCCAGAAACTTGGATGAAACCATACCCAAGTTTCTTTAAAGCATCAGTAATTAGCTGCGCGCATAGAGAACCTCAGTCTAAGCCTTTTACTTTATTTTTAGTTCACTAAAGTGACTCCTGAAGATAATATCGGCTGGCTAGCGAAATTATTTTCTTAAGTTATTGGCGCGAATTAATCTGCAATAAAGCTAGTCCTGAACGCCCGGAGGACCGACCAGCATCATCTGCCGAGCTGCGTTTGCCACCTGGTTCCGAGAGGCCAAAAGAACTAAAGTATCTAACAGCGCTGACACAGTCCTGAAGCCTGAGACCCATTCAAGGCAGAGAACTCCCCGCCGAACCGTCAGCATCCGGTCCGGTAGCCGCAGAACTTCAGCTGATCCATTCCAAGAGTGCCGCTGAGATCCGACATCCCAAGTAGGCAAACTCCTCGAAACTGCTGTATCAACTGGGTGATGCTGTCAAGCGTTCTGTCGCTTATTTTCCTAGTTATAGCCTAGTTCTCCAAAATTCCTCTTTAAAATTTACCCTCGTAACTCCGTTAACGTAGGTTAAATTTTCTCTTATTCACTCACTATCATTAACCTCCAGTCTTAGGTTCAGTTCAAACCATTCCTTCATTTATTCATTAGATGTTCTTTGATTTTCTCATTATTTGATCATCATTTATTGAAGTTTTGTTATCAAATAGCTTGTTAATTAATTATCCATTTAATTTTAAGTTGTCGTCTCTTAGTGGTCTTTCAGAAAGTAGTCCCTGAATGGAGAATTCCGGCCTCAGATGAGAGATTGATTTAAATCTGTTTAAGACTGTTTCAACGTTTGATTACTCAATTGAACTTTGTTTTGTCTTTTTTCCCACCAGAAAGGTGGGTGGTGCCCCTTCAACGAGTGCATAAATGTCATAATTTAATTTGATCAATTTTGGACATTTATTCTGAATTCAAGTCGCTACACTTCATAGTAGTTGGAAGAGGGTGTGATTCAAAAATTTTCTTTAACATATGGTAAAAGAGGTATTTAAGATATTCCCAGAAATGCTTATAGAAATTGCTAGTTAGACCATCTGAACCCGGAGATTTATCTAATGCTAGGTTAACCTTTTCTATTTCGGCCTTACTGATATCTGCCTCACATATGTTTTGAAACACTCATCAACTCTGGGGGTCCATTCCTTAACATACTCAAAAAAGGCATCAGCATCTGGGGATGAATAAGAGGACGAATACAATTTACTGTAAAATTTGAAGATTTCCTTAGAGATTAACTTTGGGTCAGTGCATTCTTGACTATCTATCAGTAAAGTTCTTACAGCATTCCACTCTTGTCTTCTCTTTTCCAATCTACAAAAATATGCTGAGCTCCTCTCTCCTTCTTCCATCCATTTTGCTCTCGATCTAATATAAGCTCCCCTGGCTTTAGAAATGTAGATGTTATCTAATGATTTTTTTGTCTGCTATTCTCATTTGCAGATGGTTTATTACAGATACTGTTGATTTCTTTCATGATTTCCAGTTCTTTTTTCTTACTATCCCTGCTTATTGTCTTTCTTGTTGAGATAGAAATCTGGCGTACTTGATGTTTCAAATACTCCCACTTCTCTCTAGTTTTAGTTTTAATGTTACTATCTGTAATTGCATTATTTATAGCATTAATTACTTTTTGACAAAAAGGTTCATTTTTCAGAAAATTTTAATTAATTTTCCAATACCCTTTTTTAAAATGTGTGTTTGAGGATATAAAATTAAGTTTAATTGTGCTATGATCTGTTAAAGGTGCAGCTGAAATTGAAGAGGTTGAGTTAAGCCCAGGCCTAATATCTGACACCAACCAAAAATCAGTTCTGGATTCAGTCAAACCATCTGGTTAGAACCACGTGTAAGTTTGGGTATCTAGACTATCAAAACGCCATGGCCCTCATTTATCAACATTGCGCAGATCTGAGTGCAGGATTCATTGTACGATAGGACACATGTGAGATGTATGAAAGGGTTCGTATCTGACCAATCCCAGCGTACGTATGATAAATGATAAATGCGGCGGCTGAAATCGATCATCATTAACATGTTTACGCCCTTAAATATTCGTGGTTCAGAAGCCTCGCCCACTGAGGTCAAACATGAAAGAGGAGAAATATTAGAAAGATGCGAAACTTTTCCGAGCTGAAAGTGGATATCCTCGCATCTGTGGTGGAAACTTAGAAGGATTTTCTCTTTGGAAGCATCAAAACTGGTATAAAAGCAATCCAGAAAACTCCTGTCTGGAGCAGGATTATTGGTGGCGGTGAACAGCGCTGCTGCGGAATAGCGGACAGCAGTTTGAGTAAATCATTAGTCAATAAGTTGCTCATGATGATTAATTAATATTTCATACATGCCTCATATTTTTTTATCGCCATGACATAGGGTACGTTGCTCCTATTATTGAAAGTATTTAGTTTTAATTTGTTGCTTCTTTGTAATGTAGAGCAGACTGGAGAGTCTGACAGAGGCTGAACAAAAATAATTCTTAACCTCACCAAACGGTGTGTTGCTGCCCCTGAGGCACATTTTTTATGGAATTCTATTTGATTTTTATTACTGAATAAATAGCAAGAGCACTTTCTAAAACTTATACTTTGCATCAGAATCCATCGATAAGGCCCTGTCTCCTCTGTACAGAACCTTTCAGGAGTGTACAACAACGTCCCTGCTGCTGGGCCAAGAGAGAGACACCTGCCTTTTAGGAGTCAAACGCAGTGCTCCACAGTGGCGCGTGTGTGCGCAATGTTAAAACGGTGCTCCTGGGGCCTATTCTACGAAGCAAGTTCAACTTAGCGAGGTAGCCTTGGAGCTACCTCGCTCAACTTAGCGTGGTAGCCAGCGGTTTCGCTAAATGGTCTTACGGCGCTGGTTATAAGTATATCCAGCTTTGCTATGAGCGCGTGCACACATGTAAGGCGGAGCCCGCCGCATCTGACCAATCGCGAACATGGACCAGTCTGAAGCATCAGAGCAGGCTGGAGAGTGAAGGACCGCGTACTTTACAAACGAGGAGCAGGAGACGATCATGAGAAAGTATGAAGAATTCAAATCTATCATAAACCTCAAAAGCAACACCGTCGCCGCTGCAAAAGCACGGAAGGAATGCTGGCAGAAAATTGCCAACAGTCTCAATGCGTAAGTATAGTGCGCAAAAATTTTTTGATGCCATTATCACCCTGAAATAGCACTGTTCAACATGCGCTTTTAACATGCACCAGACATGTCTAATTCATTTCCAAGATGAATTCATTCATTTGTTCATTCCTATCGTCTTTACTTTTTTTGTGTGATATGTAGGCCATATGAGCCTTTCATAAAGGTGGTCATCTGGAAAAGTAAGTGGGTCTGTGCGGTCCCTGAAAACTCTCGCGCGCCGGAGTGCTCCTCGGACAATGCGAGCACCGAGGTCTATAGGATCCTCCAAGAACAGACAAGCCATTTTTTTAGAGAGCTCATTTGTCATCAGGTGGGGTTTTTATACCCGGTGAGTTCAATCTGGAACCCGTTCAGCTTACGTTGCCATGGAGACTCGCCTCACTAAAAAGTGAACCCGCGTCGTACAACAGGAAACCCCGAACTTACCCTCGAAGTTACCTCGCTAAGCAGTAATCCTGCTTCGTAGAATAGGCCCCTGCTCTGTGGCTGTGGTTCTGGGCAGAGTTATCAAATAGGCCTATTCACTAAGGACATTCAAAATTTATTTTATTTTATTTGCGTCTTAATCTTTAATGAAATCTGTCTGATAGTGCTAAGTGACAGGTTTGAGGTTTGTATATCAATTATTTTGAGACAGACATTTGCTGCACTGCAGATCCACACTGACTCAAACTTGCGTACACGATGTCAGACCTGTCGTGAGATTTGGTCGTAGCGTACGCTCACATGCAGATTGATAAATGCCGATCCTCACGTCAAAATTGTCGTACGCAAGTTTTCTGCCGTATGCAAGCTTGATAAATGAGGGCCCATGTGTCTTTCAGATTAAACACACCACAAAAGTCAAGCAAAACAGGATTATAAGAATGATTTTATTATTTTGAAGGATACCAAGCCACTCATCCATAGCCATATTAAAATCGCCACCAAAAATAAGGTTTTTGGTAGGATACCTTTGGTAGAGATCCTTGACTGACTATGTGATTTTGGAAATCATTTTTTTGTTCTGGTTAAGATTGTTGTATCCATAAATGTTTCCTAGAATTAGAAAATCCTCATTTGCTTCAAAAACACAAATTATCCAGTGGTCAAAATTCTCCCATGGAAGTTGTCTAAGAGTATGGCCACACCTGCTGATCTGTTTGTGCCGTGACTAAATATAATTCTGTCACCCCATTGATTTGACCAGAATTGTCATCAGTGTTATTCGAATGAGTTTCTTGTAGGAGAACACATTGTGCTTTTTCATTTTTACAGAATAAGAAGGTTGATTTTCTTGTAATAGAGTCTCTAAGGCCCCTAGCATTTAGAGAAATACAGGAGAATTTAGAATTGAAAAAAGGCAAAAAAAAAAAAAGGTTTAAATTTAACTGAGAAGTGTGTACTTGTTCAAGATTAAACACTCAAGTAATGCCCCTATCTAACACTTTTTGAAGTAATAAAAATTTGCAACACAATTTTGTCCGTCTATATTTATATCAGCGATTAAAAGGATGTAGATATTGATGTAAACTTGGGGAAAACAAGAGTAAAGTCAGGCACATATGTACCTAAAGCATAACCTTCAAGCTTAGTTTAAGGTAAAGTGCACCAACCTCCATTTAACAGGATCATATAATATAAAAATGTTTATCAAAAAAGAAACATTGAGATAGCCTAACATCATTTAATGGTACTATAACATACCAACTAGAGATTTGAGATTTCTGCTTAAACTGTATTCTGAAACACATCAAAAAGGAACACCAGAGTATTAGTTCGGGGTAAAAAATTAAACCTCTTTTTTTCCCTTTAATCACTATGATGCCTAAAACAAGGAACCTGGGGTAATAGTGTAAACAAGAGCCCTGAGCAGAGCACTGAACATGAAGGTGCTGAAAATGATTTAAACCCCTTTTCCAAAGGAAGGCTCAAATACCTGGGAGAGAGAGGCTCATAGTCTGTTGCTCTTTATAAATTCTCTAATCTAGTGCCACCCTGTTGCCATTAATGTACCCTACATGACCTCTCAAGTACACATTCTTTCCTGTAGCCCGGGCTTGCTCCATCTTTGGCCACGCAGCCGCACGAGCCTCTCGGTCGGCTTTGCAGAAATCTTGTTTGAAGTGAATCCCCAAGTCTTTGCAGATTTTTCAGTTCTTGGACAGCTTCCAGAATTCATCCTGGTGGTGTCTCATGGTGAACTGCACAATGACTTGGCACTGCTTCCCCTCCTCTCTTTTCCCAAGGCGGTGAACGGTGTCAACCACGCTTTCCATAAATGAAGCCCTCTGTGGTTCAATCTTGGACAGGTTCGCTATGATAATGTCTCGAATGCGTTCATCTTTTTCTTTGAGGCCGTGTACTTTGAGGTTCCAGCGCCTCCTGTACCTCTCCAGCTGTTATCCTTTTTTTTTAGCTCCTCATTTTCTTTGATGTGACGAGGCATTTCTTTTTTCACTGCCTGAATCTTTTCTTTACACTCTTTAATCTCTGCTGCATTTATCTCCACAATTTTGGAGATGTTAGCCACCATAATGGAGTTTTCTCTTAGCTGAGCACCGAAAGTATTTGTTTTCTCAGTTAGCTTGTCTATAGCATTGACAAGAGTTGCCTTGCCAAACCCAGACTGTCTGTACTTGGAGAGGTTGATTTTGGCATTGTCAATAATACTGACCTCAATATCAAGCTGCATTGAACTGGATTGAAGAAGCTTGTTTACCTGGATTGTGGTGGTTAGAAGTTTACACCACACAACAGAGCAAATAAAAAAATCGAAATGAGGCTACTTCCTCAGCAAGAGCTTGAGCCTCCACTCTTGCCACCAGGGGCCTGTTCTACGAAGCAGGATTACTGCTTAGCGAGGTAACTTCGAGGTTTCCTGTTGTACGACGCGGGTTCACTTCTTAGCGAGGTGAGTCTCCATGGCAACATACGCTGAACGGCTAACCTGCTCCGGGGCAGGTCAAGTTCCAGATTGAACTCACCGAGTATTAAAAACCCCGCCCACCGACCAATGAGCTCTCTCGAAAAATGGCTTGTCCGTTCTTGGAGGATCCTGTAGACCTCGGTGCTCGTATTGTCCGAGGAGCACTCTGGCGCGCGAGAGTTTACAGGGACCGCACGGACTCACTTACTTTTCCGGATGACCACCTTTATGAAAGGCTCATATGGCCTACAATGAATGAATTCATCTTGGAAATTAATGGGCATGGGCTGCATGATCACAGACAACGTCTCGATACTATTTAGTAGCAGCGCACGCCCCTTGTAATAACCCCCGTAAAAACTGTTGTTCGGGACTGCTTACTTGTGCATTTTTGTTCTCATTCATGAAACGCTTAAATCGGGGACATTTTCGGGGACAGCTTTAGCCAGGGAAAGATCATCCAATTCGGGGACTGTCCCCGGAAATCGGCGTCGTCTGGTCACCTTAGTTAAAAGCGCACGTTGAACAGTGCTATTTCAGGGTGATAATGGCATCAAGGATTACTTTTCTGCCAGCATTCCTTCCGTGCTTTTGCAGCGGCGACGGTGTTGTTGCTTTTGAGGTTTATGATAGATTTGAATTCTTCATACTTTCTCATGATCGTATCCTGCTCCTGGTTTGTAAAGTACACGGTCCTTCGCTCTCCGGCCTGCTCTGATGCTCCAGACTTGTCCGTGTTCGCGATTGGTCAGATGCGGCGGGCTCCGCCTTACGTGTGCACGCGCTCATAGCAAAGCTGGCTCAACTTACGAGGTTGTTAACCAGCGTCGTAACACCGTTTAGCAAGACCGCTGGCTACCGTGCTAAGTTGAGCGAGGTAGCTCCAAGGCTACCTCGCTAGGTCGAACCTGCTTCGTAGAACAGGCCCCAGATCACTTAGAGCCTTCCTGGCCTCCAGTAGAGTATTTCACACTTCTTTTTTTTTTAAATTCCGGACAGCTTTTACACTCCATGTCACTTTCACGTCACTCCAGGATTTCAGTGTCAGTTTGACATGCTTTGTCAAAATGGCCCGTTGCCGGGTTGCACCAGAGAAGAAACTGGATCATTTCTGCAAATACCCAGAGTAGCCAGTGGCATCCTAAGAGGACTTGGTAGCATCAGCTATGACAAGATTCATAGTGTGAGCTACACAAGGAACAAACGATGCTCTTAGATTTAACTGTAGCAGTCTAGCCTGACCACCTTGCTTCTTCCCCTTCATGTTGGCTCCATTGTCATAGGCTTGTCCTCGACAATTTTCAAATGGAATGCCAAGATCCTTTAACATGTCTTGGACAACATTGGACAGGTTAAGGCCAGTAGTTACCTCCACATCAAGATATCCCAGAAAGTATTCTTTAATGTCTTGTTGCAGCTGGAAACAGACAATGCACACTATGACTGACATCTCTTACTTGTGACTTATATCTGGAAATGCGAACTGGACACGTCTCACAATGTTGCACTATGTTTCTGAAGAGGTTATCTGAACTAGTCAGTTGCATCTGGTGTTGGAGGGCCTTCATGCTTCTGCATATAGGGAGGGAGCGAGTGCTGTGGGAGTGGGAGCGTAATTAGGCTATTCTTCTTACCGATCAAGAAGCTTCTACATGGAGTCTATAACTCTGTGCGCTTCATAAATATCCAGGGATAATTCACAACTCTGATCAGCAGAAGTCTGGCATCCCTCCCAGCATCTGGCTAACCCAGGAAAAATTTTTGAAACCTAATTAGACATTAACCAGTTCAGAACAAATTAAGGCCACACATTTACTTTCCCTCACATGAAATTGTGTGTTTTATACTTTACATGTAATCATTCAGTTAAAAAAGAAAAAATGCATTTACTACAATTTTCCTCATGATATTTTATAGATCAGGAGATGACACTTAATCAGACAATTTTAAATTTAGTGTAACCAATGTGCAAAATTATCAGATAGAAAAGGTTTCCTGCATACCTTGATTTCAGGCACCTGATATTGTCTGATAAAAAAAGTCTTCTCTGATCAACTCTGGCAGTCCTCAATCAGACATGGTCTCAGAATCAGCCAATTAGGGTCACGGCACCAAAATTGTAAGAAAAAGTTCTTTAGTTGACTGCTTAAGGACAACCAGAGAAGTCTTCGGCTGATGGTCCTCTACTGTTTCCATCAGGTTCAGGTCTGTGCCCGTCAGTCAGCTGACAGTTTAACTGCTCTCCAAAAGCGTCCAGCAGGTGAGGGACGGTTTCCTCCACAGTGACGTCTCTCCGCAGCTCGGCACTCAGTGATGTTACTCCTTTACCCTCAATACCACATGGGACAATGTGGCTGAACCACGACATGTCTGTGTTACAGTTCAGAGCCAAACCATGAGACGTGATGTATCGGCCACAGTGGATTCCTGATGGTACACAAACAGAAATGATCTGATCTGATGATATGATCACTCACACAATAATCTGATTACTGAGTTTGATTAGCTGCTGATTTATTTATCAATGTTATACATGTGTTGATTTTAAACTATAAATAATCCAGTTAGTTAGGCTTCCTTACTAATAATTCTCTATATGTGTTATTAACAGCAGGTGGATGATTCACAGCTACTAATTTGAAAAATGGAAAAAAAAAACAGTCAAATGAGTTATTTCTGCTTTCTGTCCTCAGAGTTTGTCTTGAAATGGATAAAATCTGTTTTGGAGCTGTGTTCGGGCAGCCTGGAACTCTGCAGGAGGATTTGAGTCTGAGGGCACTGGTCTCTTGAACTACTTTTAGATTTGACTGAAGGTGCTGGAGAAAGATGCATTGGCTGCAGATGCTCTGACTGATGATTTCTGTTATGTGACCAAGGATATGTCGACGTGTTTTGTAATTTTTGTTGTGTTGTCTGTCTGTAACTTTGATGAAATATGCTGCTGCGAAGTTTGGCCAGAGCACTCTGTAAGAGGTTTTATATGTTTGCGAGGCTTTCCTGGCTCTAAGTGAATACATGAATGAACAAACAGAAAAACTAATACATTTTAAAAAGTCTCCCTCACACATTCTCAGTCACAGTGCAGGAAATCAGGATGGTCCTTGTGACCCACTGTAGCTGTGAGAGAGGCTTAGAGAGATACTTCTAAGTCTAAAGGGTCTGTCCAGCCCTTTTTTACTTCACTGCTCCACTGAGAAATTGCCAGCAGAGTAGGAAACAGGCTGAAATGAACACAAATGACTCTTTGGAAGGAAGCAAGGAACTGCTGTACACTGACTGAAAGAAAAGATAGATTCAGAGGATGAACCTTTGGGAGACAGGATGATGATGAAACTGAATCAGTTTTCAAATAAAGACAAACAGGCTGATCAGGGGCCTCATTTTTAAAACACTGCGTAGGAAAGATCACTACAGGTGGTGTATGTTGGGAACACAGGAAATACGTGCGCACAAAAATTTCAGATTTATAACAGAGTGCGCACGCGCGTCCTACACCTGTTTCCATTAAAAAAAAACAATCATCTCTACAGTTGTCGCATGTGAGGGAACACTTTGCCCTGCCTATATGGTGCCTTTAAAAGGGTAGGTGAACGCAGAGCTCAAGGCATAAGTGAACTAAGTGTCTGCTTAGGGCCCTGCAGCCATTAGGGGGCCCCAAACAGCAGTCACAAATTTTTTTTTTTAACATTTATTTTTTTTTGCGTGTATGAGTGATGCTTTCTGTATGATCAAAAATATATTATTGTCAAAATAAAATAAAATAAAGTAAAAATATTTTAGTGCTGCTGCTGATGTGGGCCTATGATTCTTACTGCCAATATGTCAAAGCTCTGCTACCGTTATGTGCCTTCTGCTGTGCAATATGCACTGAGCATCCAAAGCACAGGTAGTTGTGGGGCAAAACAATGACGCCATAAAGGACATATCCTTCAGGAGCAGAGAAAAGAAAGAGGAAGAAAGAGAAAAACGCCAAGATAAGGTATGTTTCCATGTCATGGAAAGTTAATCAAAGAGATTTGTGAAGGTGTGTGAATGATCAAATTTTGCTTAGGGCCCCATTGAGGCTTGGGCTGGCTCTGCGTGAATGCCCTTGAGAAATATTCAACGATACCAATTTTATGATGAACCAAGAGGGAAAACAAGTGAAAAAAAAAGAAATTCCACTCAATGTGGGGTCAAGATATTAATAGGTAAGGTGGAGGTGAGAGTCTTATTTGATAGGCACAGTGTGGGCATCACTCATGCCAGAAAGGCAAAACAGTGGGAGCATGGAGCTGATGCCGAAATAACCTCAGAGGGTTGGACTGTGGATGGTCAAAAAAGATTCCTTCAGTACCTGCATAGGTGGGGCCAAAGATGACCAATCACAGCTGGTTTAATTGTATCGATATAAAGCTGATCAGTTAGTGTTCAAAATGAAACCTGAACAATCTCGAAAAATTTGAAGGAACCTGAAGTCCTCCTGTCTGAGAGTTTGTGACAGAGATGGATAAGGTGGTCATACCAATGGCACAGATCTTGTTGTCTCCAACCCAAACTCCTGTGTGAGGAGACGTGGATGCGTTGATGCCAAACCTGCTGCAGACGGAGATGATGGTCTTTTCCAGCTCACAGACATACCAGCGAACGCTCTGAAGGGGGCAGATCAGAGGTTAGTCCACTCACTGACAAAACATCTGAAACTAAACATTTAGTGACTCCAGACCTTCTTGAAGCTGCTCAGGTTGAGGACTGGGTAGCAGACCAGCTGACCTGGTCCATGGAAAGTTATGAGTCCTCCCCGGTTGGCACGGTAGACATCGGCCCCCAGCTCTCGGAGGTGGTCCAACACAGTAGCGGGGTAAGGTTTGTGTCGGATTCCAGTGGTGTAGACTGGTAGGTGCTGACAGAGGAGAAGAGTGTGAGCCGGACCTGACCGGTGCCGATTCACATAGACCTGCTGCAGCAGCAGAGCCTCCTGATAGGAGACCAGGCCCAGACGGACCACCTCCACCACTGGCCTGCCCCCCTGCATCCAGGACCAGGATAATATCAGGAGACTGGTACTGTAACCAGACATTTCCAGAGAAAGTTAAAAAGAGGGTATTGTGCATTTTTTCAGACTCTATACTTCCTCTCTGATTCCTGTTTAATATCTTGACATGATTTTCAGATCAAAAACAGCCTCCTGTTTCTCCCTCTGGTGGATTAAAATATCATTTGTTCAGCCTCAGCCTAAAACCCCTTATTTTAGCTGCCTGCCCATGTAGGCATTCATTGAGTCTCACGTCTTAGTGCAGGCTCCCGTTTTCAGTAGTATATATCTATTTTCTAAGATTTTGACAACATACGTTTACCTTGTGATTTTAAACTATAAATACATGTAGTATGGAAACCAAACATTGTAACATAGCAGTTTTTGTTGTAAATGTGGAAAAACATAATATCACCCCTTTTAAAGACCTCTAGCTACAGCAGAGGAAACATCATGTTCACTGTCAGGAGGGTTTGCAGTTTAAATTCCACTTGAGTTGTTTGGTGATTTACTTCAGGGAGTGAAGGATTTGTAAGGTGGGTGTGATACACTGACTGAGGGGTCCCCCATCAGGGTCTGTGATGTCTGTGTTAATGGAATTGCAAAATTGGCCAATAAAAACAAATTCTAACCTCAAAATTTTGCACACACGTGCACAACTCTGCCTGGCGCAGTAGTGTCCTCTTTTTGGGTATTCAGAATATGGTCCCTATTGGTGCTTTCTAAAGTCTGCCCCAATTTAAGCCCTATGTCACATATGTCATAAAAAGTGCCACACCAGACAGAACGTGGTGGTAAATCACACAGTCATATTGTAATCCTAGCCAGGCTGCTTGAGCATGTGACTGTGCACAAGCTATATTACTGATGGTTGGCCTAAGTTATAATCATGAGATACTATAATAATAATAATAATAATAACAATAATAATAATAATGAAAATAAAAACAAATAAAAAACAAAAGCTCAGCTAAAACAAGGCCTCCAAATTTCATTTGTCATAAGGAACCCAGACAATAAAAGAATCCTACCACATAAAATGAGCCCATGAGGACCAAAATAAAAATATAAAATAGGTAAGAAAAAGAAATGTAATAAAAAAAAAAAAAAAGGGGGGGGGGGGGTGAAAGGTTATAGTAATAATGAAATAGAATGACAAAAATTATCAGGAAATAAACAATAAAATCAATAAAAGGCCTAAGAGGTTAAATAAGAAAAGATAAGTAGAAAAGACGGCATCGCATAAAAGCAAGTCTGTCAAAGTGAGTTTTTAAGATTGACTTAAAAGAAGTGACTGACTGCACACCTTATCTCATCTGGCCCTATCAACTTTCCGATCAAATCTTCTGTTGTGTCTTTTTTTACCTCAAACTTCACCTCCAGCTGTTACGGATCCTCTCTTATCTGCTCCACTCTCAGTGCGCCGCCATTGTTGTTACTCTTCTTCTTCTTCTTCTTCTTCTTCTTGATTCCTTTTTTTTGGCGGTTGGCAAACAACGTTATGGTGCATTACCGCCACCAACTGATCTGGAGTGTGGATCTGGCTCTTAAAAATACTAATGAAAATACATTTAAAAAATAAAATAAAAATTAAAATAAAAAAATAAATTAAATTCTTCTTCGATGGTCCTAAAAATATTTGTGCGGTTCTTTTACAGGTCTCTTCTGCCACCTGCTGACCGAAAAACAAAAACTAAATGACATTTTCTTTCAAATCATTACAATAAACATTACTTCAAGTCTAATTCCACTTTGAATTCAGTCTATTATCGTCGTGGACCAATTAATCAATTCATTGTTTAATTTGTTTAATTTTAAAAGGATTTGAATTTCTTCTCTGAACGTGTTGCGTTCATGAGCAGCCTTAGAATTTTATGGCGTCAACAGATCCTACTTAATGGGATATAACCATAGACTGTGTCTATGGATATAACGCGTTAATGAACAGGCGATTACATTTTGTCAGTAAAACATAACTTACATACATTATTATTATTATTATTGTTATAATTATCATCATTATTCTGAAGGAGTTGGCCGTTCAAGGAGAAAATACCTGACCTAAGCATTAACTATGAGAAACGAAATTCCGAGTTTCTAAAAGGCGGCAACAACCCCCCCCCCCCTCCCCCTCCCCGCGCAGGCCGGAGGACTGCTGTGCGTTCCGGCGGCAGCAGGGCGGGGTTTGTTTTGAGAGCAGCCCGGAGAGAGAAGACTCACCAGGGAAGATGGCGACCGCAGGGTCCGCCGAACGGCCTGGCGCCCCGGTCAGAGCCGCCACCGGCAGATGCTGGTCCGGGTCAGGCCTGGGAGCCGGGTGCGGGACCAGGTCTAGCCCGCCCGACGACGAGGGCAATAAGTGTTCGGCGTGCGTGGAAGGACAGCCCGGCGGCAGCCCGCCCTGCGGACACCCGGCCTGCCCGCTCTGTCTGGCCCACAGACACTCCGGCAGCAGAGAGCGGCTCCGGAGGAGGAGCGACCCCGAGAGGAGTAGCAGCAGGCCGGGCAGGAGGGACCTCGACAACCGGAGAGGTCAGTGTGTTTACCAGGAAAGCTTAGCTCTTTATCCGCTGTATGAGCATCGCCGCCGACCGTTTGTTTTCACTAATACCCACCAGAAAACCGGAGAGACAGAATCTAACTTTATGTAACTTAAGCAGGAGTCCCGAGGAGGTGATTACAGTCTGACAGGTAAAACTAACCTAGAGTCGGCTCACTCATTGATTGAGGATTGAGTCCGAGCTGCTGCAGGAAAAACCGACCAGTCGGACTTTCTAAGAGCAGGGTCCCTGTGTATGTTTGAGGTTTGATTGGAGCAGAAACTGACCTCCAGTGAGCTTAGTGAGACTCGAATCAGTGAAAAGACCAGAAATCAGACATGAGCAGATTCCTGTCACTGTGAGCTTTACAGTCTCACCTTCATTCACGTTAACGTGTTCACAGGGAGAGGACGTGTGTTCAGGAGTTTTCGGTCAGATTTGTGGTGAGGTCTGCTGATGGAGGACTTGTCTAGACTTGTGCTTCGGTAGGAGGAGCTGAAGTTTGTTATTTTCTGCCTGTCTGTCTCCTTCATCACCGTCTGTTTGACTATGAGCAGTAGAATTTGCTTCCGCTGATCACATGATCACTGTTATCATCTACCTGTATTCACTAGCTCTAGACTTTAGTCAATAATGTCACGCGCGTGTTTTCCCCCCCTTTTCCGGTGGTGTTCTTTTTTTAAATGGGGTCCGTGCCTGATTGAATCAGTATTAATGTGACTTTATTGCAGCTGTTATGTCTCAGAGAGAAGGCTTTATAAAGAGGACTGCTACAAACTCAAAAGTGTTGTGTTGAATTCACTTAACCAGTAACAAAAAAAACTTAAGTTATGTGGTGACAGAGGACTTCATACATCTATATTTAATAGGGGTGGGAGAAAAAATAATGCAGACTAGTATTGTGATATTTTGTCTGGTGATATATCGTATTGTCTCATTTACCAAGTATTAATTTTTTTAAATTAATTGTTAATATGAAGTCAAATCTATGACAATAAAAAAAAAAATCAACTGTTTGTCCAGTGAGGTTGGCAGAGGTGACATCATAGAGCAGGAGAAAGTTACTGCAACAAATATATAAGGTTTGCAAGATGTGCTACATGAAAATAAAATACAGCATAAATAAGACAAACATAAAGATAAAGACAAATGCTAAATTAGCCAAACAGATAAAATTTCTTTACAAATTGTAATATATTGTATCACATAACTCACCATATTGCAATATGTTAAAAATCGCACTGATATCGTATTATGGGGCCACTAGTGATTCTTACCTCTACTGTTGAAGTCTATTTTATTGATTTCTGAGGTTTTTATCAGTAGTTTTGAATATGCTTCAGTCTGATCTTTGAGTAGCTCTGCTAATATGTGTCCTCAGAGTTCTTCGCATCTCCTTCCATCATCCCTAAGGGTGCAGACTTTTTATCAGCACTGAGCGGGAAACACAAGGTGAGTCTGAGTCGCTGCTTGGTTTGTCTGAGCTGTCTCTGAATGTAGTGTGAGATTTTTACAGTTGTGAGTGTTGTTTTGCAACTCTGAATGGTTGGTGTGTTTCAGCTGCTGATGTGTGAGGACAGAGAGGAGGTGAAGAGGAGAAACACTCTGATCTGTAAAGATGAGTCAGTTCGACACCAGAGCGAGCCTGTGAGTCTGAATCCTTCACGTTTACTCCACCTAAAGATGCAAACCTGGAGCTGTGAGAGCTAGGAATTGTAATGAAAACACAAATGACTCTCTCCTGAAAATGTTCAGTTTGGACCTCTTCAGTCTGCAGCAGCTTACTTGTTTCTTAAACTGTATTTTTCAGGGAGTCCTGTCTGACTCAGAGAACGAGGAGCCAATAAGCAGGAGGATCAGGAATATCTCTGCCTTCATCAGGAAAACCAAAAACTCTGCAGCTCTCACCAGGTGAGCACCAGAGGAACTCAGGATCACAGCCAGCACTTACCTTAAAGCCTTGTGACCCCTGGTGTTTTCTTCTTCTTCAGTGGGTCTCAGAGGAGTCAGAGCTGCACAGACTCAGTGGAGGACAGAGGAGGGAAGCTTAAGGTGGTCCTGCAGCCCGCTATGGTGGACAGGGTTCGTTAAACAAATAAGTTTACTTAACCTGAGACAACACATGATGTTTCATCATATATTGTTGACCAAAACAAAAAAAAAATCAATTGATGGTTTCCAAATCATTTAAAACTGATGCTGAAAGTAGAGCAAAGATATCAGCTCCTCTGTCACCAACCCTCTGTAAATCTTAGTGAACCCAGCAGACCAGGTTCTGGAGTCTGTGAGTGAAATGAAGAAGAAGTGTTATAATGATGGCTCATCCTTCTGGTGTCATATAACAACTCTTCACCTGTTTGGTTCTTCCTCTATTACAACGTTGTAGAAACATCTCATTTAAAATGAGCATATTGAGATTTTTCTAAAATAAGGAGAGAAGAATCTTATAACCTAACAACTTATGAGACCATTTCTAAAAACTGAGGCTGTTTAAAATAACAAGATTCTTGGATATTCTATTTGCTACTTTTGACTCATTGTAGGGTAAATGTTTCAAACTGTATGGATAGATATTAAAAAAACAGTGTTTAAACTAAGTAAGCTGAGATGACAGAAAGTAATAGTAAAACCTGGGGAGCTTCATGCCTCCAGACTCATAAGGTAAATGTAACACTGACATACAAATTCATGGGGTTTATTGTTCCATATAAAGGAAGACACTAAACTTTGAACTTTTTTAAAATAGGATTCTGGTGGAGTAATTAGACGGTTTTGAAATGAATATAGAAAATTAGGCAGACAGACAGAAGATATTTCCATTCCATTCAACGACTAAAACTCAGGAAAGGGAAATGTTCCTTTTCAAAGTAAATGTCTGCTCAGAGCCATTTTCAGAGAAGCAAAGAGTGGTGTGTACTTCTATCTCTGATCCTTCCCCTCCTGTCCGTCAGGTTGGGATCAGTCACAGCTTCACAGCGGGAATCCTCCTCTCCTCTGAGAACAGTCGCTCTGTCTCTGCCCCCATCACTGCCCCTGACCGCAAGCTCACTTGGCGAGCTGTCATCACATCATCGTCCACTCCTGTGGTCCTCCCTCCGCCCCGGCTCGAGCACTCCATCAGCCCTGAGAGCAATGACAGCATCTCTGAAGAACTCAACCACTTCAAACCCATTGTCTGCTCTCCATGCACACCACCCAAACGGCTGCCGGATGGCCGTCTGATGGAGCCGACCATTGTGAAGTCCACGCCAAGAAACCTGACACGGGGCCTGCAGAAGGCGACCAGCTACGAGGCCAGCCCCGCTGTCCTGCAGAAGTGGAGGCAGATCGAACTCGACCGCCAGAGTCTCAAGGATAATTCAAAGGCAACGCTAACGAGCCCGATCAACGAGATTTTCAGCAAGACCATAGGAGGGGAGGACGAACGAGAAGGTGTCGCTAAGACCTGCAAGTCCCCAGCACGACGGGACGGGGACGCCACAATGAGCATCAACAAGAGGAAGCTGCTCTTCGACCCTCCAGTCGGGGACACAGACGCCCTGCAGAAACAGTCTGTGAAGATCCGGGTCCCTGCAATCCGCTACAACAGTGAAGCAACTTTCAGAGGAAGTGCAGACTTTGAGACGACAGGTGGTGCTCCTGAATCTTTCGGTGGAGGAGCAATTTTCAGCCACAGACAGTCATTCTCACCATACACTAAAAACTCTGGTTTCCAGTCGTGTAAATTAGTGCCAAAGGACTCACAGAGTCCCAGGAGGGAGTCTGACAGCAGCCTCCACAACCAGTCTACCTCAAGGAGGGGCAAGAAGAAGGAGCAGAAGACCAAACACCTGGACTCAGAGAGGGACTCGGACCTGAAGAGGACACGGGTGGTGGGACAGGAGGAAGAGCGGTACGTCTGTCAGATCCAGCAGGAGCGTCAGGACAGAGCTCTTGCCCTGAAGCTGCAGAGGCAGTTTGACCTGGAGAACCAAACCGGCAGCTGCAGGAGGAGCCCAGACTCTTACTTCCTGCGGTCCTGGAAGTCCAATCAGAACCGCAGGAGGCGTGGTCTAAGGAGATCCCGACGAATCAATAAGAAGCACTAGAAAAAAGTGATCACAGAGTTCATATATGCAAAGAGTTGATGGTGAAGGTTTGAGGGAGTTTGAATGTTTTTACTCAACTCTGTTCTGAGTTTATTTCAGAGTTAAAACTGAGTGAAGAAAAAACTTGACAGTCTGTTAACTGAACCAGTCTCCCACATTTTCTGAGATTTTAACCTCTTTTCACCAGCAAATCACCAAATGAATATGAAAACAGCCACAGGAGGAGGACTCTGAGCAGACAGGAGGACCTTTGACTTTATTTACAGATGAAAGAATAAAAATGTGAAAAATCTAACCCTCAGACTTATCACACAGGAATGATTGATGCTGCAGACGAGGCCCAATGAGTCCATATCAGTCCCTGTGGACCCTCACTCCTGTCTCAGGTGCTCTGAGTTTCTCAGACTTTTTAACCTTCAGTTCTGAGTTTTTTTTAGCCTGGGGCATATTTTCACATGCCGAGGTCAGATTTAAAGGGATATTCTGGCGTGAAATTAATTTAGGGTCAAACCGTAACTGTAAAATTGAGTTAGACACCCCTTTGAGAGATGAATGTTGCTGACTGCTTGCTTCTCTAGTTATACCAACTTTAGTAATGACTGTAGCAATACACAGCAGTCTATGTCTCCACGAGCAAACCTCAACCAAAACACCATTCTATAGCCACAAATAATGCCCAGAACAGCACCTAACTTCATCAACAGTACATGTAGGGTCCCAGCCATAGTACTAGCCACCAAACATCTTTTTAGCTTTGCCTATTGTCTTTAGCAAAGAAACTAAACACAACTCACCTACTCTCTTCCAGCAGCCGCTTGTTTGTTGGGGAGTCCTGATGAGTCGATCACGAGTTAGGCAGTCGGCAACATTTATCTCTCGACGGGGAGTCTCACTCTGTGTTACGTTGTGTTTGACCCTAACTTAATTTTACGCCGGGATATCCCTTTAAGACCTGTTGTCAGTTATAATGGCCTTTTGTGTCAGTTTAGGCATCACAAAAACATCATGGAAGCAGAAAGAAAAATCAGCGGTTGTGTTCACACCGAGGTCTGAGAACATTAAAGAAGTAATCAAGTTAAAATCAACCTCAGTCTATGAGTAACATCCTGAAACCAAGACCAGCAGCCAGCCTTGGTCTCAGAGTCCTCTTAGGAAACATCAGGTGTAACAGACCGTTTAAACTCTGCACTTAGAAAACTGTGCAATAAATCCGGCCATGTTCCTACCAGGGATACAGAACTGGGGGTCTCAGTTTGAGCCCTTCCTGTTACAGTGAGAGAAGAAGGCTCTTTGTTTGTGCTCTGTGGTGCATCTGTTCAGTCTGCAGCCCTAAAATCTGAATGGTTCTCCGGGGAATGGACCCTTGTCCTGCAGAGACTGCGCTCCGTTCTCTCAGACGGTAGATAAAATTCTGACGTGCCGGTCAGGTTTGCCACCACAGTGCGTTGTTATTGCCTGGTTTAAGCTAGTAATGCTAACAGCAACAGGTGCTAACAGCCCAGCAACTGTCCATCTTTGTTTCCACCCCGTTACTGGAATTTGGTCAATGTGGTATTTTCAGCTCCAGCTCTTTTAGGCCGGATTGTAGACCAGCTCTGTCATGTCTAAAAGTATTAAAACACCACGGCGTTCACTGTTGGCAGTTGAAGAGCTCTTAGACTTAATTAAGTCCCAAGTTTCCCTAAAAACAGGTTCAAATGAAAGCTTTTTATTTGGACCTCAAATGAATTAAATTGTTGATTTTTTTTTTTCCTAGAACCGAAGCTTTGTAATTTGGCTTAAAGTTCAATCAAATACTTGGATTCAGGTTTGATTGAGAGGCTACTGAACTGCAGCAAGTTTCTCATAAACTCGTGGAAAAGCAGTCATTTCTGATGAGGAGGATGTTGTGGTGGACCAACAAAACCCTTCCTCACAGTGAGAGCATGCAATTGTACTGAGATCCAGGTGTGGACGCAGGAAAGTCTCCGTTCGTCTGAGGTGCTCTGGCTCAGAAATGAATCCTCAGAAACTCTCTCTAAGAGGCTGAACTCACCTCATAATGACAAGATTTTCAGGGAATTATAAAGCAGCACAGCCAAAATACCGCTGAGCATTAACTCAGAAACACGAGGCTTTCTCTGTTTTCCCCTTTATTTCCTAACTCTGCTTTTCTTCCTGCTCTGTCAGACCACCCTCCCAAAAACAATAAATCACTCTGTGGAGCAAGAGAGTCCAGTTACCTCACCACGTTAAAATACAGAGCAGGGCAATTCTTTTATTATCAAGGCACTCAGATTGACATGATAAATACAGATTTTTTTTCTGTAGGGTTAGAAAACTAAACCCAGAAACCAGGGGAAAAGAGCATCCAGACTTCACAAGGCAGCAAGAGAACCTGAGACTCCACACACATCATGTCCGCTTTCTAACACACACACTGAGAACTCGTTACAGTTTACCTGGGGGAGCCTCCTTAAAGAAAAACTACATGACAGTAAATATGGATAAATGTCAGAGCTGCAGAGGATCCTGGACTCATGGAAACATCAAATATTCTGATATTTAATGAGAAAAATACAACATTTGAGTTTCAGCTTTCTACAGAAAATGATTCAGTTATGGATTTAATGAAAGAAACTATGCTTCACATTATAGTAAACTGTACACTAGAAACTTGCTGATAGTTCAGAAATATTGATCATAAAAATAAGAAGAAAAGAAAGGTTCTAATAAAATTGAAGTCTTAAAGTAACATTCAAAACTAAATAATTATAAAATGATGGAAGAGATCAGAATTACAACAATAATAATTAAAAAAAAGAGTTTAAAAACAATGACGAAAACAATGGTCAATCAAGATACTGATCATGAATCGCATTAAAGGATTAAAAAAGTTACATTTTAATATAGGAAATAAAGGTTAAGTAATAAAACCATAGATAAATAAAACCATTACAGAAATAAATAAGATACTCTTACTTAAGAAAGATAATGATTAGAATATTTATGATATTTAAAGAAGAAAAATGTTATAAAATTATTTAAATAATGTCAGTGATTATTATTATGAATATTAGATTTCAATAAGACAAAAGTTACATTTGTTAAAAGATGATTATCACAAATAAGTTTTACTAACTTTAATAAAATAACGATAAATAAGTCAAAATAGTCAAAATTTGGTAATAGTCTTTACCAAAATAGATAATTATGAAGTATAACTGGATTGATCAGGAATTAAGTTATACAAATAACAAGAATGAAAATAATAAAATTATGATTAAAATACGAATAAAGTATTTTTAGAAATTTATAGGTTATTATCTAGAACAGTTGTCTCTTTTGTTTGTACACCATCACAAACTCAGTAAGAACATTTTCAGATTTTAGAGCAACAAAGTGCATTGAAATAGTTCAGGGTTAATGGACTAATAATGTTGGAGTACTGTAGCACAAGTGGAAATGATGAAATTGGAAAAATGTAGAGTAGAAATGTGGTTATAATTACCCAGCTTTTATCAGTTTTTAAAAACTTGACTGTAGGTTAAATATGAGGCAATTTTTTATAGCATTAGCTTCTATAATCAATTAATATGCATGATTTCTTAAAGAGCTGATGAAGGCAGAATGAGATAATTCATTAATCATAAAATCTAAAGTTAAAATCTGAAATGACGAAACAGAAAAAAAATATTGTGGTGAATATCTGCTCATTGTAAACGTCATGGCAGAAGTCTGACTGTTTCAGATTTTACTGTCTAAAAACGATCAGAAATAGCTCTTTCAATGCACAGAGGCTGAACTCCGGCGCGTGCACGCTGATCTCATACCTCGTCTGCGTGGACGTGGTTGCGTCTTCACACGTTGCTGTTCGTTCAAACCTTTTCGACAGCCAATCAGAAGCGTCCAGGTCACAGCGTGGTGTTTCGAGCGGAAGAGAAGATGGCTGCTGCGCGAAACGGAAAAAGTGGACTGCTTGAGAAAGTAAGCATTAAAGCTGATTCGTTTTATCCAGCCGGACAAAAGTAACCGTTTTTACTCCATGAGTGAGGCTCTGGACTGCGGCTAAGCAGAGAGCAGCTCTGCGGGGCTCAGAGTGACCATTATGGAGCTGTGCTGTTAGCGTGCTAGGCTAACAAATTCTATAGTAACCGGTTAGTTAAGTTATAAACTCAGGAGAATAACCTATAATCTAAAACACAAGAGAATAACTCATCACAAGAGGTTAATCGATACCTGCTCTTTATATCCATCTGAGTCCAAACTGTTGCGCTGCGTTCAGGGTCCTGCTGGTCCTGACAGCTGCTGCTCCAACCAACCACATAAACCTGAAGTTTTGACCCTCATCTCAGGTTTGACAATCTTTGGGATTTATGTAAGTAGCATCTATTGCTTGGGGAACACCCAAAGCAAAGAGGGAGAGTTCCTGTGACCCTCACTTCTATTTCCATCGTCTGCCCAGCGACGGACTTTGCTTCGAATTAGACCTTATTTATAAAACACTGATCATACAAAGATAATGCAACGCAAAGTTTTGTTGCTTTAAAAGGAGGGAGAATCTGCCAAAATACTGACACACTTTCCACAGCATTGCAGCTGCATGGCAGCAGGATCATCCTGGTCTTGCAGTCCATGAGCAGCCAGCTGTGCGTATTTGACCTGGAGCTGACACTTAAGCCCAGGCATGGCGATGTGTGGGACATCAAGGCTCTGACTCAGCTCTAGTCCAACTACTTTTACCAAAATGCAACCGATCTTGTAGCTATGTAAGTCCAGATAAGCCTCAGCTTCCCCTTCTACATCAACAGAGCAAACTACGTGGCTAACTATGCTAGAATATGTAATTTGAGGCCATTTCTTTATATTGTCCTCCACCCCCTCAGTAGAGGAGGACAGGAGAATGGTAACATTGTCCTGTTTAAGGTGTAATGGATGATGTTCACAGATGACACAGTTTTTTATCCTTAATGGCTTTAATATTCTTGATTAACATACAGTTGCCAAAGAAAATGCTGTCTCTGCATCAAGTTTTAGAAGACACCGGAAGACACCCCCATTGCCAGAGATCATGAAGGAGTTTTGGTAGATGTGAATAGGAGCTGTGTGAATCTGTGTGTCGATAGTCTTGGTTTCTCAATTCTGAATCAGCTTCTTCCTGCTCAGCAGATGTTCTTCCTGGTTTCAGTTTGTGTGGCAGAGCTCAAACTGAACAGACTGACTGCAGTTCATGAGTCTGACTTGAAATCTCTGACTGTTTCCCTTGTCTGTGTTAGTGCTGAAATTCTCCTGTCTTTGACCAACTGAACTCTTACGGCCTTTTACAATTACTCTTAATACGGAGTAAATGTCATTTACTGTAAGATGTGTTTTAGGGTAGTCTTCATAGAGCTGAAAACCACGATTTTCTCTTCAATGGACAGAATTTCCTTGTGTTTCCAAACGCAGAAAAAACAGCAACACTGTGACGTAGAATAGAGCAGAATAGAATAGAATGCTCTTTATTGTCATTATACAGCTGTACAACAAAATTGTTGAGCTTCTGCCATTTTCAGTGTACACAAGAAAATAATTAGTATAACAATTAACAACTCGAGGTGTAAAATATCTGAACATGTAATTACAAAAAGTTTGAAAGAATTGGAGGTCAACCCTTCACTGGTTGTGGTTGGCTGATGCTGATTCTGTAGATTAGAGAGCAGAAGTCCATTTTTTCACGTTAATGAAGATGGATGGGGTCCAGTTTTGAGACCCTTTACATTGGATTACAGGCTGCAGAGGCAGCCTCTCCTGTCATATTGACACTGGCTTTTCAGACAGACAGATATGGTTACCTTCCTCCTCCTGCTCCTCCCCCTGCTTTCCCCTTCCCTCTCTCCTCCTGTTCTTCTCTCCTCTCCCTGCTCGCATCTCTCCTCATGTTCCATCTGCTGTCTACCTTTCTCCTGCTTCCTCCTGATAATTGTCTTGATATTTTGACAATGGTTTAAATTCCAGTCAGACAGACTCTGCTCCCCCTGGCTCCTATTTTCTGACTTTGGAGATAAATAGACATAGAGCTTGTCAATCCATGATGACTTTCAACAATGATTACTCTTTGTGTTTCAGTGGAGGATCGATGAGAAACCGGTCAAAATCGATAAATGGGATGGAGCAGCAGTGAAGAACTCTCTGGATGATGCAGCTAAGAAGGTGACCTTACAGAGCGTTATAGTGAAAAACCATCAGATTGTCTTGTTGTGGACTGATCTGGTCTAAGCCTTCAGTGTACTGCTTTGCCCCCTTCAGGTGCTGCTGGAGAAGTTTGGGTATGTGGAGAACTACAGGCTGGTGGACGGCCGCCTGATGATTTGTACCGTGTCGTGTCTGTTCGCCATGCTAGCTCTGGTCTGGGACTACCTGCACCCCTTCCCAGAGTCCAGACCTGTCCTGGCATGCTGTGTCATCTCATATCCTTTCAACCGAGACCACCTGCAGTGATGTCATTGATCTGTGTGTACAGGACCAGCCGGGTGTGGATTTGGTTGTGTGTGTTTCTGGTTGTAGATAATTGTGTGTAATCCAGATTCTGGCCCTGGTTTTTGCTTTCCTGACCCCTGTCTTCATCACATACTTCATCATGATGGGGATCCTGACTCTCTACACCTCCTACAAGGAGAAAAACATCTTCCTGATGGCCCTGCAGAAGGATCCAGCTGGGATGGATCCAGATCACATCTGGCAGCTCTCCTCCTCCCTCAAAAGGTGTGGAGTTTTACCCAGAATGCACTCTGGTGATGTGGTGTCACAGTGATAGGTCTTTGCTATGATAATGGTTATCTTGTGGTGAGTGGGGTCACAAAAGTTTCTCATGAGTGGGGTCTGAGTCCCTGAGGTGACAGGTCACCTCAGGGACTGGGTGTAGTCTTACCCACAAACCAGTTGTCCCTGACTGCTGAACTTTAAACCAGTCCAGTCCCCCCTGAGCTGTGGGGCAGGATCAAGCTAACCCCCTGTCGCTTAAACCAATCAGAGCTACGAACACATGGGTCACCTGAACATCGGTGTTTTAGAAGGTGGCCATGTGATTATAACCTGTGTCTGTCTGTCTGTCTCAGGTTTGATGACCAGTACACGCTCAGAGTCTCCTTTTCTGATGGGAAGACAAAGACCTGGAGGGAGGCCGAGTTCACCAAGTCCGTGTCGGCTTTCTTTGACGAGAACGGGACACTGGTGATGGACCAATTTGAGAAATGTGTCTCCAAACTCCACGACACACTGGCCACAGACAAGAAGACCAAATAGCACACACACACACACACACACAAACACACACACACACACACACACACACACACACACACACACACACACACACACACACACACACACACACACACACACACACACACTCACACAAGGTCATCAGTGTGACGGTCTGACTCCCTGGTTTTACTTTAAACTTGAGAATCTTTCAGCTGCAGGCTGTGGTGGCCTCAGTGCTGGAGACTGTTTAGTTGTTACCTTTAGAGTTTATTAGCCTGATTCTGCACCCCCCCCCCCCCTTGTTCCCTTGTCTCCTTTCCTTATGCCCTTGTCCTTACCATGGATAAGAAGAGAGGGCAGTCAGGTTGCTCCTTTTGAGTGTTGTCCCCCACTGTCTTAGCTTTGAGAAATGTTGAAGAGGCCACACCCCCTGAATTCTTACCTGTAACAGGTGAGTTCTCTCCAAATTCAGTCTGTACAGGTGTCCTGAAGAAAGACATGGACTACAGAGGCCCAACAGTGTTTCTGCACCAGGTTATTGGGACTTAGCTGTCTCAGCTCTGAACAAACCCGAATCCACTGAGGAGATCTTTTCAGAGTGTGGAGCCTCTTCAGTATGTGAGATTCTCATTTCAAGTGAAACCAGCAAGCCATCTGAAGCCACACCCCCTCAAGCAACAGAGTGGTTTTCCGTAAAACCCTCTAGGTTGCTATTCAGTCCAGTTTGAAATTGTTTTTGTTATTTTGAATAGTTTTTAACTGTAAGTTTGTCCTCTTTATTTTTCTGCTGCTTTAAAGCCTCTTGAAGCTCCAGCTTGGTTTTTGTCTCTGTGAAGTTTTTGATGGTTAATTCAGAATGAATGGTTCAACGTCTCAGTAGGATGTCATCAGTATTTCTGTTTTTGTCCCAAGACATTTCATCTCCACAGTCAAACATTTGAAGCTCTGTTTGAGGACTGTATGAGAAGAATAAATCAGCTGTGAACAGGACTGCACCGATCACCTACATCAGTTCAGTTTTCATGAAGTCCTGGAAGCAGGTCTGTACATACAGCCACGACATGTTTCCTCAAATAGAAAAATGGTGTTGAATACCTTGATCAAGACAAAACCTTATGCAAGAAGTTGCCTGTAAGAGCTGAGAAACCAGAGTCCATGCTGCTGCTGCTGTTCTGTTGGAAACCTTTCACTTTTGTCCCTTTTAAAGGATTTGGTTCATTTAGGAATGCTTGAGTCAGGGGTCGTCAAAAGTCTAGGTGACAAATGGAAGGTAAAGGTGGCATGGCTGTATACAGATTTAATGAGCCCTCAGTGATTTTTCTAACAGGGTCAGGAGTCAAAAATATTCCTGAATCAGCATTTGTGAAAATGAAGGTAGAAAAAAAAAGATGTTTTCAGACTGAACTCAAGATTCAGTTTTTAAAACCATCCAGCAGAAGTCACAGTCCAACTATTAATGCTGATGAAGACAGTGTGTGGATCTGGAGGCAGTCAGTCCCGAGTCCCTTCTGTCACAGTCCAACCAAACTGTCTGCAACACCCATTCAAATTAAGGTAACAAAGAAAATTTCAATTTCTTTTTTTTTTTTAACTGCCAAACTTGCCAAACCCACATTTCAGATGCTCCATAAATCAGACAGCTGCAGTTTCAGGTTATCTCTCAGGATCCAGTCCAACTTGGACTCAGCAGAGACAGGGACACTGAAACTAGGACTTAGTGGAAACAGATGGACAGGTTATCCACATCAGAAACAGTCAATGGAGTCCATCAGAAAAATCTGGGTAAATAGGTCCTCAAACTGGGACCTGATCAGTCTGAAGTAGCTGGAAGCTGCAGGAAAGATCATTCAGTCTGAGTTTATGGAGGAGAGGAGGCCAACCTGCTGAGACCGAGTCCAGGTGACCATTGGCATCATGTCAGTAGCAGGACTAATTCTAACTGAGTCCAGAGTCTTGGCGAGGAGAAATCTTTGGACTGGTCTGAAGTCACCTTTTTGGTTTCCTAAACCTCTCAAAGACCCCACCCCACCCTCACTTTTGGGTCCAGCATCCAGGTGTCCTAGTATAGTTTACTTCTCACCTGTCTGTTAACTGTTAAGCACCATTAGCATCGCGCTAAACACTGGCACTGTTCCCCTGTTGGCCATATTGATGCCTTACCGCAGGAAGTGACTGGCTTTGGACCAGTTTTGTTTGGAATGTATTTGTGTGATCTCTGTGGAAATATTAAAGATGGATGTTGTTACAGAGCTGCTCAGTCTATTTCTGAATGTTCCTCATGCAGCCAATCAGAGGCAGGCTGCAGTGACTCAGCTCAGCCAGCAGATAGTGCTGTTCCTATGCTCATATTAGGTTCAGTGTCACATACTTCTCCTTAGCTTTTACTCTATCTACTGCAGTCAAACTAAGCTTTATTTCAAACATATCAGACAGTTACTCCAAAGATAATAGTGAGTAAAGTTCTCTGTTCACCTAAAAAAAAAACTTTTAACATGTATTTAGGTTAAAGTGAGTTACTCTGTGAGCAGACAGAAGAGACCAACCAGCCAGGCCATATGGAGGACCGGGTTATGCTGTGTGACTCAGAGGGAGAAGACACCTCAGTGCTTATTCTGTCAGATACAGACGAGCACAGAGTGAAAAACTGCAGCACACCTTCTAACTCACAGAATGAAACATTTATCAGGAACATCCCTGCCCTGCCTGATCAAAGTCTAGGGCAGAGCTGTCACTTCCAAAAGTAAAACCTTGAAAGTTCAGTGTCATGCTCAAGTCTTGCACCTTTTGATCAGTTCACACAGGCCTGAATAGAGCTCTGATGCAGTTACATCAGTCTGGTTCACTGAAGCTGCAATCTCAGCTCATGTTTGGTTACCTTTATTCACTGGTACTCTAAATGTTCCCGGCTGGTGCAGCTGGACTTCAACTCTGCTGTTTAGACTAAATGTGCTGTGGATGCTTTGTTTTTGATGGTTTGGGAGTGTGTTTAGAGAAGCTGCTTCACAGGCTGAACTTGAACTAATCCTACTGCAGAGTCCTTAAACCCTTAATGCTGCACAGACATTAGGGGCAGGGCCATGTGAGAACTGGGTGGAGTCTAAATATGAGTGGGCGTGGTTAGCAGGCAGCGCTCTGTCTGTCAGGGAGCAGGGATCAGATGAGTGCGAACAAAGCAGACAGTCAGAGCTGCTGTATCTTGGCCATGGCCTGTCTGATGGCCGCCTGGTCCGTCCACAACCCCACTGTCACCAACTCCATCATCATGGTAAGTACAGGGACAGACTTAAATCAAAGATCCTCGTCTATCCTCTTTAATCGCCTAATTTCTGGTGTTTCCATTTCTGAAGTGGCCTGAGTGAGCTGACTGACCGTAATCAACCTTTTAATAAAGTTTGCTGTTAAATTGGACTAACAGCTGTTAGAGACACTAACAGATGACCAGAATCAGATGTTCTCATTACTATACCTTTTGTCTTAGACGTTAGATGTGGTCTGCAGATTTTCCAGCATGTACATTTTAGAGATCAGACCTTGGTCAGTTTTTGAATAAACATAATGGAAAACTTCGGTTTTAGTTGAAGACACAAAAATTTCTGTGTATTAAACACCTGATGTTTTACAGTGAAGACTTAGGAGATCTAAACTTTCTGACCTGCAATTGTCTTTATTCTTGTTTGTTTGTATGCTTGTTTGTCTGTTTGTTTGTTTGTTTGTTTGTCTGTTTCTGTTTGTTTGTGGTTTTTCTTGTCTGTCTGTTGTTAACATGGATGTGCAGAAACAGTGCTGCTGTAACACTTACATGCTCCACTCCTGGTGTTTTCAGCTAAAACACCAGGAGTGGAACGGTTTCTTTGGAGTCTTACATTTGTGTTTAAAGTTTGGGTTATGGGTTGTAAACCAAGTTTGAGGTTTTAATGTTTAATTTTCTGTGAATTCTGATGTCGTAGGCTAAAATGGGAATGGCTACATCTTTGGGACAGTAATACAAACAGTCACACAGCAGCTTACTGATTATTGACACCTAGAGAGCGTCTGCACGGATTACTACAGAGCTTCACTGCCAACAGGAGGACGGTATCCTGATTTAAATCAGCCTGTTTAGAGAGTAATGATGGAGTTTTGTGAAAATACAGGCAGAATTTTTAGTCTATGTGAAAGGCAAGTTTCAGAGAGCAGTAAGATATCTGTGTTAAAGGGACAGTCTGTGTGTTTTTGGTTGTGTGAGGTTCACTTTGCTGATTTATTTCCAGCATTTACTCAGGTAATGGCACCTTTTATCACTTAACTTATACGTGGGCAGCCATCAGAAATTCACTAACTCACTACAAAATAACTTTTCTGGTCTTGACATTGAATCACATAGATATCAATCAGCTGCAAATCTTTACCAGAAGATAACAATGCGTGAAAACCATTTCAAAGTGAATTAGCCATTCCACTGGGTTGCATTGTGAATAGTATGAGGTGGTAGTGAATGAGCAATGCCTGACAGTTACAGAAGTCTTTAGAACAGGCTATTCTCAAACTCACATCCTTGATCGTGATGCAGCTTTTCTGAATACCCAAAACAAGGAATGTGGTCTAGAGATATCTTCTTAGCTGTTTTTACTGATTTATTTTGTGTTGTGCCTGCACAAAGCCTGTAAAGTGATGGACAAGGACCAGGATCTATCCATATCCTTCTTTGCTTGGCACCAGGTGCAAAAAGTCAATAGAGACCAACTTAAAAGGTGCACTAATTGTGATGAATCCCATTGGAGCTCTCTGTGGAACACTGCTGAGTTTGATGCAGGGACATCTCTTTGTCACATAGTCCTCTATGTCTTGCTGTATGTGTGACCTTTATAACCTTTCTCAAGAAAGGTGGATAACCTTTTCAGGACCTACATGCCCCATGTCATCATTTTAACTTTAAAACACCATCATTTTAAGCTGTTCAGGGAGGACCAGTTGTCTGTTTTCAGATGTTTTCTGGTATAGCAACCCGTCTTCCACCGCTAATTTTTGTGATTCATGGAAAAGTCCTCTTGTCTGGTTACACATTGTTTTTTTCTCTTTTTCATTTGGAGTCCAGTGTCAAGGACATGATAGCTTTGATAGCTGGATCCTCCTGCTGTGCAGCTTTGATGCCTTTGGGCAGGATGCTTGAAACAGTGTTAGATGGCATATAATCACCAATATATTAGATTTGGCTCTTGAAGACCTCGCATTTAGCTGGACAAAGAAGCTTAATGCCATGTTGCCGCATCTGGCAGAGAACTTGTCGGAGATGGTTCACATGCTCATCTAAAGTTTTGGAACAACATAGAACATAACCTAAATATGGCAGGCAGCACTCATCTCCAATGCCCTCTAACATGCCCTCTGTGCACCCCTGAAATGTGGCAGGTGCATTTGTTAGCCTTAAGGGTATAATGACCCACTCATACAGCCCCCATGGTGTGCTAAATACTGTTAGGTGTCTTGACTTCTCACTCACAAGTCCTTGATAGTAAGCATTTTCTTGGTCCAAGATAGAGAATCATAAATTGCCATCTAAGATGTCCAACAGATACTGCATCTGTAGCATCAGGGATGGTTTTGTGGTTCAGCTTAGAGAAGTCAACACAGGCATAAGCAGCTGTCTTTTTTTTTGCGCATACACACCACTGGTGACGAATAGGCTGACTCTGACTTACTGACCCATCCCCAGGTTTGAATACATTCCTTTACCTCTCTGTACAGCGATTGTGGAATGGAGTTATAGATGCTTTGAACAGGGATGTTGTCCGTGATGTTGATTTTTAGCTGTAAACCAGGAAAGCCAATGTCTTCTTCCTCACAAGCGCACACGTCTGACTACTTATAAAGCATCTGTCGTACCGCTTCCTGTTCATTTTAAACAAATGAACATCATCTGTTGAGCTTACTTGGGTGGTGCACAAAAAAACATCTTTGTGTGGGTCGGGTGCCTTCTGTGGATTTGGGAGAATCCTTACAGGTTTGCTTTCAGAGATTTCATCAAAGAACCCTTAAACTGTCTTTAGAGGTAAGAAAATGTCATGCTGTGTTAAATTCTGAATTGGGAATTGTACTATTTTTCAGACACCAGCAGACACATCAATGAGCGCAGGGAACAACTCTAGGCTATCTGGTAAATTACACTCTACATCTGGCTCAAACAACATTGTTCCGCTTGAAGTATATGCTCTAATTTCACCTCACACATCTGGTTGCTGTTCACAGTTAGCCCTTTCTTTTCATCTTGGACCACTGAACTTTCAGACTCTTTCTGTGATGGCATGGTGTGAATGACAGAGACAAGAGTTTCAGCATTGCTTTTCTGAATTTTCAGGGTCTCTGACTGTATATCTGCCAAGCTAAGATCATCTGGTTGGTCAACGTTCCCTATAATTATCTCTTAGATTACATTAAAGCCTAGTAACGGGCTGCTCAAAGTTCCTTGATTTATCAAGATTACAACATCAATAGAAATTTAGCCTTGTCAATTGTGATTGGATTGGATTTTAATGTTTGGCAAGGCTTTCTGCACCCAAGACTTCTTCACTATACTAACCTGTGTCCCACTGCCCAACTATTAAAATATACTTAGGCTGTGTCTCATTTCAGAGACTGCATAAGGCTGAGCGCGCTCAGCTGAGCGCACTGCCATTCTGTGGACTTGAGAACCCTGAGTGAGATGGTCCGGTTTTTGTGAATTGGGATGGTCTACCCTTCGGAGGACTTCCTGGTTGAGTCGCCAAATGTCCCCGCGCTCAGGCTCGTGTCATGACTGACTTGAAGAAAAGCCGCGGAGCGCAGCAGTTATATTTTTAATTGTGCCACCTTGATCAGACACAAAACAATAGATACATACAAGCACAGATCATTTCCACAAAATTCATCCAGTGATTGCATGTTTTGTATGAAGGAGGATTAGGGCCGTATTGAGAATTTTTGGTAAAGACTGAGATTAAAATTGTAAATTTACGAGAATAAAGTCATTAATTTACGAGAATAAAGTTGGAAGGCTACCTGTTATTTCAAAGGAGAGTTGTTAAAATTAGGGCCATGAAGCATTAAGGCAGGGCTACTCAACTTAAGATGGCTCAGGGGCCACTCAGCAAATTACCAAAAGTCTAAAGGGCTGCAAGCTAAAAACTAACGCCCTATTTTGGACTTTTACGACGATTTTGTAACACATACATGACATGTCTAAAAACACACCAGGAAACACACAAAAATAGCCACATTTCCATAAGCATAAGGCAGCCAAGGCCACATCTCATTGAACCAAAAGATTGTCATGGATGGAATGATGAAATTATAAAGTTATCAAATGAGGCTTTATTCACAGAATGTGAAGTGACCATGAACAAATATAGAAAATATTTCAAAACTAGAAATAGGCTTCTTTCATACAGTTTGAACAGATTGTAAGAATCAGAGTCCAATAATTCAATATTCAATTTATATCCTGGATTTCTTCTCTTGGGGGTTTTGGAGAGATGACTCCATTTGACTTCAGCCGTAGCTAAGGCATGGCCTGACAGGCTGTTATTGATCCAGATCTGTAAATACAGTAAAAGACAAACAAAAAAAGAATCATAAATAATATGCTATCTTTAGTCATATTACTGACAGACTGTTATTTATCCAGGCCTGTAAATACAGTACAAGACAAACGAGAAAGAATCATGAATATATTTCAGTCAAATTACAACTTGAACATTAAAAACGAATAGTTTCATAAATCAGATATTCTTATTGAATGTGACACTTGAATCAACATATTCCCCACTATTCGCCCCAGGTCTTGCTGGTATGTGGAGGTTGCTGTGCATAGAAACATAGAGCATAGAAAAATCATTTTTTATTGGTATGATCATGACAGTCCATGGGCCGCAGAGACATGTGGCGGGGGCCGCACGCGGCCCGAGGGCCACGGGTTGAGTAGCCCTGCATTAAAGGAACCGTGCTTCAGCATAGGTTTCACAAACAAGGAGATATCCTTTTGCACATCAGCATTACACTGTCATAAGTATTAGGACTTTAAAAAGAATATATAAGAAATGTGTCTTTTCCACAGGAAAAAAAACAGGTGGACTTGGAGGAAATCGCTGCTTTTGTGGAGGCAGAAATGGATATGCTTAGGATAAATCCGTCAATTCAGTTGTAAATAGCTGTGAATGGCATTGAGCCTTACTTTATGAATGATATGAATCCATACGCCATAATAAGGCGTTGGTGTCTCTGCAGGTGTAGATTACCACCGGTGTCAGAGACGTGGTTCTGGTCGGAGCTCGACTCCCTCTGGATCACAAATGTTGATCATCAGTTTGATTGTTTCTTCAGAAACCACAAAATCTCTCTGAATGACCCGCTGATACATCCACCGATAACCCTGAAGTTGACCAGTTCAGCCCTTTTTCCCTCCACCAAAGCAGCTTTAAGACTTTATTTATGACTTTATTCTCCCAAGTTACAACTTTAATCTCTAAGTCTTTAAAAAAAATCGATGTGGCCCTGATACTCTGCTGTAATTTGTCAGCTTTCTTATTTCTAATGTTTTTGATTGTTGTAGCAAAGCGGATCAGTTCGTTTCTAAATCTATAATGTTTGATTTACAGATTTAAGTGAGTTCAGAGATCATGCGCTCATGGAGCCTGAGCTGACTGTCTGCTGTTTTTGGATTTCTTTTATTTTCTTTGAAGACGTGCTATGTCTCCAAGCGAGTCTGGCCTCTCACCTGAAATGCGCAGCTGTGAAGCGGCACGCAAAGAATTCAGGGATACCAAGGCCATGAAAGCATGCATAAATGCATGCTTGAAAAGTGGCGGGGGCAGTGTGGTTTTGAGACCGCATTTGAAGCGCGCTCAGAATTACGAGCCAAATGGGACACAGTTCGCGCCGTGTGATGACATCACGCACACTTCAAATGCGCCGTTCGACAGTGTGGTCTCTGAAATGACACACAGCCACAGCCTTAATCCCGAATGCTCAGAGGGGCGGTTGTACCACTGCGAGTGGGCGACAATACTCTGGCGCTGAGACTTGTGTCAGCAGCAATCTTAAAGGTCAGTTGATTGGTGAGTGAAGGCAGGTGCACGCAATCAGCCTCAGTGCTGTGGGGGAAAGAAAGAAGCTTCTGAAACAGGTGACTAGACAGCAAAACCCACACAGCGAAAAGACTCCAACAATAAAAAGAATGAAACACCAGTCCATGCTCACCATAGTACCCCCTCCTCAACAGATGCCCCCTGGTGTCCTATCAGGCTTGTCCAGGTGAGAAGCATAACAGTCTCTCAGTAAGGAAGCATCCATAATGAGCTTTCTGGAGATCCAAGAGCATTCCACTGGATCGTACCCCTCCTAGTCGGCTAAGTATTGGAAACCCTTGCCCCGGGGCCAAACATCCAGAATCCATGAGACAGTGAAGCCAGGGTGATCGTCAATGATCCGTGGTTGCAGGAGGAGACCAGCTTCAGGAGGGATCGTGAAAAGTAGGATGGATCTTGAGGGACTCTGGCAACCTGAGTTTAAGAGGGATTGATAATTTTGAGGATAGGAAAAGGACAAATAAAGCAGGGTGTCAGCTTTTATTACTCATTACTCTTTCTGAAGAGGAAGGTCACGTGACTAGAGCCAGACCATGCGTCGGGATGGTACTCTGGGGTTTTCACATCTGTGAAGGCTCCATTAATGCTGAACAATATCTACAGGTTTAGGAGCAACATCTGCTGCCATCCAGACAAAGACTTTTTCAGGGAAGACCTTCATATTTCAGCAAGACAATGACAAACCACATTGTCCAGCCGCTCGTTGATCCCCGCGATCCCCCTGATGATTTCTTCCTGCGATTGCAGGACCCCCTCCGCGAGGACCCTTCCACTGCGTCCGGGTGGTCCAGCGGAAGCGCCGCGGCTGGTGGACGCTCCACCGCTTGTCGGCGCGCTGGTGCTGATGCTGGTGCTGGTGCTGGGGCCGGGGGCCGGGGTGGCCCGAATGCCGCTGGTCCTGGCCGACGACTCCGAGCCGGCGGACGGGCTGCCGCGGGCCGGGGTTCCGCAAGCCGGCGACACGGCCGCCACATTGATTTCTGTGACACAATAAAAATATTGGTTCATTTCAATTCCTGCTTCTGTGTATCTTTTGCGTTTACATCTCTCTCCACGGTATCATAGGTAATGTAATCCAGTATTTAGAGGTCAGTTATGCACATTACAGTTGTTTATTGCATAAAAAGTTATCGAAAAATGAAGTTAAGGGCGAAGTATAAATCACGTCTAAAAATAGACTGAATCCCGACGTTGAAATGAAGTATAAACTTAGACTAGACGTCTAATATACGTCTTTAGCTCAGTGGGATGACAAAGCATGTGGACATTTGTGTGACACGCCACTTACCCTATAATAATAATCGCCACCACCCGCTGCTCAAACGGTGTGAGGGTCTCCTCCCCCGGACCCCCACCTGTCTGGCCAGTACACCTCCGGAGGGCAGCTGTACGCCGCTTGACCTCCACCTTGAGGTCCGACCACTTTTTTTTAATCGTCGCGGGGGTGCGTGTCTCGGAACCCACCGCATTCACCCTCTCGCAAACTTTCTCCCACTCCAAGCGTTTTTGTTTTGCACTGACGCCACTGGACAGGCTGCCAAACAAAACACACTGTCGCTCCTCCACCTCCGCCACCAGCACCTCCACCTCGCACGCCGGGAGACCCTATTTAAATAAATCTGCATATTTATAGGAGGGCGTAACGGGGACGAGCCCAGTCACTCCGACATCTGCGCTCAATTCCACGCTGATTGGGATTTATCAAGGAAACACACGTGGATTTCGGCGCCCGCACACATTGATACACACGGATTTTTTTCAGCGTGATGGGCCTTGCGTGCGCTCGTTTCTGGTATGAGTTCCACGCAAGTGTTGATACATGAGGCCCCTGGTCTGCTGGGTTGATGATGGTGGATGATGAAGATGAAGATGGTTGGGGTTAAGGTAATGGTGTTTCTGTACTGAATCACAGCAGCAGTCTGCAGTCTGTTTGTCCACCTTAAATCCTTGGTGACTAAGCTCTTCTCACTGACAGTCGCCACCTCCTCCTCCTCTGTGTGGAGGCAGATTAGTTTCCATATGGAGCAGCAGAACGCTCACACGCTGTCCCATATATCAACACTTGGGCTCTAGTGTATTGTTGTCAGGTGCAAATCTGATGTCAGTGTCTAAAAGGTTTCAACTATTTGTCATGACCCTGTAGATTTCTTTATCCTGCAGCAGGTAAACATGTGGTAAAGTATGCAATAAAATCCTTAATTCATCACAATTTGTCCACAATAAGTTCTTGTTCCCGTACTTGACAAAATTTTAGCTTTAACGGACACAGGAGATCCTGGGTTACAGCTGCAAGCTGTCAGTCTCACAATAATACTGGCAAACTCAGGTCAGTATTTAATCAGCCCAGTCTGGTGGCTTTTAAGAGGCCAATGTTTGAGATTATTTGTATTTTTTAGACGTTAGGAACACAAAGTAATTCACAAACTGATGCAGGTACATGTTTTTTTTTAGTTTGATGTGGAGTCCTGGATCAGGGTGGAGATGGCTCTCTGTGCTCACCTGCAGCTGTTGTCATTCCATGACAGGGATGTTATTTTTCTGTCTAGTGCTTAGTTGTCGAAACATTGTCCTGGCTTAGGCTGTTCACTCATGTCCAGGGGCCTCATTTATAAAGCTTGCTTACGCACAAAACCTGGCTAGAAATTGCGTACGCCACTTCTTACACAAGAGTTGGGATTTATAAAAGAAAAACTAGTGTAGGAATGTGCGCAACTTTAAGCAAACTCCACACCTTGCTTACGCACTTTTTGGAGACAATCGGAGCAAGGTGAGAATAGTCTGGGTGATGCGTTCAGCACAACGGATGACTCGATGCAGCCTTTCTGTCCTGAGAGCTGCAGCTGCCGTACCAGGCAGTGATGCTCGCAGAAAGCACAGACCCCACTGTGGCGGTGTAGATAGTTTGCCAATTTGAATTTACAAATGTGCAAAAAAACAAATTCCATTTACATGCATTTGTTTTAAGATTAATATGACTAAATCTTTTTGGTTTACGAACTTTCACCACATAAGCAGCGGTGGATAACGGAGCGTTTTTTTTTTTTTTTTGAACACATGCACGAGTGTCACACGTGCATGTTTTTTTTTATTCTCACCTGTCGCCGCCACGCTCTGATGGTGCAAAGCCACTTTTTTCTTTGCCTCCACCTTTAGATCAGACCACTTCTTCTTGATTTCGGCACAGTTTTGTTTTCGTCTACGTCATCGTCAACGAAAACAAAACTCCACGTGTTTGCGCGCGCGTCTGTGTGTTGGAGGAGCACAGCAGGCTGATGAGAGCTGTCAGAGCGGACAGAAGCTGCTCCTATATGTTTAGCGTTTAACTGACTGAGTTTTGCAACTCTGTTCGTCATTTTCGTCTCGTCCCATCAACGTAAACGCACTTTCGTCTCGTCACATTTTAGTCATCTCTGACTTATGTTTAGCTCGTCAACGTTACGTCTTCGTCGTGGAAGAAAAGGGAAATATTTCCGTCAACAAAAACAACCAGTGTTGTTCTCGTTGATGAAAATATTTCTTTTTGACGCTGGTGTTGACGAAAATATTTGACGAAATATGACGAAAACAACACTGTTTTGGCAACGCTGCGCTCAGTGCCAGCCGCAATTGCCACCACGGCAACGGCGTTTTTATTGGTGATGCCACTCGAATGGCCGCCGAATAAGGTCTCCCGTCTCGCCGCCACCTCATTTACAAGAACCTCCACCTCGATCTCTGAAAAGTTTCTTTTTCTACGACTTGCTGATGCCATGGTTAAGCGTGAAATGCCGTGCATCCATCAGGCTTATCTACATGCAAATCACATTCATGAGGTAATTTGCATGACCATACATGGTGAATTTTGGGTGTGGAGAGGGCGGGGAAGAATCAAATCCCTGCTGAGCAACTTTCCAGCTGGTCTGTGATTTATAAAGGGAAAGTGCGTGCAGGTGTGCGTAGGCAGGGTTTTATAAATCAGATTTTTTTTTTTGCCTACGCACTTTTCAGCTTTTCAACTTACGTACACTTTTAGTATGGATCCTACGCCAGGTTTTATAAATGAGGCCCCAGAACTCCCATAAAGTTCCTTCAGTTTTCAGCTGAACATTTCACCTCAGCATTTCACATTTCAGTTTACCTGCCAGCTCCCAGTAAATTTTTTATCATTAAGTTGGTGTGAGCTGATGTGAGGCATGAGCAATGATTTATCAATGTTTTTGAAGGGAGGTTGTATGAGTTACATGTTATTCATGAGTGTTTTAGCCTCAGAGGATGTCAGTTAACTCTGCCCCTTTAACATGAAAATGCAGAGAGTGTTGGTACGCAAGCTAGGCTACAGTTTTCAGCAGACATCTGTAGGACTGTTAAGTGTGACACTTTTTACAGACAAAAGAAACACACAGACGAGTTCCTCCACACTGATCAGCTGTTTGGTCTGTAGCAACAAAGAGACCAAATAATGATTCTCTCAGTGAGGATAACATGCTGTTTAGTGCAAAAAAAAATGTTTTTACAGAGAAAGAAGCCCACTCAGTGCCCTGTAGGAGAGATCAGAGAAACTTCTGAGCTAATGTGAGAGAAAGACAGATCCCAAATCAGTGTGCTGCAGGCAGAAGAATACATCTGTGAGTCACTGGCTGAGCTGACTGACATCCACTGAGACAAAAACATGAATGACATGTAACTCATAGAAAAACACTTAAAAAAACCTGAAATATACCTTTAAAGCTGGGCTGGGTGATGATGTTGATTTCATGCAGCCAGTGTAAACTACCTTGAAAAGTGCCACAAACGATGTTGAAGACAGCTCATCCTGTTAAGGACGAGAGCTGTGGGTCCAGTCCACAGCAGAGCAGACTTCTGTGGGATGCTCACGGTTCCAAAAATTTCATGGTGTCTTAGAACAAACTGCTCAGAAAAATGAACACTTGGACATGAATAAGGACAACTAACTTTAATTATGGAAACCATTTTTGAGAAGCATGCCCCATCTGTTAGCATGTAGGAGGCGGGACTGAGAACTGATACTGCGGACAGTCTGCAGTCTCTTAAGTTTGATCTCTTCGTTTAGAATGCTGTCTAACATTTCTGTCCCTAAACTGTCCCTCAGAACACTAATGGGCCCCCAGACCTCATGTTGGACCCCCGGACGGTGTGTGTTTGTATGGACGAGGTGGTCAGCAAGCGGAGGACAGGCAGCCAGCAGACACCACTGCTGCAGGGACACCTGAAAAAGGTGGACAACAACCTGACAGAGGCCCAGAGGTTCTCCTCGCTTCCACGGAGACCAGCTGTCAACATTGAGTTTAAGGATGTCTCGTACTCTGTCAGAGAGGGTCCCTGGTGGAGGAAGAAAGGTACTGCCACACAACAAGTACATCTTCATTAGAGCAGTTTCCCTTTACAATCAATGACTAAGTCCATGTCAGAAAAACTGTCCAGTAAGGTGATAAATCATCAAAGTCACCGAGCTACATAAAATTATTTTCATGATTTCAAATAAATCTACAAAACTGAGAATGAAGAGCAGCACCAGACTGGTCAGATCCTCCAGGTGAACAGGAGGGCGAATAGGAGTATTTCACAAGTGAAGCCAATGCAGAAGTGCCTCAGACCTGCAATCTTTGAAAACACCAGCAGGGGCGACTTCACTCATCTAGTCTGTAAGTCTGATCATGAAGAACTCCTCCTTTTCCATACATCAGCAGCATTGCGGAAGAAGAAGCTCTGTGCTGTTATCAGGCCTTCGTACTGGTGTCCCAGCACCTGATTCTAATGAGCCAAATCCAACAGGCTGAAACGCATGGCGCAGCAGGAATCAGGCTAAATCAGCCCTGTCCAAGTTGCTAGTCAAGTGGTGCACAATCCAGGTGAAAGGGAGGCACAGGACCCACAGAGGTTGGAGAAATTCTTAGGTGGTTTTTTAGATGACCATGAATTAGACCAATCAGTGTTCACTCTGCACAAACACAAACAGGATGATGGTGGTTGAGCTGCAGAGTGATGAACACCGAGAGCTGATACATACAGACACAGGCTTTGAAAAATTAGTTTTTATGAAAACGTTATCCCACGTTATCATCACTTGGTTAGCATCAGCAGCTACAACTTTAGCACACTTTAGGAGGGTTGTCTGTTTGACAGGTTAAATAAAGGTTATATTTTTTAATTGACTGATGGAGTGAGGAGGGGTGTGAGCACATGCAGAGAGCCAGACTGGTCCAAGGTCTGTTTCTAGCTGCAGAGGATCAGAGACGTTGAGCAGGTCACTGTCAGTCAAAGAACTACAGTCCCCTTTCTGCTGTAGGTTACTGTCAGGTAAACAACACCTGAGGAGCAGGAGGAGGAGCTGAGTCATTCTTCTTCATTACAGCAGGTTAATTCAAACAGACCAGTAGGTGGAGAGCCCATCAGTAAAGTCAAGCAGGAGTCAGGTTTGAATCCCACTCATTTATATTTGATTTTATTCAGAGCCAGTTGGAGATTCTTTCAGGATTCATCAATTTGAGTTTGGTGTTTCCCTCCTCGGCTGTCCAAATTTGCTGAGTACAGTGAACGAACAGCAAACAGTGGGAGGTATAAGAGTTGATGCAACAGTTTAATAACATCCGAGACTGATTTAGGATCTCTCTCTCTCTCTCTCTCTCTCTCTCTTTTTGTGTATGTCCTGGATTATCAGCCTGTAATCTGTTAATCTGAGCCAGAGTTTGCTGCTGTAAATAGCTACAGGTCAGCTTAACAGCAGCTCTGTTGCTCTCAGTCCACAAAATGAAACAGACAGAGAAAAGGAACTCACTGGATGATGTTTCTGCAGTTTGCGATTAAAGAGAGGAAAACAAAACAACCTGCTGCCTGTCAGTCTGAACCCAGAATCCCACAGACCATCACTAGCCATCACTCTGTTTCAGTGAGACAGTCTGTAACCCGCAGACTGGCATCACCCTGAAAAGTATTTCCTTCAAACTGTGAAGATTACTGTCTGAAAAACTTTGAGGATAGTTGGAGCCATCTGTCAACCTGAAAGAAAATCATGAAACTCTGCCTACCCATCACTGCTGTCTGTTTAGAAACATGTTCTTTATATAAATCCCACCTTTAGCACAATCTGTCAACCAAGAGGTGGCGCAAAGGAGGGACTCCAAACTTAGGGTCCATGGACCGCTAGTTGAACAGCTGTGTGTTATTCTTGGTCACTTTGGGTTCAGCAGGGTTACTGATGTCAGCTGCAGTAAACAGAGGTGGATGGTGGCTGGTGAAGGGTTTGTGAGCCTGTCACCAGAAGGTGACATGTCATGTTTGCATGTCTTGGTCCTCTGGGAGGCTGCTACGGGTCGACACCTAAGCAGCAGGTTTATTTACTCTATGACTTTATTCTCCCAAGTTACAACTTTAATCTCTAAGTCTTTAAAAAACCTCAATGTTGTCCTGATACTCTTCTTATTTCTAATGTTTTTGATTGTTGTAGCAGAGCGGATCAGTTCGTCTCTAAGGAGTATAATGTTTGCAGATTTTAGTGCGTTCAGAGATCACGCACTCATGCAGCCTGAGCTGACTGTCTGCTGTTTTTGGATTTCTTGTATTTTCTTTGAAGACGCGCTGCATAAAAGCATGCTTGAAAAAGGGGCGGGGGTAGTGTGGTTTTGAAACCGAATTTGAAGCGCGCTTAGAATTTCTTGCCAAATGGGACACCGTTCGTGCCACGTGATGACATCACGCACACTTCAAATGCACCGTTCGAACCTAAGGCGCCTTAGACGCCTTAGGTTCAGGAAGTAGTGGAGCTCTGTGTAGAGGCCATTGCATAGATGCTGTCAAGAGCGCTTAAGACTGTACCAGCAAAAGTGGGACGAGAATAAAGTGTGGAAATCATCCCTTTTCTGGCGCCTGATTATCTCACTGGAGTCAATATTGTCCATCTCAACCAGTGTAAATTTGGAGAGTGAGCTCAAGAATACTCAGTCTGGGGTTTGAACATCATTAGCTTCACAGGTTTCTGTGGTGCTGTATAGTTTCGTCCATGTCTGCAGAAGATGTACAGAAATATGGACTGAATGAACTTAGAGTGTCAGGCACAGAGAAGGGATTTAACTGCATAGACAAAAAGAGGGTGCACAAGAGTCTTTACTACAGTAACAAGTTGGATACACAGAAGATCAGTCAGCAAGAGCAGAGGTACAAAGTCCCACAGGCTAAAATCAGAAAACGGGATCGGGCAGGTCCAAAATACTGGTAACTTAAACTGGAGGAAGAGCTGGCTGTATCAACTAGGAAGATAGCGATAATCTGGCAGGGAAGTGAGGGAATACCAGGACTGAAAAAAGGAAAGGGGAGTGAGGCTGACAAGACGCAGGTGCAACACGTTAGGGAGGGAACCGGTGAAGAACAATGAGGGAAGCAGTACAATAGGAACTGAAAGAGACAAGAGACAAGGGTTAACAAAATAAAACAGGAAACTCAGAAATAATAAATTAACTTGACAGATACTGACACAGACTAACAGTCAGTGTGTTTACATGCACAGCTTAATCGGACTAAGATAATATTTCGGTTTTCCACCTAATCAGACTTTTTTTTAAAGACTTCGAGATTTAGGTTGTGAATTTACCAGACTAAAGTAATTCATTTATGAGCGTAAAGTCGTAAGGTTCCCTGTTATTTCAGAGGAGAGTTTGTAAAATTAGGGTCATTGAGTATTTGAAGGAACTGTGCTTCAGTATAGGTTTCACAAACAAGGAGATACTTTATCCTTTGGCACATCAGCATTACACTGTCACAAGTATAAAGACTTTAAAAAGAATATACGAGAAATGTGCCTTTCCACAGGGAAAAAACAGGTGTACTTGAAGGAAATCGCTGCTTTTGTGGAGGCAGAAATGAATATGCTAAGGATATATCCGTTTATGCAGCCGTAAATATCCGTGAATGACATTGAGCTTTAGTTCATGATATGAATCCATATGCCATAATAAGGTGTTGGTGTCTCTGCAGATGTAGGTTACCGCTGGTGTCAGAGACGTGGTTCTGATCGGAGCTCGACTCCCTCTGGATCACAAATGTTGATCATCAGTTTGATTGTTTCTTGAAATACCACAAAAACTCTCTGAATGACCCGCTGATGCATCCACCGATAACCCTGCAGTTGACCAGCTCCAGACATTTCTCCCTCTACCAAAGCAGCTTTATGACTTTATTTATTTTATGACTTCACTCTCCTAAGTTTACAACTTTAATCTCTTTAATCATCAGGCTTCTCGATGTGGCCCTGATACGCCAATGTAGTTTTGTCAGCTTTCTTATTTCTAATGTTTTGAGTTAAGAGAGCATGCGCGCATGGAGCCTGAGCTGACTGTCTTGTGTTTTTGGATTTCTTTTATTTTCTTTGAAGAGTCCAGTCTCTCACCTGAAATGCGCAGCTGTGCAGTGGCACGCAAAGAATTCTGGGATACCAAGGCCATGAAAGCGTGCATAAATGCACGCTTGAAAAAGGGGCGGGGGCAGGGTGGTTTTGGGACTGCATTTTAAGCATGCTCAGAATCACAAGCCAAATGTGACACTGTTAGCTCCGCGTGATGACGTCACATACACTTGAAATGCACCATTCAACGGTGCAGTCTCTGAATGGAGACACAGCCATTGTCTGATCATAATCTGACTACGCCGGTTACATGGTAGAGAAAATCGAACTCCAATCACAATATCTGGGTGTCTTAATCGGAATTCTCTAACTCCAATCAGAGTTCTCAAACTCTGATTATAGTCGGACTAATGTGTTAAAATACACTTCAGTTTTCCGGTTTTAAAAGTTTTCCACAGAAAAGAAAACACAGGGAGCCACAAAACCCCTCTGGCATCTAAAATGAAGATAACATTTGCATTAGGCCTGGGCGATATAGAAAAAAAGCATATCGATAAAAAATAAATCATATTGATCGATATCGATAATTATCGATATAATTATTATAATTATTTAACATATATTTTAATTGCAGCCCTGGATGTTTTATGCTATTGCTTAATGACCTACTTTTAATAAAGAACACACAAGCACTGAATTCAAATTCAAACCTTTATTCAACCACCTTTTTTATTTTACCACAACTGAAAGTTTTTAAAAAAAGAACTAAAAAAAAAAAGAAATCAACTTAAGTGGCCTGAGTGACGTCAGTAAATACTGACAAACATAAAGACTAAAGTGACCAGAAAATCTGATAAATAAATATTTAAATAGTCTTTTGATGAAAATAAACAAAACAAACAAATATATAAATAAACAGAATAGCTTTAGGTGGGAATAGCATACTACCAGTTTTAACTGTGTGGGAAACTGCCCACAGCCTGGTGTCTGAACACTGAAATATTTCTCCCGGGGTCGGGAGATTTATTTTTTTTTAATTATCATGTGATTGACTTAATACACAAACTAAGCACGAGAAGCAGGACTTATCCACGCCGGTGTTGTGTCGTAGAATGCACCCCTGCCGAATGCACCCCCTGCTAGTAGCCATGATCCAAATACTCGCGTCTTTGTAAAATATGAGCTCATTTGAACGTATTTCCTCCGCACCATTCTCACCTTTTCAACCCCTGACCCATTTTCATGCCTGAAGCGCTGTGTTTGAGAAATACTTGCGGCCGGGCACTTCATATCGCGGGTCGAGAGTGGCTAGAAGCTGGTCGAAGCCAGGCTTTTCAGCGGTAGTTATTGGCAGTATGTCCCTCGCTATGGAGCATGTTACTGCATGGGTGATGTCCTTATGCCGCTCGGACGCTTTGTCGTATTTTGGCAAGAAACGAAGTCCAGTTTGGTCTGCTTCACTTGCTTTGTGCTGGTGCTGGCAGCGGTTCCAGAGGATTCCTCCGACGATGACGTGGAGCCGCGGCGCGGCCGACACAGCTCGTACTCCTGCGGGTGCGATCGGTTTAGATGGTAAAACAAGTTGGTTGTGTTACCAGACTTGGTTTTTACTAATTCTCTGCAAATTTTGCAAACGACCGCTGTTCGCTTTTTGTCAGACTTCTAAAAACCAAAACATTGCCATGCTGGTGAACTACTGAAACCTTTTTTCTGTATCATTTTTTCTAATACACGTGCTGTCTGTTGTGGTTTGATAGGGGCTGGACTTGGTGCCGTAGCGTACCTGGGTCTGCGTTTGTGATTGGTTGGGAGGAAGTAATGACTGTAGTAAAAGCTACATGATAGGCTATGATGAAAAAGAAAGGGAAACTGTGTTTTTCTATCGAACTTTTTATCGACCCGTTTTTTTTCTATCGCACCACACGTCTATCGATCAATATATATTGTTATCGAATTATCGTCCAGCACTAATTTGCATATATTGTTTTTTTTTACCTTTATAAAAAACTGTAGTGAGTTTCATTTATGAAATGAATGAACTGCTGCAGAGAAAAAGAAATGTTATATCTGCAGGCAAACAAAAATATTTGAACAGTTTGAAATAATCTTAAAGACCCACTTCGATGAAAATCACGTTATTCTTGTTGTCTACATGCTCATACATCATTTTCCAGAAGCTACAGGACATATCATAAGTAATACAAGAGCGAAATTGCATTTCTGAGTATTTCTACATTCAAATCACTGTGAATCTCTGGCAGACCCAAACGGTAGTCTCAGACGCAGGGAGATTTCCTACTTTACAACTGCACGCTCCACCCTTGGAGCCCTGCATGCAGGCCACACTCAGAGGAGTTGAAAGGAAGATCGCACAACAAGCGTGTGCGTTAAATAAGAAACACAATTTCACTGAACAATGTAAGATACTATATATTTGCAAAATAATAGCCAATTAAAATGTGAAATTTACTTGCTTAAAGTGACTTTCGCTCCTGAACCTAAGCGCACAGCGTCTCCACATCCAGGCTGTGTGACATCACATTCATCTTCACATAGGTTTTCGGTTTTCCCTAGTCCACAGTTATGATGCATATTTTGAGCGATAAAAAAAAATTGAACATGGTTTATTTAATGTTACAAGAGCATTAAAAACTTTGAATTTAGAATGACACAAAAAACTAAAGTCAAATAAATTCAAATGAGATATTTATTATTATTTTCCAAATCCAAAGGGAGCCGCAGCTTAGGGAAGAAAGAGCCGCTTGCGGCTCCAGAGCCGCGGGTTGGTTCACCTGGTCTAGAGGAATCTAAGAGAAGAAGGAGGTCAGGGTCTGAGGCGGACAATCATAGATGATGCAGCTGGGTCAGGCAGGTCCACAGCAGCCAACCGTCTGTAGCACCAGTTCAAAGGAACCTAGGAGACTGGGGGGCTCAGGGACATTCAGAGAGATCTGGTTAGTACCTTAAATGGGACATGAAGATCTAAAGGAGAGAGAGGGACAGACAGGAGCTTAGTGTGCCAGATAACCCCGGCAGTCTTAGCCTATTGCCACATAACTAAGAGGTGGTTCAAGCCTAACCAGCCTTAAAGGGATATTCATGCGTAAAATTAAGTTAAGGTCAAACATACCGTAACACTGAGTTAGACACCCTGTCAAGAGATGAATGTTGCCAACCTCTTGCTTCTCTAGTTATACCAACTTTAGTAATGACCACATGATAGCAATACACAGAGCCCGGAGGTCTCTATACAAACAAGCGGCTGCTGGAAGAGAGTGGGAGAGTTGTGTGAAACAAGAAATCAGGCAAAGTTAAGAAGATGTTTTGATGGTTAGTACTGTGGCTGGGACGCTGTATGTACTGTTGATTAAGTTACGTGCTGTTCTGCGCATTATTTGTGGCTATAAAGTGGCTTTTTGGTTCAGCGCGTGGTTCCTGGGACCACTGTGTATTGCCATTGTACAGTCGTTACTAAAGTTAGTATAACTAGATAAGCAAGCGGTCGGCAACATTGATCTCTTGATCGGTTGTCTAACTTGGTGTTACGGTGTGTTTGACCCATAACTTAATTTTCTGACAGAATATCCTTTTCACTATAAGCTTTATACAGAAGTTTTAGGTCTACTCTTGAAAGTTGAGAGGGTGTCTGCCCCCTGAACCTTGAATGGTAAATTATTACAGAGGAGAGGGGCCTGATAGCTGAAAGCTCTACCTCCAATACTACTTCTAGAGACATTTGGGACAATGAGCAGACCTGCAGACTGTGGGCATAACGGTCTAGGCGGTAAGTAGGGTATTACGGGTATTAACCAGCCTAGAGGTAACAAAAGCATGGACTAGTTTTTCTGCATCACTCTGAGACAGGATGGGTCTAATTTTTGAGATATTGCGCAGGTGGAAAAAAGCTATCCTAGAGATTTGCTGAATGTGGGAGCTGAAGGACAAATCCTGATCAAATAAAACTCCCAGATTCCTTACAGTGGTATAACTGTAACTATACTAACTGCTTTATACCTGCCTGATATTTGCTTCTAACCTGCTTCATATTTGAACACTAAAAACACCTGATAGAGGTGATTTCACAGCAGTCTAAAAGCTTCAGAGCAGAATACTTAAACTAGAAAAAACTGAAGGCAGTTACTTTCTGTTCCATACTGACCTCAAGAGTTGTTGTGTTAAACAATTACAACAACAACAACAACAACAACAACAAAACACCCTACAGCCGCTGGTAGACCGCAAAGGACCTCTTAAAGGCCCTTAAAGCTGAGGGCCAAGGGGAAGAAGTGAAAACACAACCCGAAGAAATGAGACGCCACATTCCTGCTACATAATCATACTTTGCTGCTTGCTGGCTGTGTCGTAGGCAGTTGCGGCAATTTCTGTAAACAGAATTATAATTGTTGCAAAAAAGTCAGAAAACAAAGATGGGCGCCTACTGTTGGAACGTTAAGCCATTGTTAGTTGTTGTTAACTTTTGTTATCTATACCAGTTAAAAACAACACATAACATGGTGTCTAAATCATGAGCTCACAAGAGCATGTAGTTTCTACATTAGAAGCTACATTACCTAATATAGTTTCTCTTCTTTTCTCCTCTCTTCTCTTCTCTCTCTCTCTCTCTCTCTCTCTCTCTCTCTCTCTCTCTCTCTCTCTCTCTCTGTCTCACTCTAAGCCTCTTTCTCTCTCTTTCTCAGTCTGAGTTTGTTCTGCAACCATTTTATTTAAATCCTGAAACGTTTTTTCTAATAGGTCTTTTTCTTAAAATGTTTTAGCTAACACCTTTTTTCTAAATCTTTTTTATTATCATCATCATCATCATCATCATCATCATCATCATCATCATCATCATCATCATCATCATCATCATTATTATTATTATTATTATTATTATTTTATTAGGGACACAGGGCAAACGCACCAAGGCACTGGCTCCTATACAATAGAGATGCTTTAAACTCTACAACTACAGAGTTGTAAGACAAATTACATATCAAAATGTGTGGTTTGATCTGAATCAGTGTCCTATTACTTTTCTCAATTGTATATGAATTTTTCGCTAAGTCAATGGGACAGGGCAACAAAAAGAGCTTTTCAAACATCTACTGCTCCTGCACCGTTTTTTTGTTTGTTTTTTTCATTTTTTTTATGTTGTATTAATTAATACTTGGAAAAGAAATCTTTGTCTTAGGTGTGCTCCTTGTATATAATATCACAGTCGTATTAATAGTATTAATTATTTAAAATCTCTGTCAAACCTCATCATGATGTACACACCCTGACAGTAGCCCCCTTCCGACCCCTTCAAAATATCCGGAGGGAATTTTCCAGTGATGTTTAATGTGAAGTACTTTGATCTGAGCTCTGACCGATGATGGAGGTCTCCTGGAGACTTGATGCTGTATCATCAGAGGGCTGACTGAGAGTCCTAAGGAGGTTCTGACCTGAACCTGCAGATAGAACCAGCAAAAACGTTCAGATATTTGAGTCCTAAATCATTGAAAAAGGCCTCAGATTTGATTACTGTGTCCCTCCCTCTGTAATAATCTGGTGTGCTGTGTCTGGGTATCTTCTGTCAGTAATTGCCTCTCAGTGTGCATAAAGTATTCAGTCAGCACAGGGACGCTCAGTCCTGCAGAGGACAAAGACCGGCAGCAACTCAGTTTAAAGCAGATTCAGAGCCAGCTGCTGTTTTGTTGTGTTAAGTCTGTAATGAGATGCTGTCTGAGGGTTAAACAGCTCAGGTTTCTAGGAACTCTCTGTGAAGGTTCCTGTTAGAGAGTTTCACTGAGACAACTCACCTGCTCAGATGGGACAGGCGCTCCTCCTCCTGAGAGGGAAAACCATGGAGACCCTGAGAAAGTGGGAGTAATGGATAGAACATGATGTCAGAGAAGGTGAGGGAGAGGTCAGTCCTGTTGCATTTTGGGTAACGATAGTGTGCAGCATGTTAATAAGGGCACTGCAGCTCATTATCCAAACTGCAGACAAATAAATACATGAGCTTACCTGACAGCCCAAACTGAGGGCGAAGAGAGCCCGCAGCTAAAAAAAAAAAAAAAAGGTTTGATCCAGATGGAAGGGTTCATCTGGAGTGATCCGCTGCATCTCACCCCCCTTAGTCTGACCAGCACCACTCTGATACTTCCTTTTTGTATGAGTAAATATTTAATGACATCCAACTGGAAGCTGACACCTGACACACTTTAAAATAAAGGTATCTTTAAAAGTATTTCTGACCTATGTGTCAGTGACATTTAAATCTCTGATATCAATGTTTCAGCTCTGAAACCTGCAGAAACTAAAGACCTTAACCCTTAACATGTTATTATTGAAGTCTGACAACTATTTCTGCCCTTAAAAATAAAATTCCTCATTATATTACAGTAGGGGGAATACAGGGCCTTTAGGATCTGAAGATACTGATACTGATATGATCCTGTATCAGCACTGAAGTAACAACAACCTTCCAGACCTAAGTGCCCCAGTATGAGGATCAGACTGGAATCTCTCAGCACAAAATTAGTACAAAATATGTTGGAGTTGTTGGGGATGTTGGAGTTTTTGGAGATGTTGGAGTTGAAAGGCTTGTTGGATTTGTTGGAGTTAGTGGAGGACTATGAGATCAAAAGAAAAAAAGGGGGGAAAGGAGTGCTTGCTGGATTTAAAAAAAGGGAGGTGTAAGTTGTTGGTTTTTTTTTGGAATGGGATTCACACAGTCATGTGGCAGAAAGAGAAGAAAACTCCAAGGCACCCTCCTCATACTATTAAAATGCCTTTATTGAAACAGCATGGTCATGTAGACCTTAATAAAAACATCAAGCCTTCTTCGAGACTTGACCTGCAGGTGGTGGCAAACATAACAACTCTCCAGCAGATGGTGCTATTCAGGTCAATAACAGTTCCCACAGTGTTTAAACTCAAACCCATTACACACACAAAAAAATAAAAATAAAAAGTACTGCTTTAGACAGTTGTACAAGGCATACATATTTTAAACACAAAGACTTAGTGCTTAAACAACATCCTTCCTTCACAAGAATACAGTGTAATCTATAGTTTTATTTTTCTTCTCCCTTTTTTCCTTTTTCTAAATTTTTTTCTTAATTATTACATTTATTTAAGTTCTTAATATTAGGATCTTTATTTTTATAACTGCATTTTTGCACGATTTGTCTGTGATGCTGCTGTGACAAAAAAATTTCCCCCATGGGGGATCAATAAAGGAATATTCTATTCTATTCTATTCTAATCCTGTTCTTCATTTAGTCCAGGGTGTTTTGTGGCTCGTAGTTTGTCAATCCAGAATGCCTCCTTTTGTCATCTTTTCTGATGGTCAGAGGAATGTGGTCATAACAAAGATTTGTAATATAGTTGTGTTGCTGTTATGGAAATCCAAGTAATGTTTTGCCATGGGGTAGTGGATTATTCCAGTTCTTATTGCATATTTGTGTTCTGCAAGTCTATCTTGTAGGTGTCTTTTGGCTCTGCCAATGTAAAAAAACTTGGGACATTCTAGCCTTGTCACGATTCAGGCACCGAGGCTCAAATGCGGACAAAGAGACTCAAGACAGAGCAGTTCAATTAAACAGATATTTATTTGGTCCCAAAAATGCAAACAGAAATAGGAAAACGGAACTAAGGTGGGCAGTAACAATTAACAAAAAGCGCTGTCTGAAAAACGCGAGACAGGATCAGTAATAATTAACAAAAAGCTCTGTCTGTAAAAACGCGAGACTGGAACAGTAATAATTAACAAAAAGCGCTGTCTGCAAAACGCGAGACTGGAACAGTAATAATTAACAAAAAGCGCTGTCTGCAAAAACGCGAGACAGGGTCAGAACAATTAACAAAAAACGCTGTCTGCAAAACGCGAGACAGGGTCAGAACAATTAACAAAAAAAACGCTGTCTGCAAAACGCGAGACAGGGTCGGGTACTACCAGAGCTAGCGAGAGAGCGAGTGAGCAGGCAGTCCGTGATCTCCGACTGGAGGGGGAGAGGCAGGTGGTGATGGCGTGAGGCGGCGTCCTGGACGGAGCTGGGATGAAAAGCAGGAGAGCTGGGTACGCAGGCGGGAAGAGCAGGCGGAGTGGGCAAGGGGTCTTCAGGTTACGGTCCAGCGTCGGGTTGTGGGAAGTGTCCGGTTTTTATGGCAGCGGGTGAATGAATGAGAGCGCTCCTCTCCCCGCCACACGGATCGATCCGCTGATTAGAAAGTGGCTGCACCTGTCCGCCCTGAAGCTGCATCACACCAATACCTGCTTAGAGAGAGGGAGAGGAGGAGAAGAGGGAGGGGGGAGAAGAGAAAAGAGGGAGAAGAGAAAAGAGAGGCTGCCCCTATCTGGCCCTAGAAGTAGAGGGCGTGACAGTACCCCCCCCCCCCCCCCCCTACGTGCACCTCCAGGTGCACGAAGGCGCTTCTCTGGGTGGCCAACTTCTTTGACTCCACCCGGAGTGGGAGATCCTTGGCCCTGAGCCAAACCCTCTGGCCCGGGGCGTAGGCAGGAGCAGGGGAACGGCGACGGTTGGCCTGTTGCTCCATTCTCAAGGAGGCCCGGCGGAGGGCGACCCGAACCTTCCTCCAAGTTCGTTTGCACCTCCTGACGAAGCTTTGCACCGAGGGTATGACAATCTCCTCTTCAGAAGCTGGAAACAGGGGGGGCTGGTATCCCAGGACGCACTGGAAGGGGGACAGTCCAGAGGAAGAGTTAGACAGGGAGTTGTAAGCATACTCCACCCAGGGGAGTTGATTGCTCCAGGTCGTAGGGTGTTCTGAGGCCACACAGCGTAGGAAAGTCTCTAGAGACTGATTGGCCCGTTCCGTCTGGCCGTTCGACTGTGGGTGGAAACCAGAAGAGAGACTGACCGTGGCCCCCAGAGCCTTACAAAACGCCCTCCACACCTCTGACGTGAACTGGGGACCACGGTCGGAGACTATGTCGGAAGGGATGCCGTGAATCCTGAAAACCTGAGAGACCAGAAGATCTGCAGTCTTAATGGCTGTGGGTAACTTGGGCAGGGGAAGGAAATGGGCAGATTTGGAGAACCGGTCGACAATGGTTAATATGGCAGTGTTGCCCTGGGAAGGAGGGAGGCCTGTGACAAAATCCACTGCAATGTGGGACCAGGGTCTCCTGGGAATGGGAAGCGGCCGCAGGAATCCGGAGCTGGGTTGATTGGATGTTTTGTTGCGGGCACAGACGGAGCAGGCCAGGGTGAACTCACGGGTGTCTGCCTCCATGGTGGGCCACCAGAACCGTTGCCGGAGGACCTCTAAGGTGCGGGCAGATCCGGGATGACAGGCGAACTTAGAGGTATGCCCCCACAGGAGGACCTGCGGGCGGACGGCTTCTGGGACAAACAGGCGGTTTGGAGGACTGCCTCCAGGGTCAGGTTGCTGTTCTAGGGCCCGGAGTACTTGGGCCTCAACCTCCCAAGTGAGGGAGGCGACAATGCGAGTCTGGGGCAAGATGGGTTCCGGGTCTGGCAGGGCGTTCTCTCCGGAGAACTGACGGGACAGGGCATCAGGCTTGGTGTTCCTGGACCCGGGGCGATAAGTGATGGAGAAGTTGAAGCGGCTGAAGAAGAGGGACCAGCGGGCCTGGCGGGAATTCATCCTCCTTGCCGACCTGATGTATTCCAGGTTCTTGTGGTCTGTCCACACGATGAAAGGCTGCAGGGCACCCTCCAACAGATGCCGCCATTCCTCCAGAGCGAGCTTGACGGCCAACAGCTCGCGATCTCCGACGTCATAGTTCCTCTCTGCGGGGGTAAGACGCCGTGAGAAGAAGGCACAGGGGTGTAGTTTTTGGTCTGTAGCAGCCCGCTGGGACAGGACTGCCCCTACCCCGGTGTCCGAGGCATCCACCTCCAGGATGAACTGTCTCTCGGGATCTGGCTGGATCAGGATAGGCGCCGAAACAAAGCATTGCTTCAGCTCAGAGAAGGCTTTGTCTGCTTCAGGGGTCCAACCAAAGATCTTGGTGGTGGAAGTGAGGGTGGTCAGGGGGGCTGCCACAGAGCTGTAATTTCGGATGAAACGGCGGTAGAAGTTTGCAAAACCAAGGAAGCGCTGAAGCTGTCTCCGGTCTTCGGGACGGGGCCACTCAGTCACTGCCTCCACCTTTAATGGGTCCATCTTGACCTCCCCGGAGGAGATGATGAATCCCAGGAAAGCCACAGTGGATGCGTGGAACTCACATTTCTCTGCCTTGACGAAGAGGCGGTTCTGGAGGAGACGTTCGAGGACCTGGCGGACATGGCAGACGTGTTCTTCAAGGTTTCGGGAGTATATTAAGATGTCATCCAGGTAGACGAAGACGAACCGATTGAGCATGTCCCTCAAGACGTCGTTGATGAGGTTCTGGAAAACTGCGGGGGCGTTAGTGAGGCCGAAGGGCATGACCAGGTATTCAAAGTGTCCCAGGGGAGTATTGAAGGCGGTCTTCCACTCGTCGCCCTCCCGGATTCGGATGAGGTGGTAGGCATTTCTAAGATCCAGTTTGGTGAAGACAGAGGCTCCATGCAGCGGGGTGAAGGCAGAATTGATTAGGGGAAGGGGGTAAGTATTTTTAACAGTAATGTCATTGAGGCCCCGGAAGTCTATGCAGGGACGGAGGGATTTGTCCTTCTTGGAGACAAAAAAGAATCCAGCGCCGACAGGGGATGAAGAGGGGCGGATGATGCCAGCCGCCAGAGAATCGCGGATGTAGGACTCCATGGTGGCCTGTTCAGGTCTAGACAGGTTGTACAGTCTGCAGCGGGGTAGTGTAGCTCCGGGAAGTAAGTCTATAGCACAGTCGTAGGGTCTGTGTGGGGGCAGAGACAGGGCTTGATCCTTGCTAAAAACCATGGCCAGATCGTGGTACACAGAAGGTACAAGGTCCAGGTTGAGGGGTTCGGAAGGTAGGGCCTGGGTGCTGGCTCGAGTTTCAGGAGTCAGGGCAGACGTCAGGCAACGTTGGTAGCACTCCCGGCTCCAGGAACGGATCTCCCCCTGCTGCCAGTCAATGTGGGGATTATGGACCTGGAGCCAAGGGAACCCAAGAACCAAGGGTGGAATAGACTGGTCGATGAGGTGGAAGGAAATTGTCTCATGGTGGTTGCCCCCCACCACCAGGGAGACCGGAACAGTCTTATGGCGGACTTGGGCCAGGTGGAGTCCGTTCAGAGCACGAGCCTCCAGGGGCGCGTCAAGAGTTTCTGTGGGAATGCCGAGCTGGGACGCCAGGCGAGAGTCCAGGAAATTCTCTTCAGCCCCAGAATCCACCAGGGCTAGAAGAGGGATAGGCTGACGCTGCCAACACAGGGTTATGGCCACTTGGAGACGTTGTGGGGGCGAAGTAGTAGTAGTACGGCTCACCAGCAGATCCCCCGTCACTGGCGAGCCGGACCTTTTGGCGGACGGGCAGGGCAGAAGGCAATGTAGTGACCCGGACGCCCACAATACAGGCACAGGTTTGCTGACCGACGTTGTAACTTCTCAGACTCAGTGAGGTGGGCACGGCCGATCTGCATTGGCTCTGGGAGAGACTCCGGCGGGGGGTCCGGCTGAGTTCTGGGGCCTGGGGCACTTGGGGTTCTGGTGGGTCCTAGTACAGAGCGGGCGCTGCGTTCTCGCCTCCTTTCCCGGAGCCGGTTGTCAATCTTAATCGCTAATGCGATGAGGTGGTCTAGGTCTGGAGAGTCGTCACGAGTTGCCAGCTCGTCCTTTAGGGCCTCACCTAGCACTTTGTAAAAGGCTCCCTGGAGCGCGCCGTCGTTCCAGGAGCTCTCTGCAACCAGCGTCCGGAACTCCACCGCAAACTCTGCGACACTCCTTGTCCCTTGGGAGATGGCCATGAGGCGGTGGCTGGCGTTGTTTCCGCTTACTGGGTGGTCAAAACCTTCCTCATCTCTGCCACGAACGCCGCGTAGGACTCACAGGCACTGTCCTGGCGCCCCCAAACGGCCGTGCCCCACTCTCTCGCCTGTCCTGACAATAACCCGATGGTGTAGGCTATTTTTGAACGATCGGAGGCATAGGAGAGAGGCTGCATCTCAAAAACTAGTGAAACCTGAGTTAAAAAGGTCTGGCAGGATCCTAACTCCCCCCTGTAACGTTCAGGTACAGGCACTACAGGTTCACGAAAGGGAGGTGGAACACTAACGCTAGCCAAGACAGGATTAGCGGCTAACGCTGAGCCTGGGGGAGCAGTCTTAGCAATTTGACCAGCCAACCCTCTTAACTGGGTGGTTAGTTCAGAGATCTGATTAAGCATAACATGATTGCTACTGACCAGGGAACGCAACAATTCATCATGTTGAGCTAACACGCATTCCTGATTAGCAATAGCTTGTTGAAACGTGGTAGCGGGGGAGACTGCCTCCGCGCCAGTCTCTTTGTCTGCTGAGCTCATCTAGGCTGGACCGTACTGTCACGATTCAGGCACCGAGGCTCAAATGCGGACAAAGAGACTCAAGACAGAGCAGTTCAATTAAACAGATATTTATTTGGTCCCAAAAATGCAAACAGAAATAGGAAAACGGAACTAAGGTGGGCAGTAACAATTAACAAAAAGCGCTGTCTGAAAAACGCGAGACAGGATCAGTAATAATTAACAAAAAGCGCTGTCTGTAAAAACGCGAGACTGGAACAGTAATAATTAACAAAAAGCGCTGTCTGCAAAACGCGAGACTGGAACAGTAATAATTAACAAAAAGCGCTGTCTGCAAAAACGCGAGACAGGGTCAGAACAATTAACAAAAAACGCTGTCTGCAAAACGCGAGACAGGGTCAGAACAATTAACAAAAAAAACGCTGTCTGCAAAACGCGAGACAGGGTCGGGTACTACCAGAGCTAGCGAGAGAGCGAGTGAGCAGGCAGTCCGTGATCTCCGACTGGAGGGGGAGAGGCAGGTGGTGATGGCGTGAGGTGGCGTCCTGGACGGAGCTGGGATGAAAAGCAGGAGAGCTGGGTACGCAGGCGGGAAGAGCAGGCGGAGTGGGCAAGGGGTCTTCAGGTTACGGTCCAGCGTCGGGTTGTGGGAAGTGTCCGGTTTTTATGGCAGCGGGTGAATGAATGAGAGCGCTCCTCTCCCCGCCACACGGATCGATCCGCTGATTAGAAAGTGGCTGCACCTGTCCGCCCTGAAGCTGCATCACACCAACACCTGCTTAGAGAGAGGGAGAGGAGGAGAAGAGGGAGGGGGGAGAAGAGAAAAGAGGGAGAAGAGAAAAGAGAGGCTGCCCCTATCTGGCCCTAGAAGTAGAGGGCGTGACAAGCCTGTAAATAACAAAATTAGTCTTGCTGTTGATAAAGTTATTGATTTTGTACTCTTTTTGTGATGGTAAATCCAAAAAAGTCTTGTACAGTGGTTACAGTGGCTGCATTGATAAGGCCCTTTTGGTTTTGGTCCCAGCCATGAAGTTGGATTGTTGGGTTTAAGGTGACTATGAACCAGTTAATCTTGTAGTGTTAGGGCTCATCGGAAGCTGACAGAGGAGGCTGTAAAATGTTAAGTAGTCCATCACTCTCAGTGGAGGATGTGGTGGAGAGATCTACGCTGAGAAAGGTGGAGACTATTCTAAAGAACATGGATTATCCACTTCATAACACCTTAATAGACTAAAGGGCCAATGGTGGTGGACGGTTCCTCTCTATTCGCTGCAGGACAGAAAGATTCAGAAGATCTTTTGTGCCCACAGCCATCAGACTTTACAACTTTTCTGTAAATAGTAGATGACTCTTAGGGACATTACAAATGAGATTGCAGACAATTGGATTTCCCTTTAGAGATCAATAAAGTTCTTATTCTTATTATTCTTAAATCTACCTGTGAACCAGACCAAAGCAAACACACATCATCAATGTACTGTCCACACCAGACTATGTGGTTTCGAAACCTATTTTTTTTCATTGTTCAAAACAAAGTCCTTTCCCCATTTTCCAAGGTATAAACCTGCATAAGAAGGACTGTAGCATGCCTCAATGGCACAACCTTTCATCTGTTTGAATACCTCATCTTGAAACATAAAGATGTTGTTTTTTAAAGGCCATTCTATCAATGTAAGAAAAGATTAATCAGGTGGTGTTTCAGGTTCTGTTCAGGTGTCCAAAAATGTTTTAGTGCTGCCAGGCCTTGTGCATGTTCTATTGTTGTGTAGAGTGATCCACATCCAGGATAGCTAAAAAAAGATGTCAGAGATGTTTGAGTTGGAGTTGTTGGAGACGTTGGACTTGTATGAGATGTGCAAATTGTTGGAGATGTTGGAGTTGTTGCAGATGTTGCATTTTTTTGGAGATTTGGAATGTAAAAGTTATCAGAGTTGTTCAATGGTTGAAGATGTTGTGTTGGAGATATGAGAGTTGTTGGAGAACTTGGCTTTGTTGGATTTGTTGAACATACAGTTTTTGAATATGTTTGAGTTCTTTGAGTTTTTTAAGTTGTTGGATATGTTAGAGTTCTTGGGGAGGTTAGAGTTTCAGAGGTGTTTCAGATGTCGCAGATGTTGAATTATTTGGAGATGTTGAAGTTTTTTAAGTTGTGAAAGTTGTCCGAGTTGTTGAATTGTGAAAGATGTTAGGGTTAGAGCATAGACTGTATATACTATGGACAACCTGGTTCCGCCTACCGCCTGTATATGGATTTGAAGCCAAATAACTCTCGGTATTTCCGGGATTTTTGTTCATTTCCTGAAACCAGCGCTGTGCAGTAGCGTTGTGCGCATTCGGCCGCGCAGTCGCAGAGAGTCACTGTGATGATGCTCGGCTCAAACAGCGTATCCCCCGGGAGAGCTACTCAATCCCTGAACGCCCATAGGCTGTATCAGGTGTCAATCATAGCAAACATGAACCCCCTAATAACTTTTAAAAACTGAGCTTCACAGAAAAAAAGAGGACTTGAGCACAAACCAGTCTTACAATAACTACATGTCAACACCGCAAGCAGGGGGGAGAAAAATGTATGTTCTGTTAAATAAATTTCTAAAGTTGGTCCACAGCCCCATAAGCTTTGCTGGCGGAAACGGGATTTATGACCTATACTGCAGCCCATCAACAGAGGGTGCTGTTCTTGGAGTGGCTTCACCCCGCGAGGAGGCAGACGGCATCCATTCTATATACAGTCTATGGGTTAGAGATATAAGAGTTGTCGGAGTTGTTGGAGATCTTGGAGTTTTTGTAGTTGTCTAGGTACCTGAAGTTGTTTGAGTTCTTGGCTTTGTTGGAGTTGTTGGACATGCAAGAGTTGTTGGAGATGTTTGAACTGTTGGAGTTGTAGGTGATGTTGAGGTTTTTGGAGTTGTTGTAGTTGATGCAGATGTTGGATCTTTGGGAGATGTTGAAGCTTTAAAGTTTTAAAAGTTGTCAGAGTTGTTGAATTGTCGAAGATATTTTGTTGGAGATAATAGAATTGTTAGAGTTGTTGGACGTATAAGAATTGTTGGAAATGTTTGAGTTCTTGGAGTTGTTAGAGATGGTGTAGTTGTTGGAGATCATAGAGTGTTTGAAGTTGTTGGAGCTGTAGGACTTAGATTAAGTGAAGGAAAATGACATTTTGAGGTTATTTGAGGTGTTAGGGAAATTGGAGATGTTGGTAGTGTGGGAGATAATGTAGTTGTTGGAGTTTTTGAGATTTTAAAGTTGTTAGAGATGTGGAAGTTGTTGAAGATGTTTGAGTTGTCAGGGATGATGGAGATGTTTGAGTTCTTGGAATATTTGGATATTTTGGAATTGTCTGAGTTGTTTGTGTCATGTGGCAGGGTTAAACAAAAGAAAAAAAAATAACAACAATAATAATAATAATAATAATAACAATAATAATAATAATAATAATAATAATAATAATAATAATAATAAACTTTAATTGTGTAGCACCTTTCATGACATGAGATGCAGCTCAAAGTGCTTTACAGATCAAGAACAAAGCACAAGTGCTTTACAGAGAAGGTAAATGATTAGCAATAAAACAATAAAATTAACAATAAAAACAATAAAATTAGCAATAAAAAAAATAAAAATAAAAATTAGCAGAAAATAAATGCAGAAACATAAAACAACATTATAATAATACCAAACAGTGCGGACACAATCAAATAAAAGCAAGAGTGAAGAAATAGGTCTTAAGCTGTGTTTTAAAGTTATCAACAGAGGTTGCCTGTCTTATGTAAACTGGGAGTTTATTCCATGCTGTCGGCCCATAGAAGCAGAATGCTGCTTTTCCATGTTTTTATACACCATTTTAGGTACTTCAAGCAGGTCAGCAGTGGATGACCTGAGGGAGCGGTTTGGGACATATCTGGGTAGACAGTCAACTAGGTAGGAGGGTGCCAGACCATTGAGAGCTTTATAAACAAGTAAAAGAATTTTAAAATCAATCCTAAAAACAACCGGAAGCCAATGCAGTGACGCTAAAACTGGAGTAATATGTTCTCTCATCTTGGTTTTAGTTAAGACTCTGGCTGCCGCATTTTGAACAAGTTGTAACCTGTCTGTAGTTTTCTTTGGCAGGCCAAAGAGGAGTGCGTTACAGTAATCAAGCCAGGAGAAAACGAAGGCATGGATCAATGTTTTGGCATTGTCGAGTGACAGATAAGCTCTAATGCATGCAATATTTCTAAGATGAAAAAAGGCAGTTTTGGTAACATGACTAATGTGTGTATTGAAGTTTAGTTCTGAATCAATAATAACCCCCAAGTTCTTTAATGTATTGTTACCTTTATCAGTCAGGTCACCTAGTCTACTCGTTATTGATTCCCTCTGCTCATTAGTACCACCAATTGTGAGGATTTCAGTTTTATCCTCATTTAGTTTTAAAAAAATGTCAGTCATCCAACATTTGATGCTAGCTAGACAGGACAGCAGGCAGTCTAAAGCACTTGGATCATCTGGTGCTACAGAGAGGTACAGCTGGGTATCATCAGCATAAAAGTGGAAGTTCACACCATGATTACCGATAAGTTCTCCCAGTGGCAATATATACAAAGAAAACAATAGTGGACCAAGGATGACAAATGTCATACTTGTCTGAGTAAAATTCAGCTAGGCTGACAGAAAAGCTTCTGCCTTTTAAGTAAGAGCGGAACCAGGACAGGGCCACACCTGATACCCCAACCCAGTACTCCAGACAATGTAATAAAATATCATGCTCGATTGTGTCGAATGCAGCCGTTAAGTCAAGTAGTAGGAGAACAGATACATTTTTCTTGTCAGATGCCACCCTAAGGTCATTGACCACCTTTAAAAGAGCCGTTTCCGTGCTGTGACCTTTTCCGAAGCCAGAATGGAATTTGTTATGTCTATTATTATTCTGTAGAAACACTTCCAATTGTTTAAAAACAACTTTTTCTAAGATTTTTCCCACAATGGGAAGATTGGAAATGGGTTTATAGTTACATAGTAAAGAAGGATCAAGGTTGTGTTTCTTGAGTAAGGGCCTAACTACCGCCCTTTTAAGGGAGTCGGGAAAGACACCAGAATGTAGGGAGCAGTTTACAGTCTTTACGATATCACTAATCGGGTGTGTTCGTTGAGCCATGGTGTTGCTGCAGAGTTATTTTTCTTTTTGATTTTGTAGGGAGCCACTATGTCTAGGGCCGACACTAATTTGACATCAAAATGGTGAACCAGATCATTCACCGAGGAAGCATCGGGCAGGGGATTTGCACTTGCTAGATGAAGGGGAAAGTCACTGGCTGCCGATTGGGTGAAACAACGTTTTTTCATAGTGTGTTCTGAGGACAGTCATCATGTTAAAACACAACACAAAGTGATCTGATAGTTCGGGTCTATCAATAATCTTGTCAACAGTGATAGTCAGACCTCTGGATATCACTAAGTCCAGAGTGTGGCCAAGCTTGTGTGTTGGCCCAACAATGTGTTGAATAAAATCAAGGGAATGCAACAAGTCAATAAAACCCATAGCCACAGTGCATGAGGCATTGTCGATGTGCAGATTGACGTCACCAGTTATCAGAGTTTTGTTGTGGTTAGTAGCACAGATTGATAACAGTTCAGATATTTCTGTTAAAAACAAGGCTTTGCTGCACTTAGGGGGACGATAAACACTAATCATTAGCACCAGAGATTTATTATCCAGTATGGTGGCCTGGTATTCGAAGGATGAAAAGCTACCAAGAGACAGAGATTTAAACTTTAAAACGTTTGAGAAAATATTTGCTAGTCCAACGCCTCTTTTGCCCTTGCGTACTGAATAGATAAAGCTGTAATCTGGAGGACATGCTGGAGCAAGAATGACATTTCCACTGGATTTAAGCCACGTTTCAGTTAGAAAAAGAATATCTAGATTCTCTGAACAAATCAAATCATTGACGGAAGATGACTTTTCAGCAAGTGACCTGATGTTAAACAGGCCCAGGTTTAGCTTATGGCATCTTATGGAGCTGTTTTTGTATGGGGAATGTATGTTAAATTAGCTACATTAGCAGACCTGGTGTGATTCAAACCACTCCTTGTCCAGGACACTCTATTTGAAATAATAGTTGGGATATTGCATACTACATATGATGTAGATGGCGGATTTATAGATAGTCACGGGATGAAGGACCCAAATGCAGAACACTACTACAAAATAAAACAGTAAGTCAAATAACCTGGACACATGGGAAGAAGGGACTACAAAATGGACCAGAAAAAACTTAAAACTCATCACAAGACCAAACAGAGAAAACACAACAGGAAAATAAGAATAATTGGCACAGAATAATAGGCAACAGAAAGACGAGGAACAAGTATATGAAAAAAACCCATAACAAAACAAGGACAAACTAAAACAACAAGAATCAAGTGTTCATACCCCTCACCTTACTTTAGTGTTCCCGATCAAATTTGACCGGTCTATTTTAACTGCTCTTAAATTAACACAAAAGCTATTACTCACCACCAAGTCTTTATTTAACACTCTTTTCAGCTGTAAACAATGTCTCTGAGTATTAGTTAACATGCATAACTGCAGTAAAAATACAGTTACTGAAAATATATAAAAAAATGAACATGTAACGTAAAAAAGAAATCAAAGACCAGAGACCAAACTCCTTAGCTCCTTGATAGGCATTTAGTAGTTGGAGATTTTAAAGTATTTGGAGGTGTTTAAGTTGTTTGAGATAAAGGAGATGTTTAAGTTGACAGAGTTGTTGGAGATGATAGTTTTGTTGGACTTGTTTGAGATTTCAGAGTTTTTTTTAGATGTTGAATGTTGTTGGAGATGTCGTGGTAAGCTGTGGGAGTTCTTGAAGATGTTAGAGTTGTTGGAGATGTCGGCGTTAAATGAGATGTGCAAATTTTTCGAGGTATTTGAGTTTTTGGAGTTGTTGGAGATGTTGGGGTTGCTCCAGATGTTGGATTTTTTGGAGAATTTGGAGTTAAAGCGTGGATGGCTTTGAACTTTTTAAATTTCAATGAGAAAAAGACATAAGTGATGGTCTTTGGGCCCAGTGGCTCTTGTGAACCCCCTCCAGTTGAACTTGGACTGTTAAGAGATGTTGGTGATGTGGGAGCTGTTTGAGTTCTTTCAGTGGTTAAAGTTGTGAGAGTTCTTTGAGTTGTTGGAGATTTTGAGTTTTCAGAGTTGTTGGAAGTGTGGGACTGGTGGAAATTTTTTGTAGTTATTATGTGAATTTGTTGCAGTACAGTGTGTTCTTTCTTTTCTCTTCTTTTCTATATTTTTCAGCACAGTACATTTTTTGTGGTATTTGAAGTTTTTATTAGTACAGTGTGTTGAGTATGATTTTGCAGTACAGTGTTTTTTTGTAGTTTAGTGTATTTTTTGCAGTATGGTATGTATTTCATGCATTGTATGTTGTATTTTTTGTAGTATAGAATGTGCAGTATGGTGACATTTTTCACTGTGTACCTGTAAAGTACATTATTTACTTTTTGCAGTACAGTGTGTTTTCCTGCTGTGGAGGTAACTGTCGGTCAAGGCAGATTACAACAAATTAAATCTGATAATCTTGTTAAACAGCATTCAGCCTTCATCAGCAGATAAACTGTAGCAGTTACTGTAGGGCAGTCATCCTCACCCTCATCATCATTTTCACCCTCATCATTATCAACCTTACCCTCATCATCATCTTCACCCTTATCATTATCAACCTTACCCTCATCATCATCAATCTTACTCTCATCATTACATCATCGTCAGACTCTCTGGTTTCCATGGAAACACACCTGCTCTAAATATTTCAATAAAATCTTCATATTATTATTATTATTATTATTATTATTATTATTGTTATTATTGTTGTTGTTATTATTTTTTGTGTGTAATTTTTAGCTTTTTTTCTCTTTATCTCATGATTCATTTCTGTCTGATCTGAGGTGGTTCAGTCAGTTAAGTTAGTTTAGATAATAATATAGACAGTTTAGTAAATTTAGTAAATGTCAGTTTACTTAGTTTTGTTTATCAGTAAGTAAAGTTAGTTTAAGTATTAGTTAATTATTTAGTTCAGTCAGTTCGTTAGTTTAGTCAACCAGTAAGTTTAGTGAGTTAAGTTAATTAGTGATTTTAACTAGTTTAGATAACCAGTCAGTTAAGTTAAATACTCAGTTCAATCAGTTTAGTTAGTTTAGTCCATCAGTCAGTTTAGTATGTGTGATGTTTGTACCTAATCTTTTGTGCACAAGGCTCACATCGACGTGCTTCTCAATAACCACATTTATTGTCCGACTGGCATGCAAACAAAAAAACACTGTGTAACTGCCTTTTGATGTAACGCTGTATCCCCAGCAGATGGCACTGTTCTGCCTTGGATATACTAAATTCCTGTAAACATTACATTGCCCCCTTTTTTTCCCCCAAGAAAACAATAACAACTGCAAGCAACAATAACAAGCAATATCACACCACTACAGCAGCCAGCAACCTTTGTGATGGCTGGTACATGTTGTTGTGAGTCACTGATAGTGGAAAACCGTCAAAGATTATGAGGGCGCCATGGCCATGTCTTTTGTCTTACTTGTGATTTTTTTAATATAAACTTCCTCAAGGTCTCCCTGACAAACTGGAGGAGAAATAACCTAAAATCTGTAAATGGTTTGCTTTAGAGACAGCCAGAATCTACAACACAGCAACATCCGTAAAGTGTGGCGAGGAATCAGTACCATATCTAATCTGATTCGATATATCTGATTCTAAGCCTTCGGAGGTCTGAGGTCAAAGACAAACTGGACTCCCTGCAGTTTGAATACAAAGAACAAATTGGAGTGGATGATGCTGTCCTCTACATGCTTCACTGTGCCCTGACTCATCTGGAGGATGTGTGGATGGGTTATGTGAGGATCATGTTCTTTGACTTTTCAAGTGCATTCAACACCATCCAACCCACCATACTCAAAGACAAGCTCACAGAGATGGGAGTGGATCCTGCCTGTGTTTCCTGGATCGCAGATTGCCTGACATAAAGATCACAGTTTGTCAGGCTGTGGAACTGTGTTTCTGGGACATTAATGAGCAGTGCAGGGGCTCCACAAGGGACAGTGCTGGCGCCATTCCTGTTCACACTGTACACGTCAGACTTCAAATACAGCACTGAGTCCTGCCACATCCAGAAATACTCAGCTGACACTGCTAGCGTGGCACGTATCAGAAATGAACAAGAAGCTGAATACAGAGATCTGATAAGAGCCTTCAGTGACTGGAGTCACAAAAACTGCCTCCTTCTCAACACCTCAAAGACAAAGGAGATGGTCATAGACTTCCGTAGATCCAAACCCCCTCTTCAGCCAGTGAACACCTGTGTAGTGGACATCGAGGTAGTGTCATTGTATGAATATCTAGGCGTACATCTGGATAATAAGTTGGACTGGTCTAAGAATATAGACTTTATCTACAGAAAGGGGCAGAGCCGCCTTTTTTGCCTGAGAAGACTCCGATCAATAGACATTTATAGTAAGATGCTGCAGATGTTTTATCAGTCTGTGTTGTCTACAGTGTACTGCTCTATGCTGCAGTCTGCTGGGAAAGAAGCATCAAACACAAAGGTGCAAGACGTCTTAACAAACTGGTGAAAAAGGCTGGCTCTGTGGTTGGATTCAAGCTGGATTCAGTGGAGGATGTGGTGGAGAGATCTACGCTGAGAAAGGTGGAGACTATTCTTAAGAACATGGATCACCCACTTCATAACAACTTAATGGACCAAAGGGCCAATGGTGGTGGATGGCTCCTCTCTCTTCGCTGCAGGACAGAAAGATCCAGGAGATCTTTTGTACCAACAGCCATCAGACTTTATAACTCTTGAGTAAATAGTTTTTTGCTACAATGCTATTAGAGGCGGGGTACTGTCTGAGTTAGGCTTTAATTTGGCAGGTACAGTATAGTTCACAAGTCTGCAGCCTGGTGACCCACTGTAAATGTAAACTTGATTCGTCCCTTACGGGCATCTTTAGATTGACACCTGCATTAACTCAAGTGCACAGGGACATGTCACGGTTGGTAATGCTGAATGAATGAGGATAGGTTTCTATTTATTTATTTAGTTGTTCCTGAAAGTGGGCAACAGAATTTGCACATGCACGCTAAATTTTCAAATCAACACCTCCATGATTGGAAAGGAGCAGCAAGAAGAAAAACAATTCTTATACGTGCCTATCCCTTACTTGAACAATAAAAAAAAAAAAGGTTGGTCTGACATCACAACCAGTGGCGGTTCTAGACCAAATTACTCCCCGGGCGAGCACCTCTCCGAGTGCCCCCCCCCCCCCCCACACACACACACACACACACACACACACACAAAAAGAATTTTGAACAGATAGTTTTGTATTACTATGTAGTATTATTATTATTATAACAACAAAAATAAAATATTTCTCAATTGCAGAAATCCTTCAATAGAAAAAAACACAATTCTGAGGGCCATTTTCAGAAGGGCCCCCAGATCCTGAGGTTTTCTGAAGTGTTAAGGTTTACAAAAAAGCTGCTATCTCGGCCTCTGTAGTAGATAGAAACAAAATTCAAAAGGTATTTGAGAGCTTAAACATGTGGCTTTCAAGAAAGCTCTCTTTTAGTTTTGCGAACCTTCATCACATTTTGAAAACCTTGAACAAACAAACTCAAATGAAATAAAGCGGCTGTATAAATAAAAGTAAAGGCTCTGCACTGGAGAATGACAAATAATTTGCTTTCTGTAAAACAAGTGGCAGTCATGATAAAGTGTCCATTCAATACAAATGTAAATATAGAAAATAAGGTGTTAAAAGGGTATACAGCTGCCCCAGTATAGTGCCAGTACAAAAGCAGAACTAAACACTATAAAATGAATAAATAAATACGTGACTGACAGTGTGTTCATCTCTGTTCTCACCCAAAGTCATGCAACACTCAGAGAAAACGCTGATAGTGTGAGCCAAATCACTCCATATGAAGAGGTTGTTCACACTGCTGGATGTTTCTCCTCTGAAGCTGCTCTCTGCCTCAGTCATTGTTTACTTTACTCATGAAGCTCATCAAGCACGTAGCAAGATCCGAGCAAGAACCCGAGCGCTTTATTCGCCTATCAAAGGCAGACGGGTACGGTAATTTCATTCACCACGACTCCAGAAATGATTAAAAAACTACAAAATGACGTATCCGCGCTCCCGCTGATATGCTGACATGCGTACACAGAGCAGAGCTGTTCCCCCGCGACTCTCTCCCCGCCTCGTCTCCTACAGTCTGTCAGCCTCTGTGCAGCACCTTCGGAGCAAGCAGGGGCGCCTACAGCAACGGGGGGGCGCCAATTTGACAACAAGAGTTAATACAAAACCGCTTTGCGGTTAAGATTTATTATTACTACCTTTTATTTTATTTTTTTGGAAGTGCTCGTGCCGCCCCCCATGAGTCATGACACAAATGCCGCCCCGGGCGGCTGCCCTGTTCGCCCGTGCCTAGAACCGCTACTGATCACAACAGATGACATTCAATAGCCAACACCAACAACTCTTTGATTATAACAACAAAAAAATTAATCAAAACAAATTCAAGAGAATAAATTAAATAAATAAATATCCCATAAAAGTATACTTTTACAGCTTAAATCAAATGATCATTAATATCCAGTTTAAGTTTCAAGTGCATATTGACAATTTTTTTGCCTTTGTACGTTTTTTTTTTTTAAATTGATGAGTATCTGTAGAGCCTTTCAGATCTCGTAGTTGGGAATTCCATATTTTCACACCAACAACCGAAATACACATTTGTTTTAAAGTAGTCCAAACAACTTGGCGCTTAAAATCATATCTTCTTCTATGACTTTCATCTTGTGAAGTGAACACAAGTAGCTTTTGTAGATTTTCTGGTAAAACTGTTTTTGGCTTTGAGCATAATTAGTAATGTCTGGAGTTCTGTTTTCTCTGTTAGCTTCAATAACCCTGTTTTAACAAATAAACAACTCTCTAACTTTAACTTTGTGGATAGTTCTGATTGCTTTTTTCTGCAATATGAACAAAGGCATTATAATACTCATGTATGTATTGCCCCATACTTCTGCACAATAACTCAGATAAGGCAGTATAAGTGAACAGTACAATGTTCTTATTGTTTTGCAGTCCAAAACATCCTTTACTTGGATTTCCATGTCATATTTTCATCCACTGTGATTCCAAAAAACTTAAACTCTGATATCCTCTCAATATTAACTCTATCAATGGACATGAAATCTCGTCTTTACTTCTTTTGGCAGAAAAACCATGAACTTAGTTTTTGTCAGATTAATAGATGCAACTTATTTACACCAAACCAAATTTTAAGTTTCATCATTTCACGGTCAATGCTTTCAGATAATGTTTTTGAATTATATCCTGAACAAAAGAAATTAGTGTCATCTGCAAACAAAATGAACCGTAACAAATTAAAAACATCACAAATATCATTGATATACATAATAAAAAGTTTCAGCCCCAAAACTGAACCTTGTGGGTCCCCACATTTAATTTTCAAACATTCAGATACATTACCAGCGAAGAAAACATATTGTTTTCTATTATGTAAATAGCTAGTTAACCAATTAAGAACAATTCCTCTCACACCATAAGTTTTCAACTTAGCAATTAAAATGGAATGATGTATTGCATCAAATACATCATTCCAAGTCACTGAATACCCCTTTTGTATATTTCCTTTTGTCAATTGCTGTTGTGATTTTCTCTATTATTTCCATTATTGCCAGAGCAGTGGAGCGATTTGTCGGAAAACCATATTGACTGTCCCTTTATATTTTATTTTTTTCAAAGAAATTATGTAGTTTTTGAACAAACAACTTTTTGAGCACTTTAGAAAATTGGGGAAGTAATGATACTTATCTATAATTATTAAAGCTGTGTTTGTCTCCTGCCTTGAAAAGTGGAATGACCTTTGTTGTTTTCATCCTATCTGGAAAAACGCCTGTTTTAAATGATTATAAATATAACATAATGGTTTTAAAATACAGTCAATGGTCTTTTTACTACCTTCATGTCTATTCCTTCATTTGATGTCTTATTTTTTGTTTTACCAACAAGCAAAGAGTTTGTCTCTCATTTACCTCACCAAGAAACATTAACTGCATCACTTTATTTTCCCCTTTCCAGCCACTTTCTGTTTGCCCATGTTTTTTTGTGATGTCCTTTGCCAATCTAGGCCTAACATTTACAAAAAAAGGATTAAATTCATTAGCCACTTAATTCAAGCTTTAATCACCTTATTGTACTTAAAGGTCCCATGGCATGCCAATTTCACACAACTTAAAATAGTCCCCTGGTGTGTTAAAAGCATGTCTGTGACGTCCTTCGGTCAAAATTCGATTTGGATCAATTATTTTAGTGCTCTTTTTATCAGCTAAAAACAGCTCTGCTCAAAATCCTCCGTTTTGGGCCATGTCTCTTTAATGAAATGAGCTGCACCTAAGCCACGTCCACTTTACACCCATCTCTCTGGAAGGGGCTGTGGCTGTGCTCCGATAGCCATGTGCTAATGTTTACACTGGCTCGGTCATGGCTGCAAGAAGATCGCTCGTACAACCCTACCAGTTTGAGCCAGAGTCTGACCCAGAGGGAGAGGCTCCGGAAGAAACTCTTAGCCGCGTTCAGACCAAACGCGACTTGAAGCGACCTAGTTGACACATCCTATGTATTATTCAAAGCCGCCAGGAAGGTCACGCTTAAGGAGGAATTTATGAATGTAGAAAAAATTGCAACCAGAGCTCTGCTACAATGTAAGATTTCGGTGCTCTAAAACTTCTCTGAAGCCTTTGCTAATTAATAGGATGGCCGACCGTTCAGCATTAGCCGGGACATCCCGTATTTGAGCCAAAAGAACTGCGTCGCCACACGGGTAAATGCTAAAGCTACATGCTGCTCCAGAGGGGGATTTGGAGTTGTCAGGGAAGAAGTGAGCAGCTAAAATACGGGAGGATCCGGTAAACCGGCGCGGATCCAGTGTGTTTATCAAAGCGTGGTGGCCGTGCTGAGGCACCGGGGGGAATTTAGGCTAAACAGTAAGTAAAAATAAAACGTTCATACTTACAGATGCCACGTTTGTAGTAGGATCACGGATAGTTGGTACGGATCCATTCTTTATCTTCAGACATCTAGCAAATCCAGCGTTGAACTGTCCTTCGTTGATAAAACAGTCCGAAGTGAAATGGTGCGCACATACGTACAGATATGTTGGAAGTGCCGTGGGTACATTCCCATTATACATAAAATCCACCCATTGAGTCCTCAAATCCTCCGACCAGGGAGTTTTTAAAAGAGTTTTGTGCTCGTTTGTGCAGCCAACAACAGAGCAAACGCTGCCTCTTTTTCAGATTGTACTTTCGCCATGGTTCTAACCGGAGCTATGCGAGCGAGCGGCCGGGATTAATGGCGCTGTTTTAAAAATTAAGTGGGCAGGGCAGTGGGCGGCTCCATGGGCAGTACCATCAACCCGCCAGCACTGACATGACGTCATGTCAGTGGAGTTTTTAGAACGGCCGGCTCTGAGCACACAGTTCCTAAATACGGAGACAACTAAAAAACAACTGGATGTAATTTTTTCAAACTTGGGGGGATTGTAGTGGTTTTCTATCCCTGATATGCACCCCCCTCCCGTTAACAAAGTCAGTTTTTCATGCCATGGCCCCTTTAATGAAATGATTGGGTAAATCTGTAGTTCTAAATGTAGTACTTATTACACTGTTCAGAATATTACACGTACCCTTAATGTTTTTATTTTCTTGTAGAATTGTATTGTAATGTTTCTTCTTTGCCTGTCTCAGTATATTGGTTAGTTTATTTTTGTACATCTTGTATATTTTTTTCAGCGGTCTCTGTTCTGGCTTTTATGAAGTCTCTATAGAAATTATTTTTCTTTTTACATGCATTTTGTAAGCTCTTAGTTATCCAAGGTTTTTTTGTCATAATAGGTTTTATGCTTACATAAAACTATTGGACAGTGTTTATCATAAAGAGCTAAATAACCGTTTTAAAAGGAATAATATGCAGCATTTACTTCATCTGTGTAAACCCCATTTCACTCCTGTTTTAAGAGATCATCTCTAAAGGCGTTTAGCCGGTCATCTGTCCTTAAGCCTTTATATCTGCAATACTCCTCTTTATTATTTTGCTGTAGTTCATAATTAAATGTTGCAAACACAGGTAGATGGTCACTAATGTCATTTACAGTTGAAACCAGAAGTTTACATACACTATATAAAAAGGCACATAACCTTTTTTTTTCCTCACTGTCTAACATTAAATCAGATTAAACTTTTCCTATTTTTGGTCAATTAGGATCACCAAAATTATTTTAAATGCTAAATGCCAAAATAATGGGAGAGAGAATTTTTTAGACAATTTTTATTACTTTCTTAAGAGTCAAAAGTTTACATACATTTAATTAGTATTTGGTAGCTGCCTTGTCCATGAGCTTGGTGTAGTCTTAGGGTAGGGTATCTTACCCTGTGCAGAAAAGATATATCCAAAGAACTCAAGCCTGGACTAATTAAACTCACACTTTTCACAATTAAGCGTGATACTGCTTTCTTTTGGCATCTGGATTAGTGGCGTCTGAGGTGGCTCTCATGTTCAGCCTGGGTGGCACCATAAACAGTGATGTCATCCATGAGGTTCTTCACACCAGAGAGGCCTTGCAGTGTTTTGTGGTTGACATTTTGAAACACCTCAGCAGTTGAAGATACACCAAATCTTAGCCTTTTGTAGCGTCGTAATCCAACGTGAGTGGAGAATGCAGTTATGTACCTGCTGTCTGGATGGAGCTCCAGCTGATGGTATCCAACTCTCAAAACCAGTTTAGAAAAAACACAGTCGCTCCATGTAAGTCATGTATCACATCATCTATGGTTGGAGTGATGTGACGTTCCTTTCCAATGGCTGTGTTAGCTTGCCTCATGTTGACTACCACGAAAAACAAAGACTGAGAGATCACGCTTGAAAAGTTGCTCCGCCAAATCCTCTACCAAAATACAGCTAACAATATAACTTTACTTGGAGTCAATATCCTGACTCCAAGATGACTTGCAACTAAAACAACACACCGTGACTCTTTTCAGCCAAAATATCAATGCCTAATCGACTTCGAAAGACCCAGTGTCTCAAAGATTTGTATCAGCCCCAGCCAGCTAAGGCTTGCAAGAGCATGGACGCCTTCATAAACCGTCAGCCAGACGATCCAGTTACCTCACAATGTTCAGCCGGTGGTGAGCCCACAATGAGTTTTCTGGCATCTGAAATAAAAGCAATTTGAGTATCTACACAGAATATTGAACAAGACACAAAAGAAATAAAAGCCACTGAGGAGGACATCGAAGATAGAATTAGCACGCTATATTGAGGTTCTCCAAACTGAAACACAAAAATTTTAAGACCACATCGATGACCTCGATAATAGAGGGACACACTGCTACATCAAAATCTTGGGCATCTCAGAGGCAAAAAAAAAGGAGAGGATATGATTCAGTTCTACAATGCACAATACCAGCCATGCTGGAGCATGATTTTGTGCCTCCACTGGAGATTCAGCATGCCCACAGGGTGCCCATTGGACCACTGGAGAGCAACTGGAGAGAAGAGGATAGACCACGGCCAGATACTCCGCGCAGCGAGGAAGAAGGGACAAATCGTTTGTCAAGAAGCCAAAATAATGTTTTTCCCGGATTACTCCAAGCAAGTGATGGATTGGAGGTTCTCCCTTAAACAAGTTAAATCTGACCTGAAGAAAAACGGAGTGGAGTTGACGCTCCTCTACCCTGCCATCCTGGAGATAAAACACAACGTACTGCACCATCGATTTAACTCGCCCAAGGAAGCATCACAATTCATCAAGAGATTCATTAAAGAGAACTGACCAGCTACAGTTACCGCAAGTAATTTGTGTTTAAACTTTAGAACAAGCTGCTGATCATGCACATAATGATAAGTATCTCCAATAGAGGGGGGCATTGGCCGCAGTTTCATGTTTTATATCCCTTACGAATATTTAGGAGAGTGCCTCAATGTTAAAAATGTCTGGTTGGTGGTGATTTGAGATTCTCTCAGGTCTTCGACTAACTATGGTTAGGCTTTCTTCTGAGTTTTGTTGTCCCAGCCAATTTGTTCTTGCTGGGTTGTATATAGTTTGTTTACTGTTCCCCAGATCTCTTATCGTTTGAGGACATTTTTACCACTCTGGATCACTTCCCTGATAATGCAAAGATATAGTCCACCCAGGATAAATGACCCCTTAGCTATATTACGACTAATATGGCAGATTAAAAATTAGTCAGCTGTAACCATAAGAAAAAAAAAAAGACATATTTAAAATCTTCCAAAGTTGACATAGCCTTTGTTCAGGAAACCCATTTACTTCACTTCACTTCAACTTTATTATGTCCCAAAACGGGCAAATCGGGTTGCAGCAGGCACAGGCATTGAACACTGCCATACATCATGAAAGAAAATAAAAGAAAATACATTTACATAAAAAGCAATTCAGGAGGCAAAAAGCATTAAAGACGATTTAGAAGGTAAAAAAGCATATGTCAGTCATACCAGTATTTTTGCATGAGCAGAGTGCATTAAGTGCAGAAACCTTCCAAGATCAACAAGATCAGGCCCATCAGACCTAGAGCTGATACCCCTACTCTGTACAGCAAGACCACAATAATTCAGTACTATACAAAATAATGATAATAATAATAATAATAATAATAATAATAATAATAATAATAATAATAATATACACCATCCAATATCGGTAGCAGTTATCTCCTCCTGCAGGAATCATTTAGGGCTCTGATAGAGCCTCGGATGAAGGAACAACATTTAAACAAAAATGAATCATTAAAACTTCAATGCTCCTGGGTAGGGAAAAGATTCTCCAGTCCAGGAAAAGGCAAAAGTAGAGGGATCTCTATTTTGATCCATAAGACAGTACATTTCAATGAAACAGAAGTAATATCCGATTGGGACAGCAGGTATGTAATCGTACTTGGGCAACTTTTTGAAACTCCTATAGCACTTTGTTCAGATTCCTTTATTAACCATTGTGTAAAACACATAGGAATTTGCTTTGGCAATAGCATGAGTGTGTTCGGATGTTTTTTCACAGATAACATAAAACACAAACAACACAGTGCAGAAAAATAGATAAATATAAAGTGAAGTAGGATCAATAGTGCAAATGTTGTTGAGTCATTATAGTTTCAGAGTTTCAGAGTCATTTCAAGTGTCAAAGTCCCTAGTGGGCGGGGAGAGGAGGGAAGCCAGACTCATTGAGCAGCCTGGCAGCAGAGGGGAAAAAACTGAGTCTATGGCATGCTGTGGTGGCCTTCAGCAGCCGCATCCTTCTCCCAGAGGGGAGCAGGGAGAGGAGACTGTGGCCAGGGTGGGAGGGGTCGGCCATGATTTTTCTTGCCCTCCTCAGCGCCCTGGAGTTGTGCAGGAACTTGAGGGAGGGCAGCAGGCGGCCAATCACCCTCTCCGCTGAACGAGTCACCCTCTGCAGCTTGATAAGGTCTTTAGCAGCTGCAGCGGGGAACCAGGTGATGATGGAGTGGATGAGGATGAACTCAATGATGGCCGTGTAAAACTGAGTCATCATGGTCCTTGATAGTCTGTACTTCCTCAGCTGCCTTAGGAAAAACAGTCTGTGCTGGGCCTTTTTCAAAAGGGACATGATGTTCATTTCCCACTTCGGGTCCCGGGAGATGGTGACGCCCAGGAGCTTAAAGGACTCCACAGAGTTTACCAGGGTGCCTCCCAGCGTGATGGGAGGGGGAGTGGCTGTGTTCTTGTGGAAATTCACCACCATCTCCACTATCTTTTGGGGATTAAGGTCCAGGTTGTTGCTACTGCACCAACTGCGCAGCCGCTCGATCTCCCTCCTGTTGGCCGACTCGTCCCCCTTGGAGATGAGGCCCACCAAGGTAGTGTCGTCGGCAAACTTGAGGAGCTTGACCGACGGGTGGAGAGAGACACAGGTGTAGGTGTAGAGGGAGGAGCGGGGACAGGACACAGCCCTGCGGGGAACCGGTGCTGGTGGACCTGGAGCTGGAAATGCTTTTCCCCAGCTTCACCCACTGAGACCTGTTGGTCAAAAAGTCTGTAATCCACTTGCAGGTGGAGGCAGGCACTTGCAGCAGGGACAGCTGGTGCTCCAGTATGGATGGTAGGATGGTGTTGAAGGCCGAACTGAAGTCGACGAACAGGATCCTGGCATAGTTGCCGGCAGTGTCCAGATGGTTTAAGATGAAGTGCAGAGCCATGTTCACGGTGTCCTCCGTGGATCTATTGGCTCTGTACGCAAACTGCAACGGGTCCAGCACAGGATCAGTGATGCGCTTCAGGTGAGCCAGGACAAGGCGCTCCATGACCTTCATGACCACAGAGGTCATGGCAATTTCTCATTCATAATTTAAAAAGAAATCAGTAAATGAGAAAACAGCTGAATTAGAAAACCAACTAAAAATTCAGGAAAACTTGCATGCCCTAACTAAAGACAGGACTACTCTTAACAAAATATAAGCCACTAAAGACTGAGACTGCAATTAAAGATATGACACATGGGTTCTGAAATATATTCTGCCATAATTTTTATCAGTCTGCCGTCAATGTTATCAAGACCAAATTGTGTTATTTTTTTACTGACATCAAAAGCTGTTTTACCTCTTCAACTGATACAAGTTTCAGTGAGAATGTACATTTTTTATTATTCATAATGTTATCTGTGATTAAATAGGCAGAGTTTCTCATGTCATCAGTAGTACAGCTCATCTTACTCCTTAGATTTGACACCTTGTCAGCGAAATATGTGTTGAAGTAGTCAGCAATTTCTGAAGGTTTTGTCAAATGTACACCATCAGCCTCAACAAGTGAGGGGAAACCATTACTGCACCTGTCAAGTATAGTATTACAAGTTGCCCATAGTTTCTCCCCATTGTGCTTGTGTTCAGATAGTTTTTCCTGAAAATATGCCTTTTTTTTTTATCTATTCATTTTAGTAACACTGTTTCTTAATTTCTTATACTTTATCCAGTCCATAGGGTCATTTGATCTGGCAGCTGCTAATTTAGTATTATCTCTGTCAGACATTGTGCCTCTCAATTCATCGTCAATCCAAGGAGCAGAGTTGCCTCTTACAGTGAACTTTCTAAGCGGCGCATGCTTGTCAGTTACTTTCAGTACCATGTCTGTGAAGAGCTCAAGAGCAACGTCAGTCTCCTGTATGGTACATATCCTATGCCAGCTCAACTCCTATATTTCTTTTACAAAATTCTCCTCATTGAAAGATCTATATATTCTCTGAAATAGAATTTTGGGTCCAGCTTTAGACATTTTAGTTTTCTTCACAGTGACTACAATATTATGGTCACTAAATCCTACGGGGATAGAATAGGCCTTGGAGTAAAGTTCACTGGCGTTGGTATAAATATGGTCAATACATGTAGAAGAGACAGTCCCAGTGATGTTACAGGAAATTCTTGTTGGCAGATTGACAATCTGAGTCACATTACATACATTCGCAGTGACAAGTAGCCCATTTTTTAAAGTGCAGGTCTTAGATTTCCAGTCAATATTTAGATCACCTAGGAAATATGTCTCCTTGTTCTCATCTACTGCCCTCTGTAGCATGTCACAAATATTGTCAACATATTGAGCATTAGAGCTTGGTGGCCTGTAGCAACAGCCAACAAGCAATGGTTTAACATTAGGTAAGTGTATTTGTAACCATATGGATTCTACAGGTATGTGTATGAGATCATCTCTTGTTTTAATAGGTATATGATAGAATATATGATGAATATAGATGGCAACTCCACCTCCTCTGCGATCTCTGTCACATCTGAATATGCTATGCCCAGGAATGTCTATCTCAGAGTCAATAACTGAGGCATCTAAATGTGTTTCAGAAACAAATCTTTTGAACGAATTTTTTCAGTGAACTGATTCTAGTGATTCAGTAAAAGAACTGCCGTGCCCATCACCTCAAGCTAGATCAATATTACATGGGGCCCTTTCACTGCTTGGCTTCCAGTATCTGTAACTTAAAAGGTCAATCCAATAATCAGATCCATTTTAATATTGACAGATGTAGCCAACTTGGGGAACAGTGTGTGCACTTTTAATTACTGTATTCTGTTCATTTTCTGTTTTGTTTATCCATGTTTGTTTCTCTCACATTGTATGTTAAGCACAAAACTCTGAGTTCATTATTATTTTCATTATTATTATTATTATTTTCTTTTCCTTTTTCCATTGTAATTCTATACTGAAAACTAATAAAAATGTTGAATATTAATAGAAACAAAGACTGAGGCTGACTGGCTTCACTTTCGTCAACTTTGTAATATGTTTACTCCTTAGCCAAACTGGAGAACTGGAGTGTGTGTGTATATATTTGTACATTTGTGTGTTTTATCTGTCTGAAACCTCTAAAAACCCACCACATTGGTGGTGAACCCGCCACATTTTTGGTTTGTGAGTCCAGTGTACTGACTAAAAAGTCTGAAATGATAAATTATTTTAATTAACATTTTATCTCAGTAGGCCCCTTATTTGAATCATTGAGCCCTGATCAAACAAAGTCTGTTTCTCATGGCGATACAGGGCTTGTCAACGGACATAATGATTGTACTCTTAATTTTTTACATGTATCTGCCTCTGATGTTGGGAGAGCACTCAAAAATCTGGATTCCAGAAAAGCTGCATGTCCTGATAAACTTGATCCATTCTTTCTTAAGCTGGTGTCCACTTTTATTGCTGAGCCCCTTTCTTACATTTTTAATCAAAGGTGGGGTAGGCAGGATCTGAGTAAGTGCCAGTTTTTGGGAGAAATCTTGAATGTAAACACTACCAGTAAACACAATGATTGCAGGACTTCTACAACTAGAATAAAGTGACATACTCTGCGCTACAACACGCAGCACTTATGTTACAGATACGTGGCTTACTTTGTTAAAGTGGTTTACCTGTCCAGCAGAAAGGTTACAGGGTCCATAAGATCTTGAAGCGTCCCTGTTTATGCTGCATTGATGTTGACCCGGCTTTTTAGCTCTTGTCTGGTCTACCTCCGTTTTTAAGCGCCCGTTATTCCACCAGAGTCTCCAGTATTTACTTTGTTTCCTTGCTTGTATTGGCAGTCGTGGCCTAAGGAGGATTCGGACAATTTTCTGTACTTTCTGGTTGGTTTTTACTGTCTGATATTGTGGCACGCTCATTTTGTTTGGGCCTCCATACATCGGAGGACATGGAGCGTGCCTCACAACAGGGGGGAGCAGCATCTTGCCTCACAACCAATCAGCACTAAGAAGCAGCGTCCGCCTCACAGCTAATCAGGTTGGGGGAGGCGGAGAATGGCTTTGTTTACAGTCAGAAAGAGCAGGACGCTTAAAATTTTTTAAATGTTGACCACACAGACTTAACAAAACACAGCGATATTGTTATATTACCAAATGTCATCAATAGCTAATAGCTATTGACTGATATTAAAACTCTTTTTGTACATACACCACAAAAAAAGATGCTTCTTTAACAGAATCCTGCCTACCCCACCTTTAAGTCTCACGTATAACAAAATACCCAAAATTTGGAAGTCTGCCTTTGTACTGCCCCTCTTAAAAGGAGGTGAACCATCTGAAGTCAACAATTATCTGTCAATCTGGTTTTAGAAAAAGGCACAGCACTGTCACAGCTGCTCTTAAAGTTTTTAATGATTTTGTCCAGGCCCTGAACAATAAAAAACACTGTGTGGCTCTTTTTCTCGACCTATCAAAGGCATTTGACACTGTAGACCATAGTCTGCTTTTAAGTGTACTTCGGCATATTGGCCCATCAAACCAAGCAGCATTGTGGTTTGTAGACTACCTGGACAGCAGGTCACAATGCGTCCAGATGGCTGGTTCTACTACCTTTTTGGAGGTTTCTGAAGGTGTACCTCAAGGTTCGATCTTGGAACCTAATTTATTCTCTATCTATATTGATAGCGTGTGTAATGACTTGTCAAATGCCTCTTTCATTTTTATGCAGATGACACTGTTGTTCATTTTTTATTGTTGTTCAACATTAATTATCCAGGCCTTTGAGTTTTTACAGTCTGCTTTTGATGTTGTTCAATCTCGACTGCAGAAACTCAAGTTGGTCTTGAACACAAATAAAACCAAAGTCAAGGTATTTTCGAGCAAGAGTGAGTTACCTGGGAACATTCCCTCTATCTTAAATTTATAAGTTTCTTCTTGGCTTATCTCTTTCCTATTTATGTGCCCTTAATCAAAGAACTGAAAGCCACTACACCCTGCGCTCAAACAATGCTCTCCATTTGATTGTTCCGCAAGTCAGGACTGAACTGGGCAAAAAAGTGTTTAGCGTTCAGCTGCCACTAAAGGTTGAATAAAAAATGTGTTATAACTGTTAACAACAGTTGCATTACATTATCTATGTGGGCATTGTCAGTGAGTTGTTAACAGTTATAACACATTATAATACCTGACCTTGTAAGTCACGATAAAATGCTTTATAATGTGTTATGATTATTGCTATAATGCTGATCATTTAAGTGTGTTTAAAACTATAGTCATACAGTGCTATAACATGATTATAACACATTTTACATATGTTTGTAATGCATTATAGAGATAGGCGTCAAATAAAAGTGTTACAGAAATTTCAATAAAATATTGGAATAATAATCATATTTAGCCATGGTGATGTGCCACAATCAATTACATGTAGGGGAAACCCTGTGTCATGTACCTGTCTCCTACTATGTGTAATAGCAGTGCTTTAAGTCTAGCATATCCAGTTATGGTCATTGCAGTGGTGTAATTCTCGAACCTTTGCATATATTTCTTTCAGCAAGGGTCGCCAGAGCTAGGGTCAGTTTCTATATCAAAAGGTGGAAGGGCAGCGGTATTTACTGCCACACTGGCTCTGGTGTTGATCTTCACATGGGGGTCATTCCTATGTTCCCACATTTCTAACATTTTGTATTTCACTGAAAATTAGGCCCCGTGTGCCCACAGCCCTAATTCATTTATTTTGCACACCACACATATTACTCGGTGACAATATGTAGATCGTACTGGATACTTAGGGGGTATAAGTTACACTGTGGATATATTAGATTATGCTTTAGATTTTATTGTCCTTTACAAGGATAATTGTAACCACATTTATTGTCTAACTGGCATGCATACAAAAAAGCGCTAACTGCCTTCTGATGTTATTCTGTATCCCTGGTAGATGAAACTACATTCCTGTAAACATCACAGTCAGTTTAGTAAATCAGTCAGTTTAGTTAGTTTAGTAAATTCGTAAGGCAGTTAGTTAGCAGGACGGTATGAACACGAGGCCTTTTTACTTTAAATTTAGCTTCTGTTCTGTAATCCTGGACTGATGGGTGTGGAGGTTCAGGGTGAAAGGACTCTGAGATCAGCCATCTGTGTAGCAGTAAAGTGAATTTAACAATTATCTGCTGCTGTGAATCTGAACTCAAAGGATGTCACTGAATCTGAGGCCGAATGCTGAAGTTTGATTTAGATTTATGCCTCAGAGTTGGTGTATCTGAGAGCTTGTTATTTAGTGAATCAGAGCAGATCCATGTGAAACCAAACCAGTGAAACCCAACCAGGAGGACAGGAGCACAAAGAGCGGCTCTCAGTGTGTCTCTCAGGGGTGGCTGGAAACCTGCTGGCTGATTGTTTCTGCTCTGTCTCAGGTTTCAAGACTCTGCTCAAAGGCATCTCTGGGAAGTTCACCAGTGGGAACCTTGTGGCCATCATGGGGCCCTCAGGAGCCGGGAAATCCACGCTGATGAACATCCTAGCTGGGTACAGGTTGGTACTGACCTGCTGAGTGTGACTGCACAGGAATCAGAGTGGATGATTTATGAGAACTGATTTTAAAGTCCCATTTTAGATCAAAGTTAATCCTGCTGTGGCATTGTGTCAGGAGTGAAGTGAAATCATTAAAACAGACCCAGCTCTGAACTTCAGTTTAACTGTGTGTGTGTGTGTGTGTGTGTGCGCGTGCGTGCGTGCGTGTGTGCGTGCGTGTGTGTGTGTGCACGCACGTGTGCAGGGAGACAGGTATGAAGGGGGAGATCCTCATCAACAGTCAGCCCAGAGACTTGCGCTCCTTCAGGAAGGTTTCCTGTTACATCATGCAGGATGACATGTTGCTGCCACACCTCACAGTGCAGGAGGCCATGATGGTACACACTTGTCCTTTTTCTCCTCCCCCTCCTCTTCTTCTAATTTGTTGTATTTTATCCTATAACACATGCTGTTATGTCCTGTGTCCTCTCTGTGTTATGCTGGTGGTAAAACCAGATTTCATGTATTATTATCACACACAAACGAAAAAGTAATTATGAATATTTTATGAGCCTGTTCACAGCTCAGGTCATCTGGCCTAAAAGACTCTGACACCTGGTTCTGGTCTCTACAGATCTCAGCCAACCTGAAGCTGCAAGAGAAAGAGGCTGCTCGCAGAGACATGGTGAGTCCTGACCCCTGAGGTTCAAACTTTACTTTGGGAATCTGTGTGAATACATTTAAGAATCTGTGTGTGTGTGTGTGTGTGTACAGTACAGTTTGGACACACCTTCTTATTCAATGTCTTTTATTTATTTTTTTTATATGACTATCTACATTGTAGATTATCACTGAAGGCATCAAAACTATGAATGAACACGTGGAATTTTGTACTTAAAATAACTGTGTGAAATAACTGAAAACATGTTTATATTCTAGTTTCTTTAAAGTAGCCACCCTTTGCTCTTGATGACAGAAGTACTTAGTCACAAAGTAACCCTGACAAGGCACACCTGTTAAGTAAAAACCATTTCAGGTGACTTCCTCATGAAGCTCTTTGAGAGAACAGCAACAGTTTGCAGCGCTATCAAAAAAGCAAAGGGTAGCTACTTTAAGGAATCTAAAATATAAAACATGTTTTCAGTTATTTCACACTTTTTTCTTATGCACACGATTCCACGTGTTCATTCATAGTTTTGATGCCCTCAGTGAAAATCTGCAATTTAAATAGTAATGAGAATAAAGAAAATGCATTAAATGAGAAGGTGCTTCCAAACTTTTGGCCTGTACTATATATATATATATATATATATATGTGTGTGTGTGTGTGTGTGTGTGTGTGTGTATTTGTACATTTGTGTGTTTGTGGATATACATATATATTTTTGAAATAGATTTTATTGATTTTTTCCAAGATCATAAACAACAAACAAGTGCTCTGAATTCACATTGATATCAAAATACAAAAGAAAATGTAGCATCATCTAAAATAAAATGGCTTCACGTGACTTAAGACTGTCCCCAACCAGAAACCCAGTCCCTTAGCTGCCCACATCCGCTGCGCCAGTCACCATACACAAGTACTGTGCCATCTCCCAACCATGTACAGTAGAAGAAATATAAAAGTAGACTGGTAAATAAAAATAATACAATAAAAAAACATACATATGTAAGTATAAAGATACATAAATTGAATAATAAAATTTAAACAAAGAGGGGTGAGGTCTAAAGACAGGTGATAGCAAAAAATAGGCACATTACATGCTGACAGATCTTTTAGTGGGAGTATTCCAGTCTGGGGCATATTTCCCCTTTTTTTACAGTGTCCTGAAGGGACGGGGGTAAGTACCTGGAGAAGTACCTACGGAGTACCTACAGAAAGGCTGACCATGTTCTCTCAAACAAACTATCATCCCCTTTCATTTGTGCAGTAAGTCTTTCTAAGGGTAAAAATTTTATATGTTTTTTGGTACCACTGTGTAACAGTGGAAGGTTGATCACTTATCCACTGCTTTAAAATACATCTCCTTGCCAGAAACAGAAGTTTGTCACAAAGTCTGAAATCACTTTAAGTGAAAAAATTTTACCCAATTCCTGGGCTACAGTGCGACAAAACCTCGAAATCAAACAACACTCCCAAAAACAGTGAATGTATGTCCCTATCATCTGTTTACATTTAATGCAAAGAGGAGAGGTCTGGTTGTCCATCTTACTGAAAAGAGATGGTGTTATGTGGGATCTATGGTGTATCTTAAATTGAGTTTCTCTCATTTGGTTCCAGATAAATGTGGTTTTGGCAGAGGCTATTGCTTCATGCCACTCATCTTTGATATATTGCCCACCAAGATCGTGTTCCCACTTCTGTATAACCTTGCTGATATCTGATGGATCTATGGAGTAAAACAGTGAATAAGAATGAGAAAGAAAATGTCTTTCCTTTCAGTTCAACAAAAATGAATCTATATCACTTGAAATGGGGGTGTTTGTGGGGAGATTTTTCACCTTTGACAGAATAAGATTATGGACTTGAAGGTACCCAAAAAAGTGTTCAGATGCATATTTATATTGAAGCTGTGTATTATAAGCTGTGTAATATAAGTGTATTACCCTGGTATACATCCCGAAGAAGTCTGATGCCTTTCACATGCCATCTATCAGCAATACTATTTTTGACTCCCGGGGCAAACTCTTCATTCTTAGTCAGAGGTATTTCTGCAAAAGATGAAATATTTTACCCAAGATATTTTGTTATGTCTCGCCAAATTCTGATAGTGTTGTAGATAATAGGGTTATGATGGATGTCCAAAGATCTCTTTTTTCCATAGTTAGTTTACTCAGCAAGGAGTAGGGAGAGGGGAACCACTCATCAACATCTGTTTCAGATTTTAAATCAGACTGTAGCCAGTCCCAGATTATTTGGGTGTGGCAGGCCCAGTTATAAAATCTCAAATTAGGTAGGGCTAAACCTCTTCGTTCCCAAGGCAGCTGTAAGGTCTTAATTCTAATTCTGGGCTTTTTATTGTGCCACATAAATAGTGAAAAAGCCCTTTCTAGATCTGAAATTACCTTCTTTGAAATCCATAATGGTAGCATCTGCAAAGGATAAAGCAATCTAGGAAATGTGTTCATCTTTATGAGACTAATTCTACCCATCTAGGACAGGGGAAGGTCATACCATCTCTCGAGGTCATTCTTAACTGCTCTAATTGTTGGCACAAAATTAAGTCTCCACAAGTCCTCAACATTAGGTGACACTCTGATTCCAAGATAGACAAAGCCTGAAGTGGCCCATCTAAATGGAAATTTTGTAACTCAACTCGTGCTGCCGTAATTCCCCAAGGGCACAGCCTCAGATTTTGTGTAATTTACTTTGTAGCCAGATATTGAACCAAATGAATTAATAACTGACAGAGTGGCCGGGACTGAGACCTTGGGGTTTGAAAGAAAAAGTAAAACGTTATCAGCATATAACGCTATCTTGTGGGTGGTCTTGCCTTAAGTAACCCTGTGAATATCCTCATTATTCCTGATGCGTTCTGCCAGTGGCTCTAATGTGAGGGCAAAAAGGAGGGGGGAGAGCAGGCAGCCCTGTCTTGTCCCTCCACCGAGTGGGAAGGGGGGGAGAGCGCATGCCATTGGTCAAGACACAGGCCTCTGGCGAGTCATAAATAAGTTTTATCCAATTTATGAACTCCTCTCCTAATCCAAACCTGTCCAGGACATCCCACAAAAATCACCACTCGACCCTACGGTCCTGGTGCTTTTCCACTTTGAAGTGTGCGAATGGCACCCAGGACCTCTTCCCTGGTAACCAGTCTATTCAGAGACTCCTGCTGTTCTTCTGTAAGAGAGGGAAGACTAACCTTTTCTGGGAAGGATCTTCTTAGCTCAACTGAAGTATCACATTTAGTGGAATATAACTTGTAGTAGAACTGTTTCATGATATTGTTAATTTTCTTTGATTCATGGACTTTGTCTCCATTAATATCTTTAAGTGATGATATTAAACTAATGGCATTTCTTCCTCTTGCCAGGCGAGCAAGAAGGCGGCTAGGTTTATTACCATGTTCATATAGCCTCTGTCTGGCAAAAATGATAGAAACCTCTGCTTTGCTTGTTAAGAGTTGATTGAGGGCCAATTTTGCTGCTTCTAATTTTTGAAGATTATGTTTAGATGGAGAGCTTTTAAACGTGTTCTCTAAATCCCAGATCAAATGTTCTAATTACAATTGCTTCCCGATTGTATCTCTTTTATGAGCTGCTGTGTAGGATGTAATAGACCCTCTCATGAATGCCTTAGCCACTTCCCACAATACGGAAGGATTTGTGTCTGGAGTGTCATTTCCCATTGCTTCTCCAGAAAATCCAAAAATGGGGGGCTACTTAACAGTGAAGAATTAAGTCTCCAGTGACGTAAGGAGGGATCGAGATGGGGGGTGGGGGACAGTTAAAGATACTGGGTTGTGATCAGACAATGTGCATATTTCAATAAATGCTTTGACTCTGTCTATAACCTCTCTAGGCACTAGAAAATAGTCAATTCTTGATAGGGATTGATGGGGGTGGGAGTAAAAAGTTTAGCCTTTTGCTCTTGGATTCATAATCCTCCAAACGTCAGAGACCCAGATCTGCACTCAGCTCCTTCAGCCTTGCCATCTTTTTGAGGTAAAAGCAGGCTTTGGTGGAGATTAGTTAACACTAGCATCCTGGACCCAGTTGAAGTCTCCTCCAAATACTGTGAAGTGGATTAGATATGAGGATGTCATTGTGAGTAGAACCTAGAAAAGAAAGAGGGCTTGAACGTGTTAGGGCTGTAAAGAGAACCATTCCCCAGAATTCATTCCCCGTAAAGAAAACCTGAAATAAAAACAAATCGACCTTCGTTATCCTTAATGACCTTATTCAAAGTATAGGGCAATTTCTTGTGAATAAGAAGCTGGATATACAGCTTCTGTCCCTCATGTGTCAGCTGTCGTCTCTCCCTCAGCACAGCTGTTTATCCCCGGGGTTGTGTAGCTTGATGAGGACGGGCCTGTGGCGGTCACTGTGGGCCGGTCCAAGCCCTCTGTGCGCCCGGTCGATTTTAATTATGCCCTGTTTAGTGTCCAAGTTCAATATTAGTGTTCAGCGTTCAAAGAGGTTAACAGGTTTCTCACCTTCAGCTCCCTCCTTTAAGCCAAAAACCCCGATGTTGTCCTGTCTCATTCTATATTTCATGTCATCTGCTTTCTCAGCGAGTGTTTGCAGCTTCGCCTCAACTTCCCAAAGCTTGTTTTCAGCATCAGTTAGCAGGTCCACCAGTGTAGACACTCGGCTCTTAGCTTCATCCAGCCTTTTACTGTTGCCTTCCACTCGGGTTGTCATTACTTCCAGTGCGTTCGTGAATTTGGCCAGATTCTCCTCTATAATTTTGCCGACGCTCTCAGTGACTTCCCAAATTAGCTGTGAGGAGTAGCCACCCTCACCTGAGTCGCCATCTTGCACCTCGCCTTCCTGTTTACTTCTTGGATTTCTTTGAGATTTACTTGTTTTTCTGGACGGAACCGAGCCACTTTCTTTGCCCGACATCGTTAGGAAGCATAAAAAGGTCAAAAATGAATAAAAATAACAGTCTGTGGTTGGTTAAAATGTAAATTAAGGTTAATGGGAGTGGGAGCTCAGTGCCAGTCCGACCTCTCAGCCCAGTTACGTCATAGCAACCCGGTGGATATATTTTTATGTATCTATGTGTATAAATATTTGTGTGTCTGTGTGTTTATATTTGTGTATTTGTTTGTATAGTTTTATGCATTTGTGTGTGTATTTTTGTGTGTATGCATTCAGGTGAGGGAAATCCTGATGGCTCTGGGGTTGCTGGACTGTGCTAAAACAAGGACGTCGCACCTGTCGGGGGGTCAGAGGAAGAGACTGGCCATTGCTCTGGAGTTGGTCAATAACCCACCTGTCATGTTCTTTGATGAGCCCACCAGGTGAGCAACACAGTCCTATATGAGACTTGGGCTCTCATTTATAAATGTGACTTAGCGCCAGACAGTGAGGTATGCTTCTCCCTACAAAGTTTGTGATCCATGAAGACATTGGGGCCTGTGACCAAATGGTTGCATTTTGCGACTAAAATCTGAAACAGTGCGAGTACATTTTTCATCCACTCACGCATGCGCGACCAGTAAATTTGCCAAATGTTTTTGTAGCGATTTGAATTTATAACAAATGTCTTAAGATTAATAATTGATAATAATCTAAATTCATCACATTTATGCACTCATTGAAAGGGGCACCACCCACCTTTAATGGCGGGAAAAGTTAAGAAAAACAAAAGTTTTAATTGAGAAATTAAACATCAGGTCAATCTTAAATTAATCAATCTCATATCTTAAGCCGACATTCTCATTTCAGGGACTCCACTTCTGGAAGAACACCAACAGACAAGAACTTAGAAAAATAATGATCTGTTTATTACAGGATAAATGATGGTACAACATACATGCAATAAATGATGATAAGATAATGAGGACAAATAATAATAGGTGAATAAATAAAAGATTCTGAGTCAGACTAGGAGCACTAAAGTTAATGATAGTGAGTGAATATGCTCTAACATATTAACCTACACTAACTTTGGTGTCAAGCTAAATTTGGATGTGGATTTGGATGAATCTAGGATTACTAGAATTAGTGAATATCTGAGTCATGACCACAGATGAGAGATGAGACCACATCAGCCCTCTTTGGAGCTCTGGAGGTTTGCATACTTAAGTGAGACTGGTCCTTGGAGAAGATGGAGCAGGTTCCGAAGGTCCAGGGCTACCGGCGTTTCGAGAGGTTCAGCTCAGAAGACGACAAAGTCAGCTGAAAGATGGGCCAGGAGTCACAGCACTCGGGCCCGAAGCAAAAACCAGGGCCTTATGGGTCCTTTGGATGCTCCCTTGGTCTCACTCAAAACTCTGGCACAGAGGATGACTTTGGGCCTGCTGTGTGGCGTTCAGAGGTGGCTTTGCAATCACGCCGATAACTCAAAAAAGGGGCTCGATTTAAAAAATAACTTTGCCAAATTGAAGAAAAATTAATTAAAGGCTTAATCTTGAATTGCTATGAGCACAAAGAGTTGAAGTTTCAAAACTTGAGCTAAGGTGAACTTGAGCTTGAACTTGAACTCGTTGCTGTTTGAAGCTGTCCTGCTTCTAAAAATAGAACAGGGGGGTTCAGTCAGTCAGCTAGCAGCATGGAGGAGAACTCGGCGTCTGTGGTTAGCGGAGGGACAAAGATGACCAAACCACCGTGAAACATGGGGCCGAAAGTAAAGAACTTATCGGCGGAGGATGGAGAGGAAATCAAGGCGTCACTTGAGTTCCTATCAGCAGAGGTTGCTCAAATTAAAGAGCAACAACTAACTATTATGAACCTGGTGAAGGAGGTGACACGGCTTAAAGAGCAGAACATGGAGAAGGACCGGAGAATCAACCAGCTGGAGAGTAGAGTCTCAGATCTGGAACAATACACCAGGGTGAACACAATCATTGTCACTGGAGTCCACATCAAACCCAGGACGTACTCTAGAGCGGTGGCGGCGGCGGCCGTGAACGGGGAAGAGATGAGCGAACTCGACGCTAACTCTGTGGAGCAACAAGTGGCGACGTTCCTACATGATAAAGGGATCGAGCTAGACTGCAATGACATTGAGGCCTGTCACACTCTTTCATGGAGGAACGACAAAGATAAAACAACCGCGGTGATCATGAGATTCTACAATCGGAAACGAAAAGCTGCACTGATGAAGCAGGGAAAAAACTGAAGGGCACGGATGTATATCTCGACGAACACCTTACTAAACGCACCGCTGAAATCGCCAAGAGAGCACGCTTCATGAGGAAGGAGAAAAAGATCCAGTCTATGTGGACCACAAACTGCAAAGTGTTCATCAAACTCAATGGAGCACCGGAGGAGGCCAAAGTGGTGTTCATAAAAAGTATCGAGGAACTTGACAAATACACATGAGCGACTGGTCGCAGGATTCTGGACTGTAAGGTAACCTGCAATGTAACAACATAACATTCTAACATGACACACATCGAAATAGCCCATACAGCTACCACAGAAGACACCACACGGTGAACACAAATGTCTATGGACTATGAGATGGAACTCAAAACATGTGAATACACTGAACATAAGATATTGGACATAGAAAATGATATAGACCCGGACAATTATTTTTTTTCCAACATCAACAATAATTGCCGCTATTATACAGAAGAACAGTTCAACCGAACCATTAAGGTGGAGGGAAAATTGTCAATAATTCACCTCAATAGCAGGAGTATGTATGCAAACTTTAACAACATCAAGGCATACTTATGCAGGTTTAAACAGTCTTTTAACATAATTGCGATTTCGGAAACTTGGATCAATGAGATTAATGGAGCAGATTTTGAACTACCTGGATATGAATTTAATTATAAAAGTAGGAACGATAAGGGTGGAGGAGGAGTGGCTTTATACGTAGATGTAAACCTGAACTACAAGATTGTAGATAGGATGACAACTGTGGTTGACAATTTAGTTGAATGTCTAACAGTGGAAATCACTATGGAAAATAGCAAGAATATCTTATTTAGTTGTGTATATAGAGCACCAGATACCAGTATAGAATGTTTTAAGGATTGGTTTGAAGAGATGTACACATTAAATAACTAAAAGGTACTTTTTATATGTGGCGACACTAACATCAATCTTTTGAAATCAAACAATCATAGAATGACCGAGGAATTCATAAATACAATGTACAGTATGAGTTTGCACCCTGTCATCACCAGACCAAGCAGAATTACAACATATAGTGCTACATTAATAGATAATATATTCACAAATGACATAGACAATAGGACGGTGAGCGGACTACTAATTAATGACATTACAGACCATCTGCCTGTTTTTACTGTCTACGATTGTAATTATAAGAGAAATTTGCCAGACTGCAAACCTAAATACAGAAGAGTAAGAACAGAGGATACTATTAATGCACTAAAGGAGGATCTACTAACACAGGACTGGGAGACTGTATATGCAGAAAATGATATTGATTGTGCATATAATGAATTCCTTTGTATTTTTAAAAGATTCTTTGACAAGAATTGTCCACTGAAAGAAATTACGAGGAAATATAAAAAAACAGAACAGCCATGGATCACTAAAGGACTTCAAAATGCATGTAAGAAGAAAAGTACTCTGTATAGAGAGTTCATCAAGCAAAGAACCAAAGAAGCAGAAAATAAATATAAAAGATATAAAAACAAGTTAAAAATTATAATAAGGAGATGTAAGAAGGATTATTATAATAAATTTCTAGCAAATAAAGACAATAATAAAGGAATTTGGAATGTACTAAACCGTGTTATTAGAAATGACTCTGGACACATAAATTACCCACAATATTTTATTGATAAAGGTACAGATAATTATAATATGGATGAGGTTGTTAATAGCCTTAACAGTTTCTTTGTAAATGTGGGACCTAACCTGGCTGAAAATATTCCTGATCCTGGGACAACTGAGGAATGTAGTGATACACTTATTGAAAGGAACTCCTGTTCAATGTTTCTTACAGCAGTGGAGGAGAGTGAAGTCATTGAAATAGTTGAAAAATGTACCAATAAAATGTCCACTGACTGTGATGACATTGACATGAAATTAATCAAAGAAGTAGTTGGAGGAATTTCTAAACCACTCACTTATATCTGTAACTTATCATTCCAAACCGGTACAGTCCCAAAGAATATGAAAATAGCTAAGGTCATACCACTATTTAAATCGGGTGACAAACACAATTTCACAAATTACAGACCTGTCTCTCTGTTACCTCAATTCTCAAAAATTCTAGAAAAACTATCTAATGACAGACTAGACAAATTCATTGAAAAACACATCTTATTAAGTGATAGCCAATATGGATTTAGAAGTAACCGATCAACAGCAATGGCTCTAATGGAATCAGTAGAGGAAATCACCAACTCTATTGATGAGCGTAAGTTTGTAGCCGGAATATCTATTAACCTTAGGAAGACATTTGATACCATCAATCACAAGATATTAATAGAAAAATTGGAATGGTATGGTATTAGAGGAATAGTCTTAAAATGGGTGAGTAGCTACTTGAGTGACAGAAAGCAATTCGTGAGGTTGGGTGAATCAATATCATCATGTTTGACAATTGCTTGTGGAGTCCCCCAGGGTTCAGTATTGGGACCGAAATTATTTATCCTTTATATAAATGACATGTGTAATATATCTAAAGTACTAAAAATGGTAGTCTTTGCTGATGATACAAATATTTTCTGTTCTGGAAGCAATTTGCAGGAATTATTGAACATTGTTTCTTCTGAGTTGTGCAAGCTAGAGAGGTGGTTCGACAGAAATAAACTTTCATCAAACTTGTCTAAAACAAAATTTATGATATTTAGTAATAATAAAATAGATAATCAAGTAAATATATATAGAGGGTATTGCTATTGAAAGAGTATTCGAGAATAAATTTCTAGGGGTGATAATTGATGATAAAATTAATTGGAAATCTCATATAAAATATATACGAACAAAACCATCGAGAAGCATTTCAGTTCTGAGCAAAGCAAAGCACATTCTGGATTCCAACTCACTCTGCATGCTGTACTGTTCCCTTGTTTTACCTTATTTAAATTACTGTTGTGAGGTTTGGGGCAATACCTATAAATCTTCACTCCATGGATTAACTATACTTAAAAAAAAGAGCTATACGAATTATACATAAGGCTGCATATCGAGACCACACCAACACACTATTCATTAAGTCAAACCTGTTAAAATTTATGGATATTATCGAATACAAAACCGCCCTGATAATGTACAAAGCTAGGTACAATCATCTCCCTGGGAATATCCAGAAAATGTTGACAGAGAGGGTGGGTACAACCTTAGGGGGAAGTTAAATTTGAAAACTCTGTGTGCCCGAACAACATTGAAATCATTCTGTATCTCGATATGTGGAGTTAAACTTTGGAACAGTATAGATGTAGAGACAAAGCAATGTTCAAACATACACAAGTTCAAAAAAAGGTATAAAAAATGTATTATAATGAAGTATAAGGAGGAAGAATTACAAGAACGATGATGTGTTCAATGACTGTACTGTATAGACATCTATGCATGTATGTATGCATGTATGTATGTATGTATGTATGTAAGTAGGTATGTATGTATGTAAGTATGTACGTATGTACGTATATGTAATTTATTATTGAGATCACCAATTTAGTGTACAACCAAGTAATCCTTGATACATAAGTGGTAAATTAATTAGTTAAAGTATACTTATAGGTATACAGTAAGACAGTTTGTAAAGCGTTGACGCTGTGTAGTTGACAAAGGGGTAGGATCACATCAGTCTTGACTTCACCCTACTCCTTTTGAACATGACCATGAGGCCGATTATTGCCTGTTAGGCTTGTCTTTGATTTTATGTTTTTTTTTATTTATTATTACTACTACTATTTTCTTCTCATAAAGCCTTGTTTTTTGTTTTGTTTTTTACTTCATTATTTTTATCATGTTCAAATAAAGAAATAAAGAATAAAGAAAAAAAGAGCTATGATGAATGAACACGTGGCGTAAAACTAAGTCTAGAAGTCTAAGAAAAAGTCAGACTAAGTAGTAAGAGATAAGAGAAAACAAGCAGAAACAAAGAGGAACACAGAAGAGTAGAAGAGCTGAAGAATGTGAGGAAGAGCAAGAGAGTGAGCACCCCCAACTTTACTGGTTTTATCCCCTTCACACTGGGAGTGTCTCTGGGGTGTGTGTGTGAGGAGAGAGAGGAGGGGTCGTGGTCTTCAAGATCCCTTATGACTCGATCTAACTTTTACTTCTGGCTGAGAAAAGAGTCAGATCTGATACTTACTCACTATGATTAATATCATTGAATGCTTGGTTTCATGATAAATGATTTGATACTAAACACATATGAAGAAATGTAGAATCACATCAAACATTCTCATTATGTTTTAAGTATCACACTGAACGTGCTAAATTACTCTGGTATGAAACAGACAGTAACACATAGAATATATAAACAACAAAAGAGTAAACACATGTAGGTAAACTTCATCATGATTAATAATGGATTCAAAATACTCACATTCAGATTACTGAGTGACATTATAACCACCTTGTGGTTAAAAATACTAAATAAACGTGAGCAGGGTTTTATGACTGAGGTCTGGAGGTCAGTGTCCTGCTCCTCAGACTCCTCACACATATAAAGATGGTAAATCTTAATTGGAAAACCTGGGTTGAGGCATTTGGGTAAACCTTCGGTCGGGTCAGTTAGGTAACCTGAAAGTGCAAAGAAGTCTGGATCATGTTGTTCTTGTTTTTTTAAATGTTCATGTGGCATTTTTCTGACGCTACAGGAAACATAATGAGGAAAAATAAGTCAGAAATTTCATTTCTGATTATTTCTGTATTCAAATCGCGGTGAATCTCTGGCAGACCCAAACGGCAGGTTCAGAAACAGTGAGATTTCCTACATAGCAAATCCAAGCTCCGCCCCATAGCCCCGCTATGCAGGCTAGACTCCGAGAAATAGAGTGGGGATTACGCAGAACAAGCGTGTGCAGCAGCGGATTGCGATGCTCATAAGAAAGCCAATTATGAAATAAGCTTTCATCATGTCCCTAAAGACACTAGTGCCCGAGAGCTGAATAATTCCTGTGTTACCTGTGTGAAGAGGAGTGTGCAGAGCAGTGCTGTCTCAGGCCGTCTCCGCCCACGACTCTGAGGCAAATTGCTGATTAGCTACTGGAGCTCTGCAGAGGAAGTCCTTGAAAATGACACAGGTAACATGATTTGGCCATAGACTGTAGAAAGAATGGACAGAGTCTGCCTCCTCGCTGGGTGAAGCCACTCCGAGAACAGCACCCTCTGTTGGCGGGCTGCAGTATAGGTCATAAATCCCGCCTCCGCCAGCAAAGCTTATAGAGCTGTGGACAAACTTTAGAAATGTATTACACAGAACATAAATTTTTCTCCCCCCTGCTTGTGATGTTGACATGTAGTTATTGTAAGACTGGTTTGTGCTCAAGTCCTCTTTTTTTCTGTGAAGCTCCGTTTTTAAAAGTTATTAGGGGGTTCATGTTTTCAATGATTGACACCTGATACAGCCTATGGGCGTTCAGGGTTTGAGTGGCTCTCCCGGAGGATATGCTGTTTGAGCCGAGCATCATCACAGCGACTCTCGGCGACTGCGCACCCAAATGCGTGCATCGCTACTGCGCAGCGCTGGTTTCAGGAAATGAAGAAAAATCTCGGAAATACTGAGAGCTATTTGGCTTAACATCCGTATACAGGCGGTAGGCGGAACCAGGTTGTCCATAGTATATACAGTCTATGGGTATAAATATATGCAACTTGATGTGATTGTTTTTATTCGTGTAAAACAGTGGCGATTGCTCTAAGACTGCAAGGGAAGCTCTGCTTCCCTTAAAATGTCACCCCCCAAAAAAAAGAAAAAGTGGTGAAATACGTACGGCTGTGTGTACATTTCATTAACTAAATACGCACTAGAAAGCCTTCATCTTTTGTTCAGACACTGTGATAAGAAGCTGATAATTATAGGTAACCGGCATAACTTCGTTCTAATTCATCCTCGCAGCGCCTCAGCGCTTTAAACAGCCGGAAGCTGGGCTTCTGCTGACTTCAATGTGGAAGCTAAAAGTGGGTTGTTCCAGCAGCGAAACTAGACGCTCATTGGATAAATGCTGGGCTTTGTCCCACCCAATGGAAGCTAAGCTTCACTGGAGTTCTATGGCGAGAGGGCGGTCCCGACTTTCTCCCGGACTGCAAGCTTCTGCATCCATGATTGGATGAGCTGTCTGAGGCGAAATCCTTTTTTGATTGACAGCTAAACAAGCGAATCAGCGATCTTGAAGAATAAAACATCTACCAGAGCATTTTCCAAGTCATTCATTCCGTTGTTCTTAACTGCTCCGGAGACTTTACCGATCCTCAGCGACTTCTGTCTTTATTAAAAACGACTGCCGTTGTGTTTGGCGACTCTGTTCTGTTACATACTAATAAACAAATACAATTATGATGTAGGCCAGAAAAATGAGCTTCCCCTCATTGAAAGACCAGCAGCCGCCACTGGTGTAAAAGGAGGTTTGTCTTACCAGTGGGTACAACCTTACACACACCAAATCCCTCTGTGCTTATATGCGCTTACAGCGACATTTGTTGAGGGGCCACCTTCTGTCGCCATTGTGTGGTGTTCCTTTCTTGAGTCATCTCTTCGACTAGCTCACCAAATTTGCAATACGCCTTGCTGGTGGCGGATTTAAAGATGAGGAGAAGAGCTGATGTGAACAGAACTTGGCTGTGTTAAACCCACTCCACGCCTTATCCCCTCCCTCTTTCCTACTTACGCTGCTGGGAGGAGCTAAGTTAGGGAGGGGGGATACTTACGCCGGGCTGCGCTGCTCACCAAAATACCAAAGTGTGCTTGGGCAGGCCTAATCGGTGCAGCGGACCTGACTTAGGCTGTGCCTACGCCACACTGCAGGCGAGTCAAAAGCCCAAAATATGCGCAGAGGTGAACAAATTCTGACCCATGGGTACGGACAGGTTAGAGGGAGGGGCATCTGGATACTCAGATGAGAGGGTGAACTGAAGTTAAAGGTTATTATTCAATCTTGTGTTTTTTCTTAACTTTACTTTTTTAAGATTATTTTTTCTAATGTAAATTTTTTAATGTCATGTTTTAAATGCCATTTTAAGAATCATATCTGGAGAGGGTGTGTGGTCTTTATAAACAGAAAAAGCTGATGATACTGATAATAATGGGTCCACTCCACCTTTCTGCGTTGGTGCATCTGCAAATACTGCACCAACAAACAGCCTCTGATGTCAAAATGCTGATAAATCTTTCAGAGGAGTGTTTGAGTCTGTCTCTAAATAAGCTACAGTAAATTACATGGCGGGGAACTGTAACCTCGCTTGTGAGCTGGTTCTTTGTGCAAAGCACCAGAAGAGGGAGACAGAGTCCAAACATCACACTTAACACCTGAGAGCAGCTGTTTTAATCTGTGTGTGTGTGTGTGTGTGTGTGTGTGTGTGTGTGTGTGTGTGTGTGTGTGTGTGTGTGTGTTAGTGGTCTGGACAGCTCGTCTTGTTTCCAGGTGGTCTCTCTGCTGAAGGCTCTGGCTCAGGGAGGACGAACCGTCATCTGTACCATCCATCAACCCAGCGCCAAACTGTTTGAGCTCTTCGATAAGGTGACCATCAACCCTGATGATTCCTCTTTCAAACATGGTGGACACCACAGTAGACATTTTTAACTATCAAAGATACAGTCGTGTGTCTCAACTACAGAGTTGTGAATCTACAAACATCTGTGTCAATGACATGAGTGGGACCAGCTGCAGCAAATCAAAATCAAAACCAACTTTCTTACCTGATGGACCCCAAATACCTGATTTCTTTTTGTTGCCATCATAAATGATTTTGGATCAAATGTGTTCACAGAGGTCAGTTTGAGTCCACAGACAGATGTGAGGTCAGGTTTTCTCAATGCAGCGTGTTGGTTTTTTTGAAGGCACCATCATCAGGACCTGAAACAATGTCACAGATCCATCATTCCCTGAGCTCTAAACTTAGTCCACATTAAAAGCTTTGAGCTTTCCTACAGACCAGAGAAACAGATATCCTTGATGACTAACCAGACACTTTCTTTCCTGTAGTCCACCTGCTTAGCTTACCAAACTGTAGCAAATTCAACAGTCTCCCAACCAAGTCCAACACACCTTTTGTGTGTGTGTGTGTGTGTGTGTGTGTGTGTGTGTGTGTGTGTGTGTGTGTGTGTGTGTGTGTGCGTGTGTGTGTGTGTGTGTGTGTGTGCGTGTGTGTGTGTGTGTGTGTCAGCTCTACGTCCTGAGTCAGGGTCAGTGTATCTACAGAGGGAAGGTCTCCAGTCTGGTCCCGTACCTGAGAGACCTTGGACTCAACTGCCCCACCTACCACAACCCTGCAGACTTCGGTAAGAAACCCTGACAATGCTACACACGTCGCACACACTCATAGGGGCTGAGGGGCTGATGGGATATTGGTCTGATACACCTGACGGCCTTAAAAACAGAAGAAGGTTTATCCTGAGGTTTGAGACTTTCTTTAAACCAGTCTCAGACTCCAGACAATTTCTCTGGGCTGCCAGATCACCCAGACAGCCTGGAAATGAAGCGGTTCTCCTGCAGCAGTGAGGGTGAGGACACACTCAAGGGTGTGGTGACCTTGAAGGCCTCATGGTGGATCACCACTCTGTCACTGCTCTGTGTTGCTTCAGTTTTACCACCAGCACCTCCTTTGGAAAGTGTTCAAATGCTGGGCATCACATTACAAAGGACGAGGCCCCCCACTGTCACCAGCCATGAAGCTGTCACCCAGTCACCCAGACAGATATCTGAGTGAAGATCGTACCAGGGCAACTGCGCCTTAACAAAGATAACTATCGTATTGACCATCACAGTCATTTATCTATTTAGTCCATTTTATGTCTTTGCTGATTTGTGAAGATTAAGTAAGAGATTAAGTAACAGACAGTAACTGAGCAGGGGTTAGGACTCGTCATGGACTCTGTCAGCTGAACTGAGTATGCTCACTAACAGACGTGCAGAGAGAAACCTGTGATCACCTGACTCATACTGGTTTTCTGTAATCCAGCTGTTGTGTTTATCTGACAGGACAAGGTTGACTTCCGCTCACATCACAAAATTCATCACATTAGCTTGAAAAGTAAGACTCAACTGGAAGTATATTTGCACACTTATGTTTTAATTGTGGAAGGACTGCTCCCTTAAAAACTCATTGTTGTTGCTGCAGCAGATATAAGAGCTGAAAATCAGTTTTTACATTCACGAATGTTCGACAAATCATGTGACTGAAATAGCTGATTACTATTATTCTGGATCAGATCTGTGTACATTCCTGTTACCATTGATGTGTTGCAGCCAGATGAATCTAGGAGTTGTCTTTAAGTTCAGCCAGATCTGTCTGCTGAATCCAGAAGAAAGTACACAGGACTTTTATTTCTGCATCGATCAGCGCGGACTAGAAAGAGACAGACAGGAAGTCAGACACCGAAATAGTGTCAAAACATCCGCTTTTAAAAAAAAACACTTTGTTAACACCAGATCATATATCGCCTAACTACACAGACAAACTGCACAGACAAACCATCAGAGTAGGTAAAGCCAGGTATGGAGTCAACAGGTCAATGGTTTTCAGAGGTTGGGTTCTTTTTTTCAGCTCTGTAACTATAAATGTGATTAACTTCACCTGTTTTAAACTTAGTTAATGAAGCAATCAAGGACCAGTGTCAAAGAGTGTTTGTTAAACTGGGTGGTTTTATGATGCAGAGGGGGGCTACTTTTTCAAAAGGTCCACAGTGAAAGACAGACAAAATTCAAGTTTTTTTATTAACTGAAGTGTTCACCTGCTTGTTGGTGTGTCGGTTATAAATTATACAGCACACAAAGTTTGTGGGCCTTGCCGTAATCCTTTCTCTAAAGCTGTCAGACTCTGAGAATCTCAGTCGGAACCTGTCAGGGCCAGAAAGAAGAACTCTACGGGAACACCTTTTTGATCAGGTAAAGGTGAGCTTGCGTGTGACACGCATGGTCATGTGACTGGGGTGTGTAATGTGTGTGTTCAGTGATGGAGGTGGCGTCCGGGGAGTACGGGGATCAGACGATGCGTCTGGTGAAGGCGGTGCAGGACAGGAAGTGTGTGGTTGAGCAGCAGACGGAGCTGAACGGAGACACAAACCTTCACCCGCTCCTGTGGCAAAGCACTGAGGAGGTAGGAGACAAATGCACAGGGCAACACCACTCTCCCATAAAATGAGAATTAAGTTAATGAAATAAGAAAAGCAAATGAGTTCAATTTTCTGATTCTGTTTCACAGCTTTTAACTCGTTACCTGCTTTTCAGTTATCCTTTTGCTGCTCAGTCTTTAAATCATCTGGACTCGTCACATTAACTTCAATTAATCCTGACAAGATAATTTTTTATCAAGAAATAAGATTAAAGTATAAAGACTTAAGTTTTTAATTGAAATCATGCATTTAGCAAACAGAGGGAGAAAAATTTCCCTCTTTATATTGGATCTGTGTATCAATCGATTTTTATTTATATAGCACCAAATCACAACAGTCATTACCCCTAGACGCTTTCCAAAAGAGCAAGGCTAGATCACACTCATAGTTTAGTATTGGGACAGGTTTGACCCATCTCATCTAAAGGAAAAACTTCCCTTTAACTAGCAGAAACCTTGATCAGGACCAGACTCATGCTAGACAGCCACCTGATGCTGCTGGGTCAGGGAAGGGAGGGAGATGGAGAGTGAGAAAGAGAGAGAGAGCGAGATTTTTGAATCCACTTTATTTGCCGCTCTTTTGCAAAAAAAGAGGTCAATTCAAAATAACAATCAATCACACACAAACTCAAAAAAAAAAAAGGAATAATAAATAAAGAAATATTCACATGAGCATATCTTTAACTGTAAAGTATTTCCTGCTACAGAGTACAACACCTGATTAAAACCCCAAACTGCCTGGAATGAATCCAGATCTCCTCCTGCTTTGTAAAAATTAAAATCAATGAGGAGTCTGGACTTTATCATATTTTTACATTCAGTGACCGGATCAACAATAAAACCATCCTCCACCTTCCTCCTGCGGCTAAAATACACTGCCACCTTGGCCTGCCCTAAAACAAAGTTTAAAAGCTGGCACTTGTATTTGTGTTGGTGTGTGTATTTAAAACCCAGAATAAAAACCCGCTTGTTAAAAACCTCTCCACATCTGGTAAAAACAGTTTGTAAAAACAGAAACAAAGGTAAAAGACGCAGACATTCATAAAAACAGTGAAAAATGGTCTCTTTCTGGGGGCAGTAGGAACATGTGTCCTCTACTACCAGGTTAATGTTCGTTATAAAAGAGTTCACTGCGATGACCCCATGGAGGACTCTCCGGTGCACATCTGCATGTTTCTTCGAGAGTGGAGGTTTATAAAAGGCCCTCCACTCAGGTCTGGAAGCAGGAGCCAGGTGCAGATAGTTCCTCCATGGAGTGTCAGGTCTTTTATCTAGTTTTTTCCCATTATTGTTTTTACCATCATCTTGTACAAGGTTTTTCCTGGTGTGCCTTCCGAAGGGGCGGGGTGGTTAAAATCCAACAGCAGGCCAGAACAGTCTTTAAAAATATGGTGCCAGGAAGATGGCAGGAAAGAGGTCTTTTTCAGTCACTGTCTGGTTAAAAGGGGAGTTTAAAAGCAGGCGGTCGTGTCCTGTAAGTCTCTGTCTCCAGTGGTTCAAGAGTTTTTGTGTGACCCTCATCGATGAAAGTCCCAGCTGGGCAGCGAGTCCAGATGGGTTGTCCATCCGGGTCGTCCATCCGGGTTCCCGTCAGCTCCACCACCTGCCCCAGAGTGAGGACCCCCACCGTCTGCAGACTTTTCTCCAGACTCTGACCTGCCCAGCTGGGAAGGTCTAAGCGGGTCCCCCATAGGACCGGTTCCTGCAGGAGCCAGTATGTAGAGTCAACCTGGCCCCTCCTCTCCTTCCTCAGCAGGCCCCAAACCTTAAAACACTTTTATAAAAGGCAGGCAGAGAAGATGTGTTCATGTTCTGTGTGTTCATTAAAAACAAATTAAAATCCTAACCCAGGCTGTTAAAACCCTGCAGAATGCAGCGGGACAGGGGCCTCCACAGAGTGGCCCCATCAGCAGCCTCTGGATAAATTGGAGCCTGAAGGCTGCGCCCCTGCTGGCCAGGTGGACCAGGCTCTGGCCCCCCTCCTCTTTCGGTAAAAACAGGACACTCTGTGGGACCCAGTGGAGTCTGTCCCAAATAAAATCAACTAAAACTGACTGAATCTTGGAAAGGAGAGAAGCCGGGGGATCGACACGGGCCAGGGTCAGGGTGGATAATGGATGCCATCATCTCCCTCATTCTGAAGGCCAGAGCCTTGGACAGGATCTTATAATCTGTGCACAGCAGGGTGACTGGCCTCCAGTTTTTCAGCTCCTGCAGGTCTCCCTTCTTAGGCAGCAGGGTGATGACGGCCCTTCTGCAGCTCAGAGGCGGCCTGCTGGTCTGTCAACTGTCTTTCAAGACCTCTAGCAGGTCTAGTCCTAAAATGGACCAGAAGAACTTATAAAAGTCAGCAGGAAGGCTGTCCATGCCTGGAGCTCTGCCGCTCTGCAGGCTCATGGTGGCTGCATGGATCTCCTGCAGTGTCACCTCTGCTGCCAGTCTGCTGTTGTCAGTCTCGCTGACCTGTGGGGAACCGCTGAGGAAGCTGCCTGGCCCCGTTCCGGTTTAAGGTGCTGATATTAAAATCACACATCGATGAAAAATAAATCACAATGAGGAGAGCAGTCAGTGAAAGGTAAAAGCGTCTAAAATCATCTTTATCATTGATGATTTGTGGTTTTACCTTTGGCAAAATCTTCTTGAGTCTGAAAACCTCCTGCTCTGTTAAAACCTCCTCCCCATGGCTCTTCCAGGTGAGTGGCCTGGCTGACCTAATAAATAAGTGCAGGTCTGGGAAAAAATCCTCTACATTAGGCAGCCTAGAGCCCTTAGTCTGCTCCAGCAGCCGCAGCAGCGGTAGAGCTCACAGCTTTGATATTGTAACCTTTGTGGCTGGGCAAACGAGAGGGGAGACAGGAGTAAAGGTGTCTTGAATGACCACTTCTCTCTCTACCACCTTGTCAACCTGTGCCGTACTATCCAAAAACATTACAATAGCTCCATTTATTCAGGAGGCAGACTTTGCAGATTCAAACCCGACCACCTCTCTCACAGCCAGACTGGCTTCATCCACCGAGCACTGCGCCGCGGTGTGAAGTTTGATTGCATGACAGCGAGTCAGCTTTTCAAACTCCGCGGCTGCAGCCTCTGCCATTGTGCTGAGCAAAGCACGCTGCCCCACAAATAAATGTACACACACACTCACACATGCAACAAAACGCATGTAAACACCAAATTATATTTAAGCAACTTATAAACACACTCAGATGAAAAGAAAAGAGAAATTCAATTCACTCAGAGCTCCTCACTCACATAAGTAAGAGCTGGTTGAAATCAGCCAGCTGGTCCTAACTATGAGAGAGAGAGAGAGAGAGAGAGAATGAAGATTGTCTGCAGCAACAGTCCAGAGGAACCTGAGAGAAGAAGGAGGTCAGGGTCTGAGGCAGACAATCATAGATGATGCAGCTGGGTCAGGCAGGTCCACAGCAGCCAACCGTCTGTAGCACCAGTTTAAAGGAACCTAGGAGACTGGGGGCTCAGGGACATTCAGAGAGATCTGGTTAGTAGATCTAAAGGAGTGAGAGGGACAGTGGGGGGGGGGAGCTCAGTGTGCCAGATAACCCCAGCGGTCTAGCTGGTTCAAATCAGCCCCAACTATAAGCTTTATCAAAGAAGAACGTTTTAAGTCTACTCTTGAAAGTTGAGAGGGTATCTGCCCCCCAAACTTTAAATGGTAAATGATTCCAGAGGAGAGGTGCCTGGTAGCTGAAAGCTCTACCTCCAATACTACTTTTACAGACATTTGGTGTGACAAGCAGACCTGCACACTGTGGGCATAGCAGTCTAGATGGAAAGTAAGGTGTCATAAGCTCTTTAAGATATGATGGAGCCTGGCCATTAAAGGGATATTCCAGCAAAAGTTTAAGCCATGGTCAAACACACCGTAACATCAAGTTAGACACCCCTTCGAGAGATGAATTTTGCAGACCGCTTGCTTCTCTAGTTATACCAACTTCAGCAAAGACTGCACAATAGCAATACACAGTGGTCTACGTCTCCACGTGCAAACCTCAACCAAAAAGCCACTCTATAGACACAAATAATTCTCAGAACAGCACCTAACTTCATCAACAGTACATATAGGGTCTAAGCCATAGAACTAGCCATCAAACTTCTTTTTAGCTTTGCCTAATTTCTTTAGCAAGGAGACTAAACACAACTCACCTACTCTCTTTGAGCTGCCGCTTGTTTGTGGGGGGAGCCCTAAAGAGTCGATCATCGAGTGCAGCAGAGTTACGCAACTCAAGGAAGAACATTTATGATTTTTACTTCATGGAAATGCAATCGGACCAAGACACTAAGGCAGGAGAGCTACTGCGTCCGCTGTGCACGTACAAGATAAAAAAGAACCGCAATATCCCTTTAGGTGCTTTATATGTCATAAGAAGGATTTTAAACTCAATTCTAGATTTAATAGGGAGCCAATAAAGTTAGGCTAAGACTGGAGAGATGTGCTCCCTTCTTCTAATACTTGAGCTGCGGTGTTTTGGACCAGCTGTAGAGTCCTTAAAGACTTATTAGAGCAGCCTGATAAAAGAGAAGTACAGTAAACCAGCCTAGAGGTAACAAAAGCATGGACTAGTTTTTCTGCATCGCTCCGAGACAGGATGTGTCTCAGCTTTAAGATATTGCGCAGGTAGAAAAAGGCTCTCCTTAAAATTTGTTGAATGTGGGAGCTAAAGGACAAATCCTGATCAAATAAAACTACCGGATTCCTTACAGTGGGACTGTATAACAGACTAATGCCATCTAACATGGCTATATTAGAAAAATGCTGCTCTACAGTGTTTAGGACCGAGAACAAAAACTTCAGTTTTGTCCTACTTGAGCATCAGAAAGTTATTTGTTATCCACGATTTTATATCTTTGAGGCAAGCCCTCACATATAGGTATATCTGAGTGTCGTCTGCACAAAAGTGAAAATTTACAGTGTTTCCTCATACTTCTACCCAGAGGAAGCATGTACAAAGTGAAAAGAATCAGTCCATGCACTGAGCCTTGATTGCTTCTGTATGTGTGTGTGTGTGTGTGTGTGTGTGTGTGTGTGTGTGTGTGTGTGTGCTTGTGTGTGCTTGTGTGTGTGTGTCTCAGGAGAGCTCCTCTTCATCCTCTGAAGGTTGTCACAGTTTCTCAGCAAGCTGTATGACTCAGTTCTTCATCCTGTTCAGGAGGACCTTTCTCAGCATCCTCAGAGACTCAGTGAGAAACACACACAAGCACAAAGACCTGTACACACACACATACACACACAGGGTAACAGCTCTGTACTGTAATTGGTTGAGCAGGTGCTGACTCATCTTAGGATCTCGTCCCACATTGGGATCGGCATTCTGATTGGTTTGCTGTACCTCGGCATCGGGAACGAGGCGAAGAAGGTCCTCAGCAACTCAGGATTCCTCTTCTTCTCCATGCTGTTCCTCATGTTCGCTGCGCTCATGCCCACTGTGCTCACCTGTGAGACACACACACACACACACACACACACACACACACACACACACACACACACACACACACACACACACACACACACTTTTTCATTTATTTTCATTTCTTACCTCTTCTGCCCCCGCATCTGCATCCTGACGCAGTATTTCCTTGACTTGAAAAACTTTAAAAATAACTGAACTCAGATCAGTTTTTTAAAAAAAACTTTGGCTTTAAGATCCTGGAGTCTTTCTGAGCTGATATGAGCTAACAGATCTGTGCTTGTGTTTGTGCTGCAGTTCCCCTGGAGATGGGAGTTTTTCTGAGGGAACATTTGAACTACTGGTACAGTCTGAAGGCTTATTACCTGGCCAAAACCATGGCTGACGTCCCCTTCCAGGTAAATCTACCAAACTTCCTAAATCCTGCAGCACCCACGGTACAAGGGTGATTGTTTTTGTATCACATTTGTTTCGAAATTCTTACCTGGCTTAAAGGTGGGGTAGGCAGGATCTGAGGAAGTGCCAGTTTTTGGGAGAAATCTTGAATGTAAACACTACCCCTCCCAACCAGTTTTTCCTTCAGTTCGGTTTGATATAAGATGTATGATCTGCTTGTCTCTGATATTGCTCCTGGTATAGAGAGTTAATGACTGTTGTCCAGGGGTTCCGGCTAATCAAAATCAAGATATTAACAGTGCTGGGTAATAACATATTTCTAAAGATGATCAGTTTGCTGCCACGACTTATCAGAAACTTGATTTACTGGTTTAAAGTAAAGGTGTTCCTGCTGCACATACCTGAAGGCACACTTGTCCCCTCTGTCCTCACAGGTGGTTTTCCCCTTGGTGTACTGCTGTATTGTGTATTGGATGACCGCTCAGCCTCCAGATGCCGGACGGTTCTTCCTCTTTCTGTCTTTGGGGATTCTGACCTCTCTAGTGGCTCAGAGTCTGGGTCTGCTGATTGGGGCGGCATCCACTTCATTGCAGGTGAACCCTTATTTCACTGTAGAGCTCACAGACGGATGTGTTCACCTGCTGACAGCACTAAGGTATGTCTGTGGTGTTGTGTCCTGCAGGTGGCGACGTTTGTAGGTCCGGTCACGGCGATCCCGGTGCTGCTGTTCTCAGGGTTCTTTGTCAGTTTTGACACCATCCCCTGGTACCTGCAGTGGATGTCCTACATCTCCTACGTCAGGTGGGGGCGTTATTCTCTCATTAAAGGAGTCTGTGAAACATTTACAATCAACAAAAGACACGTTTCAAGTAGGAGACAATTTTAACCGGACTAAAACAGTCTTTTTACACCTCCTGTTCCACGTTTCAGGTACGGGTTTGAGGGTGTCATCTTGTCCATCTATGGTCTGGACCGGGAAGACCTGCACTGTGATGAAAATGACACCTGTCACTTTCAGAAGTCTGAGGCCATTCTGAAGGAACTGGACATGCTGGATGCCAAACTCTACCTGGACTTCATCATCCTTGGCATCTTTTTCTTCTCTTTGAGGCTCATTGCTTACTTTGTGCTCCGCTACAAGATCAGTGCTGAGAGGTAGACCAGGACCAGGATTAGGACTAGGAACAGGACTGGGACCGGGACTGGGACCAGGTGGAGTTTCACGAGGATCTAAGTGGCAGCTTCCAGCATTAAGGACCAAAGCCATAGGCCAAAGTTAGCGTGTAGCTGAGGAATTTGTCTACATGTGGACTGTGAATCAACTTTTACTGGCTGTTTAAATCCAACACCAAGAAGAGACTAGACCAGACCAGACTGGGTTTGGACAACCTTTAAATGTCTCAGAGTATTTTTAAAAGAGATAAGGACACATCTTTCAAGGACAGGAGCTGGTCTCCTGAATCCTGAGGGTCTTACTGTGCCACACAAAAAACTGGAGGACACCTGTGTTTTTTTAAGAGTAATGTCCTCTGTGGTCTGAGCAGAGAGAGCAAACAATTTAGAGTGCAGAAAAACTGCAAGCAAACTCCTGCGCGGTCAAAAAACAGCTATCTGCAACACTTGTGTACTGAAAACAGCTGATAAATCAAATTGTGATGCTGAAACAGTGTGCAGGAGTTAAGATGTATTTGATGAGCTGAGCCCTCTCTTATGCATTTGTTTTATGAAATATATAAGAAAGCTACCAAGCAGCCTGTTGCAACCATAGACTGTATGGACAGAGTCTGCCTCTTTGCTGGGTGAAGCCACTCCGGGAACAGCACCCTCTGTTGATGGGCTGCAGTATAGGTCATAAATCCTGCCTCCACCTGCAAAGCTTATGGGGCTGAGGACAAACTTTAGAAATTTATTACACAGTACATAAATTTTTCTCCCCCCTGCTTGTGATGTTGACATGTAGTTATTGTAAGACTGGTTTGTGCTCAAGTCCTCTTTTTTCTGGGAAGCTCCGTTTTTTTAAAGTTATTAGGGGGTTCATGTTTTCCATGATACCTGATACAGCCTATGGGCATTTAGGGATTGCGTTGCTCTCCCGAGGGATATGCAGTTTGAGCCGAGCGTCATCACAGCGACTCTCGGCAACTGCGTGCCCGAATGCGTGCATCGCTACTGCGCAGCGCTGGTTTCAGGAAATGAAGAAAAATCTCAGAAATACCGAGAGCTTTTTGGCTTCAAATCCGTATACAGGCAGTAGGCGGAACCAAGTTGTCCGTAGTATATAGAGTCTATGGTTGCAACTTAGTGGCCAAAATGGTTCAATTAGTCATTACTTCCGCCTCTGTTGGCCACCTATAGTCCAGGGTTTTATGGCTGCAGATGGGCTGGCAATTCAGATTTCGGGGGGGGGGGGGGGGGGGGGGCACCACTCTGCACACTCTGCACACTCTGCACACTCCCCTGGTTCTGGATCTGGCTTTGTGCTGCACTTATTGTGCACTAGCATTTGAACCTGGTGTTAAAAATAAAAATGTGACTTAAAACAGACAAGCTTCTACTTTTTCTTCATTTTTCTATTTATCTCAGTACCAGATGGCATTGTATAAAAAATAAGGTCTGAATTAGGTTCTCTAATACAAACAGTGATTGAATTAAGTAGTATACCATTATAAAACTGATATACTGATATATACTGAGCCTGTGAGGACCTGCTCACAGTGGAGGGCTAAATTGGGTTAATTCCTGAAATTGATTCATTTTGATTTTGATTTATCGGGTTTTATTAAATTATTTAAAAACAGTGGGAGTGTTTTATGTATTGAGCCATGTACAAATTGAGCGATTTGGAGTTTATTAATTTAATAAATATTAAGTATGCCAAGTTTGCAGAACAAGGGTAATAAAAGATTTGTTGGAGCTGAGAAGGTAATAATTTTCACGGCTCTGTTTTGTAAGGGACAAACTGGTTCCATTTTGATTTGATGAGTACTGGCCCAGGCGATATTGGGACAAGCAATCAAAAAAAATATTACGACGCTGACGCTATGCTGAAGGGTAGTCTGTTAAAGAAGAAGCGCCCAAAGGTAGATATAAAGGTTGTGTACTATGCTGACTCAGGAGACAGAAGAATTTGCCAAAATCCTCTATTTGCATCCAGTTTGCTGAAGACCTGAGCTCCTGCAAGAGATCCAAGTGTCTGCTCCACAGATGGCAGGGTATATTTCTCTCTGCAGACTGCTTTGTCAAGTTGGGTGAGGTCAACGCAGATATGCACTGAGCCGTTTTTTTGACAGAAACAGAACCATACCAGAATACCATTCAGTTGGCTCTTCAACTTTGTAGGTGACTCTGATTGACTCCATATGTTTAAACTCCTGAAAAAGGAATAGCATCTGGTTTTAGCTTTAATTGTGTAAGGCTGCTGCAGCTTCCCTAAACCCTGACACAACTCTGGGTAGGACTCTTCCATCTCAGCTTTGTCAACGCTGTCTACTCTGGATACAAGGTTAAGCTTAACACTAGGTGGCCTGCTTAATAAAGCTATATGTAAGTCATTTATTACGTACAAATCCTCTTGAATCACCTGTTCACCTTTGCATAGTGACTCAAGAGACAGAGAGTGGTGTCCCACCTGGGCCAAACAATGGTCCATCTGATTTTACCGACTGGGTGTTTTTCTTAGCAATGGTGTAGTATGTCTGAGCAGGGATAACTAATACATCAGCAACTGTGTCTATCTGAAACTTAACTTTATAATTTCCAGTGGTCAAATCTGCATACCAAGGGTCTGCGCCTGTGTCTACAGTGCCAAGAAATATGGGTGTGTCCTTACAGCTCTCACTAGTTTCTACTACATGTACAGCTTAAGCAGACATAACATACTTACATACATACATACGTACTTTTTTTCCACGTCTGGCATGCCTTCTCTCTGGCTGGGCATTGCCACCTTCCATGTCCAGGGGATTTCCACATCCATCACATGACTGGCCACCCTGCAGTGCTTTTGTCTCTATGGGCAGATGTTTCTGCTTATTTTGGGTCCTTGGATTGGGTGACTTTTTTCCCCACTGTTTTGTTGTCACTGAATCAATGTCATGCTTTGTTTCTCCTCTGAGGTCTGTTTGCTGTCCTTTTTTCATTTTTGACTGTCTTGCAATATTGATTGCCTTTTTAAGGGTCAAATCCTTGTCAAGCTGCATTTTCTCTTCTATGCTGATGTCTCTTAGTCCCACTACAAGGCTGTCTCTGATTAACACTTCATGGAGTGCTCCATAGCTGCAGTTTTCTGCTAGGGCACATGGTGCAGTGATAAAGGAGTCTTCAGTCTCATTAGCTTGTTGCTCTCCTTGGTTGAATCGTGCCCTCTCACATCTTACATTTTTCCTAAGCACACAATATGACTCCGAAGTGGCTTTCACCTTGATGTACTGCTGTCTCTCCATCGCTCAAAGCTTTAGCCTGCAATATGTATGCTTCATCACCCATACAATAGATGCGTGTGTTCAGCTGATTAGCTTGTGAGTTTAGATGTGGGTTACTGGCCAGTCATAATCTTTAAACCTCTGTATCCATTTCTCCTGGTCCTAGAGTTTTGAAAAGTTGAACGGTTCAGGACGTTGAATGGTGAACGTAGCGCCCACTCCATCTGTGGCAGATGTTGCAGCTCAACAGAGCTCTTAAAAAACATAGTTGCGTCGTTGAGGGTTCAGTATGCTAGAGGGTCTTGTGGTCCATCATTTAAATCAGGGGTCTCAAACTCAATTTACCCGGGGGCCGCTGGACGTAGATTCTGGGTGAGGCTGGGCCGCACCAGGTTTTTCACAAGAAAAGCTCTTACAAAAACATTCCAGTGTTATCAAATGTCTTTGTTTATTCATTTATTCATCCTTTTTTGTCTTAGAAAATTTAAATAAATTAACAACTCATAAGAAAAAAATAAATCAGTAATAAATAGAATGATAACAATAATAATAACAATAATAATTCAGCAGATATAGAAGACTGAATAAACCACATATAGTTGCTGACTAGAGAAATGTAATTATTATTCAGATTCAAATGTCTGTATTAACAGCTCTTTAACCTTTAACTTTCTGAACATGAATGGAACATTGAACATAAACTGTTATGAACATGGCTTCTTCTGCCTGAAAAAGACATGTTTGGGGCTTTTGTAATATAATTGATTCCACTTGATGTCACTGTCGCGTTAAAGTTTCAGTTTCTGTGTTTAACCGATGCGTCATTTCTGCTTTTTTTCTGTTCCGCTGAGTAGCGACTTTCGGGTTCCGACTGAGCGCGAAGCGCGTGAAGCGGGAGCGGCCGCGACATTACACACGCACAGCATCCCATTAAAGTGCCCTTGCTCCTCGAGCTGTTGTTCCAGAACAATCATGGATATGCCGCTATGTTTTCCTGGCTGTACTAAACACGTTTGTACACTTTATCCAAGAATTAAAGTCGGCTACAGGGCTATACACAAGAAAAGCTCTTACAAACCCCCCCCCCCCCCCCCCCCCATATCCAGCCCGCCACCCCACCCCCCAACCCTCACTGAGAGCCCACACACACACACACACACACACACACACACACACACACACACACACACACAGATAATGCAATCTTAAAAGCGTCTGGCTGAGTACAGGGGGGCCAAGTCAGGAAACGTCAGGAGGCCGACTGCACTGGAGGCCGCTCACAGCCCAGGGCCAGGACACCTCCACCCGGGTGCACACCCCGCTACAAGCCAGTGAGGGGCCCACAGCAGCAAGCACTGCTGCAGACCACCACCTGGCCGAGCTGAGCGCACACCACGAGGCAGAGAAACCCTAAACAGAACCAGTCACAGCCTCCAGTGCAGGTGGCCCCCCTACTGAGGAAACACTGGAAAAATGCAATAAAAACATAAAGTAAATCAGCTTAAAACATCAAACTAGATAAAATTATAAAATACTGATTAATAACTAAAATACCATTTAAAAATAAGTGAACAAATAGAATAAACATAACATGTAAAATGAGGTGTAAAATATATAAATGAAATAAAATAAGATAGAAATAGGATAAAAATATAGATTAAAAAAAATAGGCTATTAGTTAAAAGCCAAATTAAAGGTGGGTCTTGAGCCTGCACTTAAAAATATGAACATTCTCTGCGGCCCTAAGGTCCTCCGGCAGGCTATTCCAAAGATGGGGGCCATAGTGCTGAAAAGATGCCTCACCGCAAGTTTGTGTTCTTACTTTGGGGACTATTAAAAGGCCAGGGATCTCAGGGTCCGCGAGGGTTCATATTGTAAAAGCAATTCTGAAAGATAAGATGGTCCAAGACCCCTAAGACATTTAAAAACCATTAAAAGGACCTCAAAAATCAACCCTAAAGCACACAGGGAGCCAATGCAGTGATTTTAAAACCGGTTTAATATGTGCACTCTGGTCCTCGTCAGCACACGTGCTGCTGAGTTTTGCAACAGTTGTAAACTCGCAATGTTTCTTTTTGGAAGACCAGAAAGCAGGACTTTACAAAAGTCAAGACGGCTGGAGATAAAAGCATGTATTAGCGTCTCTGTGTTAGCCCGGGAGAGAAAGGGGCGGACTTTGGCTATATTCTTTAAATGATAAAACCCTGTTTTTGTTATATTTTTAATATGTGGGATAAAAGTCAGCTCAGAGTCAAAGATGACGCCCAGATTCTTTACCTGATTTGATGGAATTAAAGACAGGTTTTTCAGTTTTGTTAAAAGTTTCTCTCCCCGAGCTTTAGGATCAATAACTAAAACCTCAGTTTTGTCCTGGTTGAGCTGTAGGAAGTTTTCTGCCATCCAGGATTTAATGTCTAGGATACAGCTAAAAAGGGCATCAATTGGCCCTGTGTCATCAGGAGACATGGATTTGTAGAGCTGTGTGTCATCAGCATAGCTGTGAAAAGTGATACCATGCCTCTTGATGACATCTCCCAGTGGGAGCATATATAAATTAAAAGTTATAGGGCCTAAACACCACATTTAATGCTATGAATCTTTGAAGAGCATGTGTCCAAACTTACAAGAAACTTTTGATCTGTGAGATAGGAGTTAAACCATTGAAAGGCAGTACCAGAGAGGCCTACAAGGTGTCTTAGTCTATTTAAAAAAATTGTGTGATCTACTGTATCAAAAGCAGCGCTTAGATCCAGTAGCACAAGGACTGTAAGCTTGTGTGAGTCCAAGTTGCAAATAAGATCATTAACAATTTTCAGTAGTGCAGTCTCGGTATTGTGGTTCGTCCTAAATCCAGATTGAACTCCAGGATGGAACAGTTATTTAAAAAATCATTCAACTAAATAAAAACAAGTTTTTCTAAAATTTTGCTTAAAAATGGTTAGTTGGACACTGGTCTGTAGTTATTAAGAACATTAGGGTCCAAATTGTTCTTCTTCAGAAGTGGTCTCACTTCTGCCGTTTTAAGGGCAGCAAGGAAAGAGCTTGTCTGAAGAGAACAATTCACTATATTTAAAAGCTCACCTTCAAAGAATCCATAAAAAAATTTAAAAACAAGCTTTCCACTGTATTAGAAACAGTGTTTTGAATAGATGAAATAGAGGATCATATAAAAATCAATTTTACCCCTGAAGTGGTCTGCAAAACCTTCGCAAAGTGTGTCTGAAGGAGTGAGTTGATATCTGTTAAAAACCGGGTTTATTAAAAGATCAATTGTAGCAAAGAGGATTTTAGGGTTATTTTTATGATCCGTGATTATGTTGGTAAAATAGGTGGATCTTGTGTGTCTGAGAGCTTTATTGTACATTTTCAGTTGCTCGCAGTATATTTGATAATTAATTGTGATTTTATTTTTCCTCCATCTCCGCTCAGCTACCCTGCAATTTCTTTTAAGTTTTTTGATTTCCTCATTTCTCCACGGCGGTGTGCGCTTAGGCAGTACCTTTTTTGTTTTCGGTGGAGCTACAGGGTCGAGTGTGGTTTCAAGTTTGTTGATAAAATGTTGAACAATAAAATCACAGGATGCAGGTAGAGTAGCTGAGGGATGCTTACTTAAGATCTTGATAAAATTTGCAGCCACTTCTGACGTGAAATAGCATTTCCTGACAGTTCGCACCGAGGTCCCCCGCTTAATAAAACTGGTGATATTAAAAAAACACACAATAATGGTCCGACACAGCCAGGTCAACAACAGAGGACACACTGGCTGAAAGGCCATAGCTGAGGACTAGATCCAAAGTGTGTCCTCCGTTGTGAGTCGGCTGTGTGACGTGTTGTGTAAAATCCAAGCAACTAAGTAGATTTAAAAACTCTTTTGCCATTGAATCAGATGGATTGTCTATGTGTAAATTAAAATCACCAGATATAATAATAAAATTGTAAGCTGCATGGATTATTGCTAAAAATTCAGAAAATTCACTGATAAAAGCAACACCATGTTTTGGTGTTCTGTAAACAGTTATACAAAGAATTGAGGGACTGTTAAAAACAACTGCATGATGTTCAAAGGTGGTGTACTGATCAAATTGTATTTCTTTTGTCCTTAGTGAGTTATTGACTATTGATGCAGTACTACCACCTTTCTGCCACTTCTAAGGGAGAACGTAAAGTTAAAATAAGGTGGGGAGGCCTCAGTGAAAATAACTGGTGTGTCTGTACACAGCTATGTTTCAGTTAAAAACAGATAATCAACCTTGTTGTCTAAAATCAGGTCATGGAGAATAAAAGATTAGTTTAAAAGAGAGCAAATATTTAAAACTGCCATGTTAATGTTGACGGGTGATTTACAGACTTTGTGGTTAGATTGTTGATGTTTTGGGAGAGGTCTGAGGTTATAGAAGTTCGCAGAGTGTACATGATGGAGTCTGGCTGTCTCTCGCTGAGTGATCATGACAGGAATGGGTGAATGGTTAATGAAAACAGAGGGTCCAAGTCCAGTATTGTGTGTGACAGAGGTGGAACTAAAATCATAGGAACTGGGACCTGGGGGACATCAATCAGTGGCGGAAAGGTCAGTTGGTGTACGTTTGGGGTGATGGGAGGAAAGTGAGAGTTGAGTATGTTGTAGACCGTGGGCTCTATTTTCGTGCCTCGCCGGAGACGTGCCGCAAGCGCGGCGTCAGTCAGATCCGCTGCGCTGACAAGGCGTTCCCAAGCACATTTTGGTATTTTGGTGAGCCGCGCAGCCCGGCGTAAGTATCCCCCCTCCCTAACTCAGCTCCTCCCAGCAGCTTAAGTCGTAGCGAGGGAGGAGATAGGGCGGAGAGTGGATTTAACACAGCCGAGACCTGTTTTCACCAATCACATAATCTCCTTGCCTTTAAATCCACCACTGGCGAGGCGTATTACTATTTTCATGAAGTAGTCAAAGAGATCAAGAGATGTCTTAAGACAGTAATGCCACAAGATGGCGACAGAGGGCAGCTCCTCAACAAGTGTCACTGTAAGCGCTGCATTGGGCGTCCTTCACACTCTCTCATATGAGCACAGATGGATTTGGTGTGTGTAATGTTGGACCCACTGGTAAGACAAACACCCTTTTCCACAAATAAAGACACTCACATAAAGTTGCATATATTCAAACCTCACGTGACAAAGGTGGGTTGTGCGCACAGATCACAACATAAACTCCAAAAATGGCATTAAAATTGGAACCATCTGTGCGTAAATGACGCATCGTGCTCTGTGGCCTGGCTCTTTCTTTCATAGATGTTGGCATATGAAATAAATTTGGCTCACAAAACTGAATATTATAATATCCGTATGTAGGCTTAAAGTAGATAACTCATCTGAGCACTGAAACAAATCATCTGTTCAGCCGCAGCAGCAGCAAGACGGACAGAGGACACGGAGACGTGTCCCGGTTGAGCTGTGCGAGAAATAAGAGGAAGAAAGAAAAGGAGGGAGACGAATTACATATCTTGTTAACTTCATCATGTGTGTTTATTTACTAGATATTTAATTTAATTTGATGCGGTTTCAGCTGTGTTGATTCGGTCAGGTTGTGTGTCCAAACACGTGCCAAACGCGCTCATCAGATCAGATATAGATCAGAATATATCTATATAGATCTAAATGTATGTGCTGACTCAGATTATTAGTTGTTGATGATTATTTATTGCACTGAAATGTGCGTGACACTGTGGAAACCTGCCGGTGAGGCATCAGTGACGTATGTCGATACGCCACAGGGCTACCAAAATACTACTAGACCAGCTGCGCTCCGCCATGCGCTGAAAGCTGACCAGGTTTGAATCGGCGAGCTTTCAGCGCACTTTACACGCCGGTGACGAGCACGAAAATGTCACTGCGCCCGCTGATTCTGTCGACACCTCCCCCTGCCATGTCACCACGCCCAGCTTGGCGGATCTCGGCTCGCCTCCGTGCGGCTCAGTCCACGAAAATACCAAACTGGCCGTACGCCGTAGCATTTCGTGCCAAATGGGACACCGTTCGCGCCGCGTGATGACATCATGCACGCTTCAAATGCGCCGTTTGACGGTGCGGTCTCTGAAATGGGACACAGCCTCAGACTGTCAACTTCTCTCGCACTCTGTTTGTGCCACACCCTACTGCACAACTTCTAACTGCATCTCAACTTACAAACTCTAACTGTGTCTCAGCTCACACTTTCCAAATTAATGTACCAACACCAAAATCTGTTTCACCATCAGACCTTACACACACAATCCTAAAAGTCCAGCAACGGCAACAGTCTGTTTTTTCTTACAATTATTCCAACTTTATGCACAATATGCGGGTTGTCTCAACACAGTCAATCTTTGTTTGCTTATAATATTTCTGTAAACAGCACATTAAACATTTTCAATCAGTCACATATCAATGTGCAACAGATTATGTTCAGTTTGTGCAATGTAGGACATACAGTGTACTTGCAGTTAAACATAAACCTCAATGTGTTTTATACAGCCCATGCAACATTAAGCATTTAGTTTAAAATCATCACAGACTTTCTCCAACACACATGTACACATACACACACCGCTCCAACTTCCACACTACGCTGATGTGAGGAGATAGTCTGTTGTGAGAGAAATAAAAGAAGCAAAAAGAAAGACCACACTCATACAGACCGGTCCACAGACACAATTTTATGGGTGTTTTGTACTTTATTTGTCAAATATAATTTCATTTGGTTTATTTTGGTGTTTTTACAGGTATTTTATTTAGTTGGCTAACTCATGTATACAACACATTGATCATTTGTGCTTTAAGTGGTGAAAATTTGAAGGAAATTGTGGATCCAACAACTCCTATCATATAAATTATCAATACCTCTAGTGCCCAATATTCTGTATGTTAAATCTATGTTTCCAAATTGTTGATTTTTATTTCTCTTTACTTATTAAGAGAAATACATTTGTTTCATGTATATGTATTCATATTTATACATTAAAATGTGCCCTCCCAGAGACTAAAATGACCTGTCGTGGGATTTACCAGCAAGTGTGATTGAACCTTCATGTAGCTTTACAGTTCAGTCAATCACATCTAAATCTGTTCCACAAGTATCTAGTGGATTTTTCTATGTTATTTATATTAGATAGGTCTGCAAACTGTAAGGTTATTGCCTTTCGAGCCCTTAAAAGGTCAGTCCCAGATTACAAGCTTAACATGGGGTGGTCTGTTTGGGTTTGTTACCTTTTAAGACCTCCCCGGGCTCACCAGAGCAGTATCCACACCTCATCGGGTTATGCTTTTTCACATGCTCGCCAGGGCTAGACTGCCGGCTTCTCAACTCGTGCGCAACTTCAGTGAACCTCCTCTATCCCCCTAAGACTTCACTATCTTAGAATAGAATAGAATTCAACTTTATTGTCATTGCACATGTCACAAGTACAGAGCAACGAAATGCAGTTTGCACCCATCCAGAAGTGCTTAGCAAGTGTAAATATATTTACAAATGTACACAGTATGAAAGAATATATACACGAGTATGTCGCAGAATATAAGTATGTATAGGCTTTAGTAGAGTACAGACTATGAACAGATTATACATATGGTTATAAATACGAAGGCTACAAACACTATAAATATAATTATATGAAAGATAAATTATGCAGTAGTGCAATATTGGATGTATTAACAGTAGTGCAAATGAGGTTTGAAAGGTTTTAAGTTGGTTTACGGATATAAAGTGCAGGTAACTGTAGATAATTGTAAGTGGTGGTTCAGTGGTTGTAAATGTGTGTGTTCAATCCATGAGTGTCAATGTGGTTCAGATTTCAGGAGGCAGAGTTTAGGAGTGTGACAGGTGTCACACGTGTCACACGTGTCACACATTGGATGAGTGGTGAGTACTGAGGTGTGAGGAACAGGGAGAGATGGTCTGATTGTCCAATGTGGGGCAGGGGGTGTGCTTTGTAGGCTCCAGCCAGGTTGGAATAAACATAGTCCAAAGTCTTATCCCCTCTGGTGTTACAGGAGACATGTTGGTGGAATCTGGGGAGGACTGTCTTCAAGTTGGAGTGGTTAAAGTCACCAGCAACAATAAAGACAGCCCCAGGGTGTTTGGTCTGGTGTTTGCTAATGGCTGCACAAAGTTCTTTCATAGTCAGCTTAGCATTAGCATCCGGGGGGTATACACTGCAGTGAGTAGGATGGAAGTGAATTCTCTGTGGAGATAGTGTTGGAAATTCTTTATTAGGAATAGGAATTTCAAGGGGGTCCTATAGGCAGCAGTACACTGTAATACAATACAGTACAATACCATACCATACAATACAATACGATACAAAACAAAAAAAACAAAACTGCCAGCCTGCAGCATGCAACATACAGACACGCAACACAGAACAGATCAAAATCAAAAGAAACAACAACCAAAACTGCAGCAAAAAGGAAAACTGCGAAAAGCAAGGAGAAGGACAAAAAAAAAGAAAGGAGGAAAGGAAAAAAAAGGGGGGGGGGGGGGATATGAATAAGATCAACAAGGTAAATATGAATGGTGATACAGTGCATGCAATGGGTCAGATCAGCTGTGTCGACCAAATTGGACACGTGCAAGGGTGATGAGTCAGGCGCATGTACAGGAGAAGGTGTAATAAGAGGTAAGTGCTCTTTTAAACATATGGAATGATGTGATTGTTCGAATATTTGTTGGCAAATTGTTCCAATCTGATGGGGCTTTGAACTTAAAGGCTTTTTTACCTGCCTTGGAGACTGGTGGGACAATAAAGTAGGGCTGGGCGATGTGCCTCAACGGATAACTAGTGGAAAATGGTTGAAGTAGTTGTTTGAGATATGATGGATAATTGAGGCGTATACATTTGAAAATAAACCGTGACCAGTGACACTGTCTTCGTATTGCTAAAGAGGGCAACTGGAGATTTTCATACATAGTACAGTGGTGGGTGGTGAAAGAACAACCTAGGATGAATCTGCAAAGTTTGTTGTACACAGTGTCGAGGATTAACAGATTGGTTGTGGAGGCAACTTGATAGAAAAAATCGGCATAATCAAATAAAGGCAGGATAAGCTGTAATATTAGTCTTTTCCTAACCAAGAAAGAGTGACAGTTTCTTGAACGATAGAGAGCACCAATACAGAGATTGACTTTACGTGCAATATGATCAATATGGTATTTGAATGACAGTTCACTATCAAGCCACAAACCCAGGTATTTGGTGCTTTCAACTCTATGCAGTGGAGTTCCATCCAAGCTGGAGATGGAGAGGAGGATAGTAAGGTCTTCATTCAACCATTAAGAACTCCACATTAGGTGAGCATTGTCTCTCAGTAGTAGTAGAGTCTGTGCACCAAGCTTTGTTGATATAAATGCACAAGCCCTTCACCTCTGGTGTTACCAGAGTCATCTGCTATCCTGTCAGCTCGGTGTGTGTGACGTCCTGCTAACTCAATAGCATTATCCGGGCAGCTACTGTTTCGCCATGTTTCAGTGAAAATCAAGACATTTGAGTCCATAATCCGTCTGTTGTTTGTGATGGAGAGTTGTATTTCATCCATCTTGTTTGCCAGAGAGCAGACATTGGTGAGGAAAATGCTGGGTAAGGGGAGCCGGTGTAGTATTCACTTTAGCTTAGCTCGTAGCCCTCCGTGCCTGCCTCACCTTTGTTTACGTTTTCGGCGCTGCCTGCGTGCACTTCCGCCCAGCCGGAAAGAGTGAGCAGCCTCCGGTGTTCTGGAGATCTCTGGGATGAGTCGGAGATCTGCGATAAAACTGTCGGAATGTTGAGTCCAAATGTTCAGAAGCTCCCGTCTGCTGTAGGACAGCAATGCAGAGCAATTCTGGATGAATAATCCAGTCAGGAGTAGGTAGAAAACTGCTAAATAGCAGATTCTGGAGAGTTGCTGAGCCTTGTGTTGTTCACGCGCCGCCGTCTTGGTTTTGGTCGATCTTGTTCACAACCAGCAATTCTGGTCTGCTGGTCTCAGTGATTAACTGGTCTTGGGATCTGTTAGCGATTACTCCTCTCCCCCCCTAAGCCTTAATCTCAGGACCTGTTTGCATCTACTCCCTTCTATCTCCATAAGACCCAGTCTCAGAAGTCTCGGGATCTGTTAGCGATCACTCCTCTGTCCCCCTGGGACTTAATTCCGGGACCTGTTTGCATCTACTCCTTTCTATCCCCATAAGACCCAGTCGGCAGACACTTGGCCAAGTTTTTAAACTGCTTAGACACCAATTGTCAATTTGTCTGTCTCACAGTGTTTTCCACACATTTTAAAGCAGTCTTCATGTGCGCATGAATAAGAAGTGAGAGACTCCACCTGACTCTGCCTTCTTTGTTTCTAGGTTCTTTATTTTGCGAGAGCCCAAACACACGTTAGTCTCACCTCACAGTGAAATCACACATTTATTAGAGAGACAAAATTCTCCTACCTTATTGTGCCGGCACATGGATTTCACCTGTGTGGGGAGGCCACCGCCTCAGGCAAAAACTTGGCTAAGCTCGCCACTTATATAGTAGATTTCATAGATGCAAAGGTGCAAAAATGGACCACATGAAGACAGAATCAAGCTGGCAGAATGGACTGTAGAGGCCCAAAGAATCCCTAGAATCCCCAGAATTGTTCCTTCATTATCTTCTTATACCACCCTAATGGCGTCATTAGTCCTATTCCTGTAATCGGCTTTCACACTGGTGTCTGATAGCCAACAATGTGACTTCTTACGTAAACATGCACATATCCTTGCTGGCCGGCTCTGCCAATTTTCCTCTTGAGATAACCATTAATCATGTGTAAAAAGTTCCCCATGACCTAGACTCTCTCTGGCTGTATCCTGCATCCTGTTTTACAATAACTTTGCTCAGAACATGTTTATTATTAGCTCCCACAGCTGCTGTTAGAGTTCACATGGGCAGACATTAACATAACATTAACTAAAGACACCAAACGATTCCTTCTCCATTATTTACATGGTGTCAGAAGTGAAAGTGTGGAGTTATGGCCAAGTTTAACCCTCAGACGAACTTCTCATTCGACAAGTCTGGAGAATGGCGGGATTGGAAACAGCGTTTTGTGTGATTCAGGACTGCCACTAAGTTCAACAAGGAAGAGGGCGCCGTGCAAGTAAGCAGCTTGATATTTGCCATGGGGAGTGAGGCGGAAAATGTCTTCCGGTCTTTTGTTTTTGCCGAAGCTGCACATGGAGACTTTCATCAAGGCTTTTCACAAACTCTCTTAGCATTGTGAATTTGGCGCCAGCAGAGACAAGAACATCCGCGATCAAATTGTTGTTGGAATACTCAACAAAGAACTCTCAAGAAAGAAAGTTCTGCTAGATAGCCCAGGTGGTGAGCTGCAGTGCTTAGGACAGATCCAGAACACTGTGTCCTACAAAGGAAAGACTCACCCACTCACTGTATATGTGTCCATGGTGAGTAATGCAAACCGGTGGCCTATTTCTACAGATGCCCTATGGAAGCAGAAACACGCTACGCCCAAATTGAAACAGAAAGTCTGGCCAGCTCGTGGGTGTGTGTCAGAGTCTAGACAATGTATCTCTAAGGTGCCAGTGCCTTTTCATGAGACTCATGAGGTTAAATCCTGTAGCATAGTACGCTCCTGGTAAAACCTTGGTTGTCGCAGACACTCTTAGTCCAGTTGGAAGGAGGGGGTTCAGTGCACCCCCCGGAGATATATTTCTAATCAGTGTTTTTCTATAGGAAAAAATGTGCTGAAAATGATGAGTTATGATAAAAAGTTCTCAGAATGTCCCATCTGCCCCAAAACCCCAAAAAAACCACTTTTTGGTACATGGCTCCGGCGAAATTGTGTTAAGGCAAATATTAATTCACTAAAATTACATAATTGGACATGAAAGTCTAAAATTTGGCATGTGGTATCCTGAGACATAGGGTTAAGTAGCCCAATAAGATTTTAGGACCTGCTACAACTGTATTCATAATTATGACCAACATCATCCCCAGAAACACAAAAAAATATACTGTCCGCTTGACAAATAATAACAAAGATGATTGATTTCCAGCACTTTATGGTGAATATCACTGCCTCATTTGTATATATAAACTTCCCATGTCCCTAAGCTTCAATTTGAGCCCAAGATGACCTTTCTGGCTTGAAAATTACTCTTTCTATAGCCAAAGTTCTGCACTATACCTCAAATCGGAGAAAATAGGAGATTCTGCCAGTAGCTGTCTTTTACAGGTATTATGCACCCCCAGATATATATATATCTATCTATCTATATATATATATATATATATATATATATATATATATATATATATATATATATATATATATATATATATATATATATATATATATATATATTTCTAAATCAGTATTTCCTTATTGGAAAAAATGTGCTGAAAATGACGAGCTGTGTTTAATAGTTGTCAACATGACCAATCTATTATTTATATGCTAATTAGTGCCGCCATTTTGGAAACACTGATTTTGCCTATATCTCAGCAAATGTTGCATTCAAATGAACAAATAAGGTATCTGGACCTGTTTTGAGGGCCAAGGTTAAATGACCATATGTTCCAGTGACATGCTTGTATGTAAAGCAGTGCCATAAGAAATTGAATGTACTTTCAATGTATGTTTTATTAATTTGACTCAGGCCAGGTGTGACTGGTAAACATTATCCATGACCCAGGTCAAACTTATTGAGCACAGAGATAACTATGACTGCACAGCAGTTGTGCATTGAGCATATCAACACAGACAGTATAAACTCTGCCACCACCACCACACCTTGGCTTCTACATCATCCTCCCAACAAACAAGGTAAGAAGCATAAATCAGCCACTGTATACATGTGGAATAAATTGACTGACTTTGACTACACAATGTACACATTATGTAATATTTCCTTCTTGAATATAGTTATCACATATAGTTTAAATATTTTTCCTTCTTATTTTATCTTATCTTTAGTCTGCTAAAACAAGTAGTAACTTCAAACATGACTGTAAAATAAGATGGTTGCACCCATAACATCAGCTATTGGTTTTTCTTATTCACCTCTCTTAACAGTGGTGGTTATAGACATCAAGCCAACATGCCTAAGGCTAAGGGAAAAAAGAGTTTAAATCCTGAGGCACACAAAAGTGCATCACTTGTATGCATACTTCATGTGTCATCCCTGTCAGATCATCGTAATTTCACACCCCTCTCAAAAGTAAAAGGAACCCCTGCAGAAAAACTACAACATCTTCATGATATACAGGACCAACGTCTCCAACAATCCCATGAATCCCCACATCGTATGCAGTTAGTCTGTGACCAAATCCCCTCAACTTTACCTGATGACATGGAAGGTGTTGGGTACCACCGCAACTGTTATCTGCGCTTTAATGCCAACCTTCATCTCCTAAGAGATAACACAGAACCAGAACCATCAACCTCAGAGAGGCATCGCTCGCCTCGTAGATTGTCGTCTGGTCCCATCTCCCTTCTCAGAACGCCTCAGTAGCTCACAAACAACTGCATTGTCAGTGATTGGCTGATGGATTGGCGTGAAGTAGTCCACAGTTGATTTTCGGGGTGGGGGAGAACCAGTTGCAGAGGTGAAGCCCCCTAGTCCAGGCACAGACTGCTCACCATCACTTCCGATATACCTGCTGAAGAGCCAGATGTAGTACTCTTTCATCTTAGCAGCATAGACTGCATCATTCTCTACAGGGGGTGTGAATGATGAGCCATCAGGGAACTTTGGGCCAACACGAGGAAAATTCAGGGGTGGGAGAGTTTCTGGTGTGTCAACTTTAAGGCTACGCTGTTGTGATTTATCAATGATACGCAGCATTCGGACCTTGTTGCTCTCGAACCCAGGCTTAACCTCCTGCACCATGATTCCTCCTGCACTGTTGACAATGTTGCTGCTGTGCACACTGGTAGTGGTTTTATTCAAGTTATCCCACTCACAGTGGAATACAAGGTTTCCCTCCCCTGTCACAATTTGGTGTGTCCGATATGTTGAGACTTCATCCAGGGCTTTAGCCAGTGCAGTTTCCAACTCTAAGCCAAAATCGTAGGTCTCAGAGTGGCCAAGTCTGTTTAATATTGTTGTGAGTTGCTTGCTTCGGAACAAGTGCCTCACAGTCTCACATAGTAGAATGTGTTTTGGGGACTTCCATTTTCCCTCTGACACTGCACGGCAAAGGTCTTGCCCAATGGAGAATACCAGACGCTTCAGCTTTTCATTTTCAGTCTCCATGTTTTCTTTGCCAGTCATAACCATGCTAAGGAATTGGACAAGGGCTGGGGGCAAAAGGTTTTCAGAAGTAGGCTCCAGGTCATCGGCTGTTGGTGGCCATGGTAGGTCTTTGGACTCGCTGAAAGCATGTAAAATTATCTGACGAAGTTAGAAAGCAACATTTTGGTGCTTATCTGTGCTTCCTAGAGTGTAAGCTCATGCAAGAGCACTAGAAACTGTGATATTTGAGCTGTACACAAGCCAGAAAGAAATTAAATCATCTTCATTATGTTTGACTTTTGTGAAGTTGATATGCTCACTGATTGGGTCTTTCTGTAGGCGCTTCATTAGCACAACAGCGTAGCCTTAAAGTTGACACACCAGAAACTCTCCCACCCCTGAATTTTCCTCGTGTTGGCCCAAAGTTCCCTGATGGCTCATCATTCACACCCCCTGTAGAGAACGATGCAGTCTATGCTGCTAAGATGAAAGAGTACTACATCTGGCTCTTCAGCAGGTACAGTATATCGGAAGTGATGGTGAGCAGTCTGTGCCTGGACTAGGGGGCTTCACCTCTGCAACTGGTTCTCCCCCACCCCGAAAATCATCTGTGGACTACTTCACGCCAATCCATCAGCCAATCACTGACAATGCAGCTGTTTGTGAGCTACTGAGGCGTTCTGAGAAGGGAGATGGGACCAGACGACAATCTACGAGGCGAGCGATGCCTCTCTGAGGTTGATGGTTCTGGTTCTGTGTTATCTCTTAGGAGATGAAGGTTGGCATTAAACGCAGATAACAGTTGCGGTGGTACCCAACACCTTCCAAGTCATCAGGTAAAGTTGAGGGGATTTGGTCACAGACTAACTGCATACGATGTGGGGATTCATGAGATTGTTGGAGACGTTGGTCCCGTATATCATGAAGATGTTGTAGTTTTTCTGCAGGGGTTCCTTTTACTTTTGAGAGGGGTGTGAAATTACGATGATCTGACAGGGATGACACATGAAGTATGCATACAAGTGATGCACTTTTGTGTGCCTCAGGATTTAAACTCTTTTTTCCCTTAGCCTTAGGCATGTTGGCTTGATGTCTATAACCACCACTGTTAAGAGAGGTGAATAAGAAAAACCAATAGCTGATGTTATGGGTGCAACCATCTTATTTTACAGTCATGTTTGAAGTTACTACTTGTTTTAGCAGACTAAAGATAAGATAAAATAAGAAGGAAAAATATTTAAACTATATGTGATAACTATATTCAAGAAGGAAATATTACATAATGTGTACATTGTGTAGTCAAAGTCAGTCAATTTATTCCACATGTATACAGTGGCTGATTTAATATTAAATTAATAAAACATACATTGAAAGTACATTCAATTTCTTATGGCACTGCTTTACATACAAGCATGTCACTGGAACATATGGTCATTTAACCTTGGCCCTCAAAACAGGTCCAGATACCTTATTTGTTCATTTGAATGCAACATTGGCTGAGATATAGGCAAAATCAGTGTTTCCAAAATGGCGGCACTAATTAGCATATAAATAATAGATTGGTCATGTTGACAACTATTAAACACAGCTCGTCATTTTCAGCACATTTTTTCCAATAAGGAAATACTGATTTAGAAATATATAGATAGATATATATATATCTGGGGGTGCATAATACCTGTCTGGGGGTGCATAATACCTGTAAAAGACAGCTACTGGCAGAATCTCCTATTTTCTCCGATTTGAGGTATAGTGCAGAACTTTGGCTATAGAAAGAGTAATTTTCAAGCCAGAAAGGTCATCTTGGGCTCAAATTGAAGCTTAGGGACATGTGAAGTTTATATATACAAATGAGGCAGTGATATTCACCACAAAGTGCTGGAAATCAATCATCTTTGTTATTATTTGTCAAGCGGACAGTATATTTTTTTGTGTTTCTGGGGATGATGTTGGTCATAATTATGACCAGGCTCTATTTTCGTGCCTCGCCGGAGACGTGCCGCAAGCGCAGCGTCTATCAGATCCGCCGCGCTGACAAGGCGTTCCCAAGCACATTTTGGTATTTTGGTGAGCTGCGCAGCCCAGCGTAAGTATCCCCCCTCCCTAACTCAGCTCCTCCCAGCAGCACAAGTCGTAGACGGGGAGGAGAGAGGGCGTGTAGTGGGTTTAACACAGCCGAGACCTGTATTGACCAATCACATAAGCTCCTCTCCTTGCCTTTAAATCCGCCACAGGCGAGGTGTATTACTATTTTCATGAAGTAGTCAAAGAGATCAAGAGATGTCTTAAGACAGTAATGCCACAAGATGGCGACAGAGGGCAGCTCCTCAACAAGTGTCACTGTCGCATTGGGCGTCCTCCACACGCTCTCATATAAGCACAGATGGATTTGGTATGTGTAAAGTTGGACCCAGTGGTAAGATAAACACCCTTTCCACAAATAAAGACACTCACATAAAGTTGCATATATTCAAACCTCACGTGACAAAGGTGGGTTGTGCGCACAGATCACAACATAAATTCCAATAATGGCATTAAAATCGGAACTATCTGTGCGTAAATGACGCATCGCGCTCCGTGGCCTGGCTCTTTCTTTCATAGATGTTGGCATATAAAATAAATTTGGCTCACAAAACTGAATATTATAATATCCGTATGTAGGCTTAAAGTAGATAACGCATCTGAGCACTGAAACAAATCATCTGTTCAGCTGCAGCAGCAAGACGGACAGAGGACACGGAGACATGTCCAGGTCGAGCTGTGCGAGAAATAAGAGGAAGAGGAAGAAAGAAAAGGAGGGAGACGAATTACATATCTTGTTAACTTCATCATGTGTGTTTATTTACTAGATATTTAATTTAATTTGATGCGGTTTCAGCTGTGTTGATTCGGTCAGGTTGTGTGTCCAAACGCATGCCAAAAGCGCTCATCAGATCAGATATAGATCAGAATATATCTATAGATCTAAATGTATGTGCTGACTCAGATTAATAGTTGATGACGATTATTTATTGCACTGAAATGTGCCTGACACTGTGGAAACCTGCCGGTGAGGCATCAGTGACGTATGTCGATACGCCGCCGGTCTACCAAAATACTACTAGACCAGCTGCGTTCCGCCTTGCGCTGAAAGCTGACCAGGTTTGAATCGGCGAGCTTTCAGCGCACTTTACACGCCGTTGGCGAGCACGAAAATGTCACTGCGCCTGCTGATTCTGTCGACACCTCCCCCTGCCACGCCACCACGCCCAGCTTGGCGGATCTCGGCTCGCCTCCGTGCGGCTCAGTCCACGAAAATACCAAACTGGCCTTACGCCGGGCTCCGCCAGACGAAAATACAACTGCGCGGGGCTCGCCGCCCTCCGCCGCCTCACCGGCGCGCACGAAAATAGAGCCCTATGTCTCTGGATACCCCATGCCAAATTTTAGACTTTCATGTCCAATTATGTAATTTTAGTGAATTAATATTTGCCTTAACACAATTTCGCTGGAGCCATGTACCAAAAAGTGGGTTTTTTGGGGTTTTGGGGCAGATGGGACATTCTGAGAACTTTTTATCATAACTCATCATTTTCAGCACATTTTTTCCTATAGAAAAACACTGATTAGCAATATATCTCCGGGGGGTGCACTGAACCCCCTCCTTCCAACTAGACTATCTTTCATGCAGCCCACTGGCTAACACAGGTTCAGAGACTGAGACAGAGGTGGCATGTTATGTGGAGAGTGTGGTGAGCGAGATCCCTGCGTCCACAAGCAAAATGGATGAAATCAGGAGGGCAACAGCAGCTGACTCCTAGCTGCTGTCTGTTACAAAGCTCATTAAGACTAGGGGCTCTATTTTGGTGCTTCGCCGGAGATCTGCCGCAAGCGCAGCGTCAATCAGATCCGCCGCGCTGACAAGGCGTTCCCAAGCACATTTTGGTATTTTGGTGGGCCGCAGCCCGGCGTAAGTATCCCCCCTCCCTAACTCAGCTCCTCCCAGCAGCATACGTCGTGGGGGGAAGGAGAGTGGGTGTGAAGTGGGTTTAACACAGCCGAGTCCAATTTGCGCCAATCAAATAACCGCCTCTCCTCGCCTTTAAATCCGCCGTCGGCGAGGCGCATTGGCATTTTCGTGCAGCAGACTCACAGATGGCCGAGATGGAAACGAGTGCGAGACAGCCGAACTTCTCTCAGGAGGAAACTGATGCTCTGGTCCGGGAGGTCCAGTCTCGCAGTGGCCGGATATACGGTCACGCGAACAGACCTCCACGGGTCGATGATGCAAAAGCAGCCTGGGAAGAGGTAAGTGCTGCTGTCAATCAAGTTTGCCCGGACGTGCTGAGAACCGCTGCGCAATGCAAAAAGCGGTTCAATGATGTTAGACGACGGGCTAAACTTAAATTATCCCAACACCGTCGCCAGACTGCAACGACCGGAGGCGGCCCCTCAACGAGTGTGGTGCTGAGCCCTGCGGAGGACGTGGCGTCCTCCACACTCCCCAAAATTAGTATCGAGGGGTTTGGTGTCTCTGAGGTTGGACTCACGGGTAAGACAAACATTCTTTTCCACAAATAAAGACACTAACCTGTATATTTAACCACGTGTTACTAAGGTGTGTTGTGTGCACAGGTGATCTGAAAAAATGCCATGCGTAATGGGATTGAAATCGGAACCACCTGTGCGTAAAGACGGATCAAACAAAGCCTGATTGTATTTTCTCCCCCTTTCCGCTAATGTTTGCATCTGAAATGAACTTTGCTCACACAATTTCTAACTTCTTTATTCTAAATGAAAGTATTAACATTTTTAAAAAAAGAATTTCTGTGATTTACTAAAATAAAATTTCTGGTCAGCCTCGGCAGAATTGCCGCTGTCGCGGCAGCAGCACACCACAAGGGAGGAGGAGGAGGAGGAGGAGGAAGAACAGCAGCAGCAGGTGGTCGGGGGGGAGGAGAAGGAGGGAGAGGACGAAGACGACCGCGAGGAGGAGGACCAGGGGGAGCCGGAGCCGGAGCCGGTGCCGGAGACGCGGGAGG